TCGAACACTTTAAAGAAAACTGCTCCAAATGTCTTCATCTCCTGGCAACAAACTGTCATAAATCCAAGCAACATCACACTTTTTTTAAGCTTACACTGTCTGCTTTGAATGTGAACACTGATTGATCTTAGTAAGCAGCTGTCTTCACTTTTAGAGATTCTTCTGCCGATATTTTGCCAAAGAGATGAATCCAGACAGCTGGAGCACTAAGAGTTGCATGATGGTTTGCTTATGAAGTAAAACTTTAAGGACCATTACAATGAAAGGTTTTACTTGTGAAGGAGCAATGCAAAGTAAGCCTTTCCACACTGTGTATGTATCAGCTGCTACAACAACTCGTCAACCTCTTTTTCTGTAATTTAGAAACCATACTGATTTATTTTTAAATTTTTTTATGTAGGTTAAGTTTTTTACATTATATCCTATGAATCTGTTTAGCACATTTGGTAATGAATTTCTCCTTTTAGATAAAAGTAGATCATGTAAAGTTAGAGATCCAGTAAAACAAATTTCATTGCGGTGCAAAGCTTCCAGGTTTAATCAGCGCTCTTTCCCATTGGTGGATATTCTGCATTGTTTCCCGCTTCATTTAAAAGCAAAAAAAGGCAGCTGAATGAATGCAATATAGTTTAAATAATAAATGTTTATTTCCAAAAGAACTTGTTTTAAACAAGCCATAAACTGTAAATAGAAAATGTGCTATCTGAGGTTTTATTAGTGCGTGAACTGACGCATGCTGAGCTAATTTTGTGAACCTGGTTTTTAATCTAACATTTTGATCTACAGTTGTGTTGCTTGCAGACTTTTAACCGTGCACCAAAGCTATAAAAGGATCAAATTTTGTTCTTTTTTTTTTTACAGTTTTCATAAAAATGCATACTTTTTTTCCCTCTTAATTTTAATAGATTTTTTCAAATTGTTTTTTTTTATTTAATTTTCTCTAATCAAGATTTTATGGTCTCATGTTTAGCTTAAAAAATATCTCAGCTCAAAGTTGCCTCTTGATGAGCAAAAATAGATTTTTCCAAATATATTTATTGGCATGCATCTGATTTGTTCACTTCTATGTATTTTATTGGGGTTTAATGTGATAGATCAGCATTGAGTGCTTCAACATTAAGAGGAAAGAAAACTGGGGTCAATATCTTGTAGAACAACTATTCATTACAATCACAGCTCTAAGTATTTTGAAATACATTCCTTCAACTCAAGTTGAGAGCTTCTGTACAGAGAAGAATCCTCAGGTCTTTGCTACAGGTTCAGAGGTGAATTTTAGCCTCAGTCTCAGTTTTTTTTTTTTTTGCAGCCATGGTTAGATTTTCAGCCATTATTGAAATGCCTTTTCAACCTTCCCATCAACTCTGAACAATTTTCCTCCATCTGCTAAGGAAAATCATCCCCACAGCATGATGCTCCCACCACCGTGTTTCATGGTAGAGGTGGTGTGTTAAGGGGGGCCTGGGAGTAGATTTAATCCACGCATCATTCTGAATGAATTTTCTGCAGATAAACATGAAACAGTGCTTCCTATGACTTTCCTCCTGCTACTGTTTGATAAAGGCCTAATTTGCACTGTGCACAACGAATAGTTTGGTCATGATCTGGTTAACATAAAACAAGTGCCTGCTTCTACTAATCAGATAACGTTTGAGTGCCGTTGGGTGTTGATTCTATGTAGTGGCTTCAGGGTTCAGATGCATGCCACATATTTCGAGTTTTACTTGTAAAATATCTGAAAATGATGCATCATTATCCTTTTCCTTCACATTTGTGTTTGACTTTCTGTTGGTTCATCACATAAAATCCGTAGAAATGTGTGGTTGTAAAAGGGAAAAGTTGAAGGAAAGTGAAACTTGTCACCCACACATCTAAATGCTGACCTTTGTGTTTTTTTTTATATATGAGGCAAGCAAAATGGCTTGCTATTTTCTTTTTAAGTGATTAAATCCTACAGCAAGTTTCTGCCACAGACTTGATGCTCATGCAGTCTTTGTAAATATTTACATTTAACACTTTAAAGGGATGGTCTTGTGATCTGTGCTGCAAAGCAGACATGAGAGCAGCTTGGCTTTATGCTAAATCAAACAAATGATTCTCTCAGTTTGAATGCCAGGCTATGGAACAACCAAGACTAGTAATGCCACAAATTCAAGACTAAATCCATTTAATATGAAGTAAAACTGACATTTACATGTTAATCAGTCAAATGTTAAAGCAAAAACCACAGTTTTCTTAGCCTCTGTTTCATTAATGGCTTTAAGGCAGAATGTCATTAAAGAACTTTAAATACATGTCCTTTTGGCTCCAGTTTGTCTTTCTGATTCATGTATCTTCAGTTTTCTTGGTTTCCGTGTTTCTGGGTTTCATCATGTCCTTCAGCTTCTGTAAGGAGGTTTTACCTTCATTTGCTTCCTTCAGAGGTGTCATTTCTGGCTCTACACTGAGCTCACTTTTGTTTTCCTGAGAAAATTTCCGTTTGATCTTGTCTCCCATTCGACTCAGCACCTCTCTGTCTTTCTCCTTCTTTCCTTCTGAATTGTTTGGATCAGACTCCTTCTTCTCTTTGCTCAGGGAGAAGACCTTTAGCGATTTGGATGCCTTCTTCTCTCGGGTCAGGGAGAATCTCTTCTTGGATTTCTTGTCCTTCTTTAAGTTGTCCAGCTGCAGTTTTTTCAGAATGCTTTTCTTTTTGGTTTTCTTCTTTGGCAGCGCCCTCTGCAGCTGGTTGAATGCATCTCTCAGGGGTGACTTCTTTTTCGGAAAGAAGACTCTTTTCAGGGAGGTGCCGCCCATACCTCCTAAACCTGAAAGGTTTAAACTCAAATATTAAAAAAATGAAATAAGATGAAGGTAAGTTAGGTATTTTAAGACATGAGTGTATTGAATTAAATCAGAAGAAACATTTCTCATGAATGTAATCATTAAAAAAAAAAAAAAACTGAGCATAACACAAAATGTCACAATTTCCTCCAGGTTTGAGGTATGTCCAATACAGGTACATATAGAGGTATGTGAAATGGGAAAACATGTAAAAGTTTACTCAGATTTTTAAAGTTCACCTGTTATTTATAACCTAATCATTCAATTTACCCTCTAAATACAGCAATTTGCATACAGTTTATGATAAATGTTAGTTAAACAGGTTAAACCCAGAAACAGACTCACCTAAGTGTTTGTTTTAAAGTCAGCTGATTTTTCTCCTGAGTTGCTTCTGAGGTCTGCTTTAACCCGAGTCTCCTGCTGCACTGACCATCATTGAGAGGTATTCAAGGAACTACCTTTTGGTTGAAAGATCAACCACGAGACGGCATGAGTTTATTTCCCCATTGGTTTTCCCCTGCAGGCAGGGCACAAAGGAGTCAACCAGAAGGACAAACTAGTTCTGCTGCATTCTCCAGGCGTGATACTGCTTCTTCATATGCTGGTTTAAAGACATGAAAACAGGTTTGGCCTCTAAATAGACGTCGGCTTTAAAACATAAAGGGACTTACAGGACCAAAATGAAACTTTATAGGGAATTTGAGGAAACTGGATTGATTTTCACCTTTGGTTTGTATAGTTTACAAATAAAATCCAGAGAAGTGAGGCATCAATTCATGTTGGTGTCATTTCTACCTTCAAGAGTATCTGATTAGTCTGTGTTTGTGGTTTATCCTAATAAATGTATGTTATTGTAAGAAATGGAGAATTAGTAAACAGCATCATAAAAACCATGGAACACAGACAGGGCAGGAATTAACAGTTCATAACATCTCAGCTATAAAAGCTCTTAGGAGATAAGTAACGCTGGGCTGGTGGAGCAGAGTGGAGTTGAACCAGCCCAGATGGTCATGGCTTCAGGGATCCACGGATTATTTGGGAGAATTTCTGGTTTGGAGAACAGTTAAACACTGTGAATAAGGCTTAGAGGAAGAGTAGTGCAACAAAATCCATAGGTGAGTTAGATAAGGTGTGATCAACTAAGAAGCTCAGCTTTCTGATTGTTATGCAACACATATAGACTCGACTCAGAAACACTACAGTTCCCTGTAGACCCCCCAACCCCCGGCACATTATTCATTAAATCATGAGGCTTAACGCCAGAAGGTACAGTAAAGTTGGCCAGAGTAGATGAGAGAATAGATGGAGGTAAATGTTGAGGAAATCCTGGGAGAGAATACCTGTTAGCAGCTGCTGAACACTTCAGGCAGGAGCAGATTCTTCATCCAACCAGAGTAAACCAGCAGCCAGATCAGTTAATTTAAGAAGGAAAATGTAAACCTTCATAAACTGCCAGCATCTAATACAACCGGGTGTTCTCTGGTAAAGACAGAAAAGTAACGTTTAAATATAAATGTATTTATATAACATAAAAATAAATCAGAATGCAGTTCAAAGATATACCGTATATATATTTTAATTTAGGCTATATTTAACCAGAAAAAAAAAATCCCATTTAAAAACCTGTTTATCAAGGGAGTCCTGGATTTGTTTCATTACACAATCTTAAAAGCATTTATGTAACAAAATGTAAAAAAAAAAAAAAAAAAATCACGAGGTGTGATGTTTTTTCTTCCAACTGGAATACCTGCTATGAATAGCAACTTAAAGATCTCAGCTGATAGACAGCAGTCATCTCAGTTTACGCTTGAAGGAGTGCGCCCCCTTGTGGAGAGATGGGGGTACTGCTACGGGAATCGCAAATGCAAATCACCAAACGACGTCGAGGACGGTAATCTCATGTATTTTTTTTTTCTTTAAAAAAAAATAAACGTTGCCATTTGAATGTGTACATGTAATATAGAACCAAAAGTAAAGCATTTGATGAAGATATTATTGCTTTCTGTCTGAAATGTGACGTACAGGGGGCGTGAGCCTCATTGATGGCTCAGCTGAATCAGCCTTTACCACAAAGCCACCTATATTGTACTATTATTAATGGATTTCAACTGTTTGTAACATATTATACCATATCGCTTTGAAAGCTTCATTTCTTAGGTTTAATTCCCGTGAGCACGTGTTTGCATCACAAGGTCCTCCTCCTTCTCCTCAGCATCATCATCATCCTCCTCCTCCTCCTGCTCCTTTTTCCTCCGAGTGGCACATCGCAGCCATGGTGGACTCTCCCAGCGCCGTGAAGAAAACCTTCACGGTGCCAGAGATCAAGCCGCTGGACAAATACGACTCTAACCGGGCCCGGATCTGCGCCAGCGTCCGGTGGCTGTTGTCCAAGTCCTGCGGCTCTGCAGGTATAGCATCTCCGAGGAGCCTCTTGGGTGGGGCGCGTCATGATTGATCCTCTTATATTTGGTGCTCTGACTTGTTATCTAGTTCTGCGTGGGGAAACATTGAGCCTCCAGCTCTGCAGAATCCACGATCACAGCTGCCACGGCCTACCGGCGCATGCCGGGGTGTGAAGATCAGTGAGCAGGGTTGCTGGTCTGGTCCAAGGCTTTCAGTCAATTATTCCAGATAAAAATGAGGCTCGTCAGGAGGTATCTCCTGAGTGGAGTGGGATCCACTTCCTTCATGCATCCCACTCCACTCAGGAAATGGAGTGGGATGCATGAAGGAAGTGGAGGGGCAGCAATGCAACAAAGCCTATTGTCGAATTATGGCATCTTCAGGCCTGTGGATGGCTTTCACAGAGACAGAATCTGCTGGATTTCTTTGTGTCACTACAAGGAACAAGGTTTCCAACGATCTACATGTTGCCCACGCGTGGGTCTGCTGTAAATGGGTCAGAGCATCATATTTGTGTCAGTGTTACGCACGCACGCGGGGTTGCAGGAGCGCGCGCTGGTATATAGTGAAGGTGACACTTATAGACTGCAGTGTCTGTGTGTTTTTTTGTTTGTTTGTTTGTTTGTAATATCAGCTGCAGTATGCCTTTACTTAAAAAATGCATTGAACCCCTCAGCTTACTGAATCATCCTTTTCCTTAAAATGTGCCCTAACCGCTGAGAGAGAGATCAAGGCTCAGTCTGCTGCTGCTGCATTTCTGTTCAAGATAAGAAAACAAATATTTAGACATTTATAGAAACTTCTGATGCTGGGTGACGTTTTCTTTTGAATTGATTCATAGAGAAAAATAAATTAGTGGCAAATTTCAGATTCTTCTGAAGTTCTTAAGTTGTTTTATGCAATTGACACATAGAACCAATAGTGATGAGAAAAGTTTAAACCATTGTAAATTTTATTGTTAGTTTTTCTTTTTTTGATTATGCTTTTAAATGACTCTTCTTCATTTTGGAAATGTTTTATTGATTCAGTTTAATTTCGAAAACATACAATGTTCTTTTGCATTGATTTATCTCTAATCCGCAGAGAGCATCCTTAACCAATCACAGCAAGAAAAAAAAAGGCATTTTACCATCAAACATTTTGTATCATTCCAACTTTTCTTAAAGTTAAATATTTAAGTTGCTCCAAACCAGATTTTAAGCATTGTGGATAAGTTTCAAACATGTTTAAAGTCAGAATAATTTTTAGGATGCAATGTTAGCCTGTTCTATCTATTCTAAAAGCAGTTCTCATTTTTGTGGGATTAGGTTTCTATTTCAAACTATGTTTCCTTCATATTACCTTCAGAGTATTTGGAGGAAATAAATCCTGTTTCATTTTATCTACCCTGTGCAATGCATCAGTACTACTGGCTGCTAAATGTCCCCAGCATGATGCTACCACCTCCATGCTTGAGGATTAATCTCCTCTTGACATAGTGACCATAAACCCTTTCAATGTCCTATCAGCTTATTAGCTTTGCCTCTGCTGTTTCAAGATCTTCCTGTTTATCTCAGGCTTGGATTTTTTTCAACATAATTACAGAATATCTCTCCTCTGTGGGTGACTGATCAGCTCTGATGGTTTAAACCAGAAGGACCAAATACGAGAAGCTTGAATCGGAGGTTTGATTGAACTGAGAAGATTTTTTGTGGGGTTCTTTGTCTGATCTTATTGGCTTTGTCTCTTTGAGTGTTAAAGGATGTCCTTCATTCATCATTAGCCGCTTGTGTCAAAGCGCAGACTCTGCTGACTAGGATAGTGATGTCACTCTGTGTCTACGCTCAAGTTGGGAAAACAAATTGCCAGACTGCTTTTTAATGTGGTTAACCCACACAAATCAGCTGCTATTTTATAAAACAGCTCCAATAAGGTAAGTGGGACAGGAGGAGAATGATTTCTTTGTTGTCAGTCAGATGGAAACCCCCAACTGGGAGCCTCATTGAATTTTAATGGAGAAGAAAATAAACCTGCAGTTTAGTTAATAAAGACCATCTGCTCACCAAGCTTGTTTTCTACAGTATGAGTAAAACCTTAATTTCTCTTTTAATAATCTAAGAACTTATACTTTAAGTCAATTATTTTTTGTTTATTGAAAAGTCAAACATGAAAATATATTTTTCTTTCTCTGAGAAGCTTCTTTAAAGTAGATAAGACAACCCTGGAAAACAAGCATGGGACATAAAATACTCCCAGCAAAGAAATACTGCAAAAGAAACCCTTAAAACAAGAAAATTACAGGAAATAAAACGTTTTTAGACGTGAAATACCATCATAGTAACATAGCATTTAGATAAAGTGCAGCTTTAGCCAGAGTGGACTATGAAATGGGCAGATTCTTTTCTTGGTGACAGCTGTGGTGACTGTTTGTCAGTGTGAAGGTGAGATGGGATGTGAGTGTCTGACTACAGGGGGGGCTGATTACTTTCACAGCTCTGATATAGAGGCTGTTCTCACCACCCAAGCTCGGTCCCTCTCCTTTACTCCGCAGCTCCCATGACACTCTATCATACTGACACATAGGAGGCTTCCAGTCGAGGCCCTGCAGAGGTCTGTGAGCAGCTGAGTAGAGAGTTGGGTCCATTTCCACTCCCGGTTAAAGAAGAGCCATTTCTGGGCCTTCTTTACCAGGTACTAGAGGTCAGAGGAACCGTGAATGACCAGGAACGTTATGTTGTTTACACACCGAAGCTCCTGGACATGAACATTTCCTCTCAGCCTTCAGAACACCTCCCACTGCAGGAAAGGTGACTTGAACTCAGCATCTACCGTAATGTCATTGATTTTAGGCACAACTTTTAAGTGTTTTCACAGCATCAGTGATTTTTCTAAATAACTGGGCGCACAGGTTTAAATTTATGCAAAATTGTATTTAAGCAACTTGAACGTTGAACATGAAATCCATAAGCTTAATATATAAACATTTGATTAAATGTATCTGTACAGGTTGGGCCTCCTGTTTCAGCCATTAAAAGGCCTCTGGCATTTTGGTGGAAGGTTATTTGGCAGCACCATACTTATTTTAAATTGGCTGTAATTCCTGGTAAGGAGCTGTTATTTCAGCCTAGATTAAAAAATATTCAATTTGGCTAATGTTCAGTCTTAGGAGAGGCTATTCCAGAATCCTAGAAACAGCTGTGATCTGTGTTTAAGGATCATTTGCTGTTGGAACACCAAATGTGACCATGTTTCAACCATCTATGTCAAACAAGCCCCCCTTAGTTCAAGAGGAACCCTGGAATAATAAGTCTGGAAATTGCCAAAAACACTAGCATTACTGTTACAATGAAACTAGTTATAAATCACAACAAACCAAGAATCTGCTCCAAAGTCAACACCTTCAGCCTAAGGAGACATTTTTAGGGGCTCATTTATTAAAGACTGTACCATCTGTCAAGCATGGTGGTGGCTGAATCATGGGCGTCTCCTTCTCAGCCACTGATGCAGAAAGTAAACTGAGGTATGTAAAAGGTGGACTAGCAATTCTTCAGCTGCAGCTTAAATCAACAGATGTTTGATGCTTAGAAAACGTTTTTGCAGAAATTGAGTTCCTGCAAACATCTGACTAGAAATAGTAAAAAGAGAATCTGGAGATGAACAAATGATGTGTTGTGGTACAATGGAAAAGAATCTCAAGTTCTAGATTTTCTTAGCAGATACCCACCAAAACATTTATGAAACTGTTTAATTTCTGGTGTTATTTTACAACAGTTTAGCACCATTTTGTCTAAAAAGAAGTAAACATGCACAAATAGAGGCAATCAAATTAAATTTCCAAAACATCAACATTTCAAACTCAGAAAAAAAGCACTTCTAAGAAGACGAACCTTTGGTTTTATACCAAAGATGCTTTATGTGTTTGTGTACTGCTGTAAAATGTGGCTTGTTTCTTTTTCCCTAATGCAGTTAGTGTGCTTTTTAAGGCTCCTGCTCTGCAGTCCTGTCCGGTTGCCTCAGTCCTGATTGGGACAAATGGCTGTGCTGTTTCCATAGTGACCAGAGACCCCTCTGCCCCCCCACCCCCGACACACAGCAGCAATGAGACAAAATTTTTCCCTTCAGCACAGCGTGTCACTCAACTGCAATGTCCTGTTGATGTAGGGACAGTTAGCTTTTCTCCTCTTGTCTGCTCTCGGTGGATCACTGAAACAGGCCAGAGAGGAGAGGTCTTACATAAATGCATCTCACAACAGCGACATGCAAAGGAGGAGAGGAGATCAAACCAATCCCTGCCCTCATTAGAAATCATGTTAGGACATAAACGAAAGCAGCCATTAGATAGGAGGAAAAGTTGCATGTTTTCCAAAGAAGTCCTTTCCAATTTTGAGGATTATCCAGAGGAGGAATATGGGTCAACCCACTCTTCACTCTGAGATTCATGCTCTATGTCTCGCTCTTTCTTATCTCAGTAACCCAGTGGAGCTGTTCATGCAGATGATGACATTTTCCTCACCTCACTCCCCCTCGTCTCCAAGTTTTATCCTGAACTCAAGCAGTTTTTTTTCTTCTTCTACAAGATCCAAATCAGTAATGCTGTGGTTTCTGTGCAGAAACCTGAAACAGTGCTTTGTGTGTTGGGCTTTTTTTCCACAAAGGAAATTCACTGCAGCAGAGTATCACCAGGGCATTCCTGCAGAGATGACTTTATTTAAAGTGTCATTTATGCAAAAAGGTAAAATATTTCTTCTCTCAGCTTCTAATGTGTTTAAAACAACAGATAGGTAATTTTGCTCAGATTTTACAATTTCGAAGACAGTGAAAAGAACCCCAGTGCTGGTATTATTGGACCTCAGTGCAGCATTCAACACTGTTGATCACCCCATTGTATTAGAGCTAACGGAAAACTGGGTCTGCCTTTCTGCTACAGCTATGGACTGGTTTAAATCTAACTACAGGACCTTTTTTGTGTCAGTAGCTAACTTTACATCAGAGATAACAAGCATTGCATGTGACATACCTCAGGGATCCATCTTAGAGCCCCTCCATATGTACATGCTCCTCCTAACACAGATCTTAATGAACTAAAACATTAGTTACCATAACTACAGTATGCAGACGACACACAGCTTACAATAAACATACATTACGATGTCACCAGGTGACTATGAGCCCATACACGCACAGGATAGATGAAATCAAGCCATGGATGTGCCAAGAACCTTCAGGTAATCCTCCTGGGTGTAGTAATGGACTCAGACCTGAACCCCAAAGACACATAAAGAGTCAACCTTCTACACCTAAAGAACATCTCCACGATTAAAGGACTAAAGTCTCAGCAGGACCTTATAAAATGAATTCATATGTTTATCATTAGTAGAATTGATCGCTGTTTCATTGTTTTTCAGAGGTCTACCTAGAAAGTGGATCAGAGCTGCAGCTGAATGCTGCTGCCAATGTCCTCACTAAACCTAAGAAAGCGGAGCACATCTCAGCAATGCTAAAAATCCTTACAGTGGCTCATAGTATCTTAACTGAATCGACCCTGAAATACTTAGTTAGCAGTCAAAGTGGCGGCTCTAGAGTGATTTCAGGAGTTGGAGTGGGTCAGAATCAAATTAAATAAATGACCCATTTTTAAAGGTATTTTAAAAAGAAAATATTGGTTCCAATCCTGTTTCCAATACATTTTGTTACACATTAAATTGAACAGACATAAAGTAATGACTCTTTAAAGGTGGTAGAAGATTATAGTTTTAGTTCAATTTGTAGGCTAATTTACTGCAGTTAACTTTTTTCAACTGAGCAGGTTGGGCTCACTGAGGGGGCTCAGTAAGAAATGTTTGGGAACCACTGTGTTGGTGTATAACTCGCTGCATGGATCAGCACCAAAGTATGATGCAGACTTGATGTCACATTATCAACATCCCAGACATTTAAGGTGTTCTGGCTCTAATGTAGTCATCATACCCAGAACCAAACAAGGAGAAGCAGCTTTTAATTAAGCACCACTTATCTTTTAAATGGCTTTAAATTGAGGTTAAATCTATTTTGTTTAGTCACCTGTAACTGTGCTGTCTAAACAATATTGGTTAAGTTTGTCGTTCAACTTTCATTTTATTATCAACCATTTTAAAACTCACTTTTTATAACCATTTTAAATGTAATCTTAAATTGTTAATGTTCCTTAATTACTTAATTACCTTAGTTCCACTTCAATGTCTTTTTCTCTGTGTATTTATTGTATGTTCTTTTTTTATTTACAGCATTTTCATTTCCTTATTTTTGAAATGCTGTCTAAATGAATTGTCATGCTTTGTAAAAGGAAGTTGTGCTTAAATAGCCTTGAATAGAATGTTATTTTATCTCCTATTTCGATGACTTAGAGCTCCCTTCTTTTTTCAGAAAATGTCCCAGTGGAGCTCCGAGAGCCGCTTTACAAGGATCAGTATGAACAAGAGCATCTGAAGCCGTCCGTCACCAAGCTGCTCCTCTCGCCAGAGATCTACTGCAGAACTCAGGCCCTGCTGGCTCAGGGACATGGGGGCTCCGCACAGGCGTCACAGGGGCCCCTAACTGATAACTTAGCTCTGTTGCAGTTCCTCATTAAGAAAGGATTCTGCCCAAAGGTCCAGGATGCAGACGTCACAGAGGAGGACCTCAGCAGGAACCCTATCAACACGGTGCGTCTGAGTGGGAACATGTTTACATTTGGCTCTGGACAGAATATGAAGTGAAATCTAGTGGTTCAAATAATTACACTGATATAGTTAAATATAAAGTAAAAAAGAGTACATTTCTAACTGAAAGTTTACATCTTCTGAGCCGTATCAGGGAATATTATGCTGCTAGATGATCAGATTGGGGCTTGTGTTAAATCCCCCTTCCACCAGGACTGATCAAAGTGTCCATCTCGTGTCTTAATTATGCAGAAGGCTCACCTGGCCCTCATTGACTCGCTGATGTCACTGTCTGCCAGAGAGACGACTGGCCAGGTCAAAATGGCGGCAGAGGCGGAGCAGATTGGCGTCGGGGCGCCGTGGGAGAACGCTCTGTTGTTTTGGGTTAACAAGGTGAGGTCCCAATTACAATACGAAAAAAATGGTAGCTCTATTCAAAGAAAGTTTTTTTTAAATCTAAATGTTCTGAAATAGTCAGAATAATGAGTGAGTTAAAGATCATAGTGAAATAAAACATGGAATTATCAATTATTATAATAATAAATCCCTACAGGGTATGAGAGAGGCATTGCCCCTTATGCCAATCACCTGCTGCAGGGGAGGATTGGTCCTCTCCACCAGGGTCGGGGGTGTTGCTTCAGAGCCTAAATATTCTGTTTAGAAATTTTTTGTACATATGGAAAGCAATCATATCTAATAGTTTGACAGGACTGAAAATGGCTGGACTGAAAATAGACTGAGGCTGTGGAGCTGATTAAAAGAGCACAATAATGTCGGACTCATTGGAATGAATGAAGGACTCATAGGTATAAAAAATGAGGCGTGATTCCAGGCTTACTTTGGGGCCGGATTATGTTAATCATGTAATATTGTTCACTGCAGAAAGGATATTTTTAGATCAAGGATTTTCAGTGTTTAAATATATAAATGATGTCTTTATAAATATTCACATTTGTGAACGTCAAGGGGAGGTCCAGTGGGTGAGAGAACGGAGGGCAGCACTAACTGCAGTGACTGTATATATATACAGATCTGTTAGCTGACAGAACTTTGATCATAATCTGATATTTTTTCCTGATGTGTCTGACGTGGGTCTGAGGAAAGGTCGCCCCACTTTTATCTCCTGATGTTTCAATTATTTAGTTTTCAGATTTATCTCTCCAAAGAATATGAATCTAAATGTCTCAGTCTTTGTCTACTTTCTTTTTTGCGATCCACAGTCTTTCTTCATATATTAGTTCTTTTGAATGACCACCAGTTGCAGACTCTCAAACAGACAGTAAGATGGCAGATTACAGATCCTTCAGGGACCTCTCCAAATCCCATCCCAGACTAATAATCTGCTACAATCTGTTTTCTGAAAACCTCCTGCAGGTCTCCCCACAGGGTTCACTCTTATTTCTAGTCAGCAGAAGTTCATTAAACTGAATATTTTCAGCTTTAAACAGAACAAAATTATTTAGGTTAGGATGTTAAAATCATTTAATCCTAATTTCTTAGTGCTGTGAGTTAATTCAAGCATCCTTAGGATGCCTTTTTTTTAGCAATATCCTGCTTGTTATCTCTCTAACTGTAGGGTCACCTGTCCATCTTCTCTTTCAGTTAAACCAGAGGTTAAGAGAAAGCACAGAAGAAGAAGAGCTTCCTAAGTCACAAACATGCACAGATCTGCAGCCTGTTCAAGAAACGGTAAAACAACAATAAAGATGAAATCTAAAAAGCATGCTCATAGATTAGCGACATGATCCTTTGTTGTGCTTCATTTGCTAACCTCAACTATGCTGTGTCACCTAACAGCAAACATCAATCTTAAAAACCAAAACATGACCTCATTATCTATAAACTGACTGTCTACAGATTCTAACACGTGCTTTGGTTTGCTTGTCTTCCCCCCCCCCGGTTCGCCTCTGTCTTTGCTACTTGGCAGTGTCAGTCAAACCGCTGGTACTGGAAACTAGTCCCCGTAAGTGTCCTCCTCTTTTCTCCCATTCTTCTCTCTGTCTGTCTGTCTGTCTGTCTGTCTGTCTGTCTGTCTGTCTGTCTGTCTGCTGTGGCTGGCCTTATTGTGCCTGCTGAAAATGCTGCATATATTTCTTATATGTCCTCGTGTTTAACAGGTTTTGCAGAAAACGTTGTGCTTAAACATCCTTTTAGGGTGATAAAGTGAGTGGTTGGTTGTCAGCTGACATGTAGGTGCTTTTTGTTACAGACTGATGCTTGTGAATGTGTTTCTGAGGTCTGCATTCAGTCATCAGATTTACTGAGTCAAGAGAGAGAAGGGGGGGGTGTTGGAAAGGAGCAGAGGGAGGGTAGATATAGTAGGGTGACCATATTTTCATTTTGAAAAACCAGGACAGCTTGGAGCGGGGGGTCGGCGGCAGGGGATCTCTTTTCCCATGCTTAGGCCTAGGTAATCCTACAATAACATGATATTAACAGTTGATTTATTAAAAATGCTTTTCAGTAAAAGTCAACAGCAATAACTCCAATAACAAATGATAATTTTATTCAAAATGTATTTATTAAAAGTGCTTAACAATTCCTGTAATGAATGAATAGCACAATGAAAGAAATAATGTCTCATCTAAACATCCCTCACTTAACAATAAAAGTTAACAATAACTCTCAACTTCCAATATGATGATACTCAGACTCAGCAATGAACGAAATAATGTCTGTTCTGTAGGTTATTGGAAAAAATAAACAAATGAGCTAATTGACAAAAAATACCTCTTTTGTAGCAAAAATAACTCAAAATGTACCAAAAACGAACAAACATATCAATAGAATATCTTTACTTTCGGAGTCCAGGTGGCTTTTCAGATCCCTTGCACCTCCATTGGACACCGAGACATATGTGCCTGCTTTACACACTGTGCACAAGGCCTCCCGTTTGCCTCGATCCGGTCTGAAAGCGGGGAAACTCTTTTGTAAATCGTTGGTAAACATACATTTGTGCCTTTGCATGTTGTTGGCGTACTGACAGCCACGCTATCTATATTCTGATTAAGAACAGGGCTGCCCGCACTGACGCGGCTCAGGGATTACGTCACACGCAGCGTCGTGCGCAGTGCCCTAGCGCCTTTAAAATTAATCGGCCAATTAAGGTAATTTAAAAAATCAGGACATTTCCTCACTTTCTAAAAAAAAACCCGGGACGCCCAGGACAGGACGTGAAATACGAACATGTCCTGGGAAATACGGACGTTTGGTCACCCTAAGATATAGTACATTGCAGAAGTACACATTACAGCCACAACTGTATTTTACTTTTTATGTGATAAACAAGCACAATAAGTGTATAATTGTGACTTACAAATAGAAACATCTAAAGATAGAGTAAATACTTAGTGGAGGCACCAACTTCTGCATCACAGATGTAATCGGTTTGGTCTCTACCAGCTTTGCACATCTGGAGACAAGAAATGTTGCACATTGTTGAGATGCCGCAGATTCTCAGTTTTATTTATGTCTGCATGTATTTTCACCAGAACCGTTCTGGTGTAGCTCTGGTTGTGTGTTAGGATCGTGGTACTGCTGGAAGGAAATCCTCTACTCTAGTCTCAAGACTTTTGAAGCCAAATGTTAGTCTCATCGGACCAAAGCACCTTTCTTCCTGTTTTCTAATATTCTTTGACCACAAACAGAGCTGCTGCATTCCGGTTTACCAATGAGGTGAGATCTGAAGGTGGTTCTATACAGGTTTTACTTTGGGTAGAGAATCAGAGTAAAATGGGCCCTTTACATAAATATTACACTTTTCAGATTTTTTTCAAAATAAAAAAAAAATGGATTAGTTTGGGTTAAATTCACAGTTACGTTTTACTATCTCTGTCATATAAATCTTAATTAAATAAATGATCTAATATTGGTAATCATGATGGAACAAAATGTGTAAAAGCTAAAAGGGTGTGGGTCCTTTTGCATGGTACAGTATCTCCCTCTCTTTCTCCTCCTCTGCCTCCTCCTCAGCAGAGCCTTGTAAAGTGTGGTGTGGCGGTTTCCATGGTGACCGACCCCCTTGTCATTTACGCCTGTTTCCCTCTCTCTGCCATCCCTCCCCATCCAGCATGCTATCGCTTTTTGTTTGAAGGAGTCGGGGAACAAACCTCCTGTGGTAAAGTATTACACCTTGCTCTCCTCTCACTGCCTAACTGACCAGTCGATCGCCACGCCACTCACCTTAGACTGAATGATATCACGCTAATGGTCGCTCCAACCCTCAGAATGAATGGCACTGTTTTAACTCATCAGCTTTCAGCACAGCTGACTTGCATCCATGGTTTCCTGTTGGAACTCTTTGTAAAGAGGCAGACTGTTGATGTATGATAGAACATCTTCAACTGCTTCCATCAGGGCTGTGCAGCAGAAAGTTACAGTCGATTCACTCAGTCATGCAGCACTTTTATTGTTTGTCACAAGTCAACAATAAACAGAGATACCATCTAAGCTCTAACACTCATAATTTATTTTTATTTAAGAGACTTTAAACTATTAGAAGTGTCACAACTTTTTGTTTATGTTGCATGGAAACTTTCTTGTTTTCACTACCATTTTTCTAACCAAGGCCTTTTCTGCTCGATTTAAGCTTTGCCTGGCACCACCTGGTTACTTAATGTGTATGTGTTTGCAAGTGTTTTTATTAAATGCAGTTTGTGCTTTTTGTTTACATGGGACTTTCTTCTTTCTGCACTGGCTTCTAAGCTTGACCCCATGTTGTTTTTTTATTCTTGTGATGAAAGGCCTGCATTGGCTGGTTCCTGTTGACAGGGTTCCTACATGTAGAAAGTGTTTCTTAATCTCACACATATTCAGAGATCTCAGTCCATTTTGAGCTTTTATGGGCGGACTGACTCTATTTCCATATTTGTCCAAAAATTAATCAAAATAGGAACCCTGTAATGTATTTTAGTTTTGCTTCTTTGAGTCTAGTTTGAATTTCTGCTTTTTTATTTGTGCTCAGCAAAGCTGTTTCCTGCTGTCTGAGCTCATTGTTCGTCATGCTTTTCTTTTTGTGTTGGAGGAACTATTCCCTTTTAACTCCTCGTCTAAATGTTCTTTTCATCTCCTGTCTTGCTCTTGTCTAGATCCGCTATAGAAAGGACAAAGTTCAGTCCAAGCTGACTCCTACTTTTCCTTTGGTTTCTGCGATCAAAGATCTGTCTAATGGCTGCGCCATAGCTGCTGTTCTGCACTACTACTGCCCAGGCCTCCTACCTCTAGAGGGTACTAACAAACACATATACACTGATGCAACATGTAAAAGCTCCTTGCACACTAAATGAAAACCATTTGTAAAGATCCATAAATCCTGTTTTTATACGATATATAACACTAAACACAATAACAATCTGATTAGTATTTAGTAGGGTAAAATCTTACACATTAATATATCTGACATTTTTCATCCATGCTTTGGCTTTCTAGGAATGTCAAACTACTATCATAAAATGATCATCCATGTCCCCCTGTGTGTTCTCGTTCCAGATGTTTGTCTGAAGGACACCATGTCTGTGGCAGACAGCGTCTACAACCTCCAGCTGATCAAGGAGTTTTGCGAGAGTAACTTGCAGAGCTGCTGCCCCCTTGCTGTGGAGGACCTGCTTTACGCACCACCAGCTCTGCATGTAGGCATGAAGATCTTTAACAGCAATGATTATCAAGTATAAAAAAAAAACAGTACTTATTGGAATTCGTGTCATTTTCAGCTAGCCCTACATCGTCTCTGGCGCCTTAGAAGGAAAACAGGAAGAAAGCGGTTGTTATCTGAAACTTTTGCTCAGTACTTTATTAATGAACTCAAGTATATATTTATATGCACAAAAAGCCTGTTGGAGAAAATAATCTGGTGGGGTATGACTGATTGTTGTCATTATTTTCATATGCCTTATAATCTAAGAGAAATTATAATTTAGCAACCAGAATCCACATGAGATCTAAGATCAGGAATTAGTGAGAAAACGTTTTTTTTTTCCTTTTTTAAAGTTTTTAGATTAGTATTCCTTATTTAGACTGAAAATACATCATTTTAAGTACACTATTAATGGTGATGAGAGATTTCTTCTCTTTAGCTGAATATAATGAGCTTCCTAGCAGAACTGCTGGAGTGGTTTGAGGTTAAGAAGCCTGATTTTGTGAAGCCCATCCAACCCATCGATCTCACAGGTTGGTACCCTCACCAAGCTGCCTTTATGGTGTCTCTTGTTGCTTTGTGCATGTTTTTAAGCCCCCATCTGTGTTTGTAAATGCTTTAGATGTCACAGGGTTACTCGACTGTACGAGTCCTGTCGGTGGAAACAGTAACAGGTACCATTTTCCCATTATTCACACCTAAACAACACTTTTAATATTCAAAAAGCTCTCATCATGGAAACAGTCTTAAATCAGGTCTTAATTGTACAATATTTCGTTTAATAACACAAGAGGGAAAAAAACAACCTTTCAAGTACAGATGAGGACAATTTGGTCTTTCAGCTTATTTAAACATTATTTATTTGTCCTGCAAGAGCATCAGTGGAAATCAGCAGTCTAATCTATGCCTGCAGGCATGAAGTACTTTTGATACTTGATAGTAAATTTTCCAAACCATCCCAAAATATTTGGATATGATTTATTATAACCCTTAAAGCAACACTTTGAAAGAAAAGTAACCTTTTAATGTTCTTAAAAATATTTTCAGAAATTTTGTGATTATTCTTCAACTGAAATACACATAAAAAGGAGAGCTTTGAAGATGCAGGTCGTGTGGCTTCCAGCAGGAGAAGAATTCAAAACACTGAGCTGAAAGGATTATCTCAGAGATTATTTATTCCATGGTCAAATTGCCTTCATTAAGTCCAGATCTTAATCCCCATCATCTATGCAGGTGTGGAGGCAAAAACATTAAAAACAGAGAATGCTGCAGCAGCTCCATCATGCAGATTGGCTGGCAAATGGAGCCATCTGGTTGGGATTTTAAGAGATTACATGTGGTTGGTGATTGCTGGAAAGTTTCAGCAACAAATTATCTACTTAACCATTTACCCTCTAACTACCATCTCTTTATGACTTAGCTATTTTAATTTCTTAAACAGGAACTATTTGTAGGCTATCAAGCTGAAAATTCAGTTTTGTGGGATTCAGATCCGAGGTATGAGTGGAAAAAATTAAGGAAATCAAACTTTTAAATACGTTTTAAATGATTAAGTTTTTCTTTTTTAAGATGGTCTTCTTGTATCAATAAATAGATTTTTATAAAATTCCAACAAAAAAAAAAACAATCTAAAGTCTAAATCACTAGGTTCAGACTCCAGTAATGAAATCTTTCTGTTTTCTGTTAGCAGTTCTCCATCGTTCATCTTCAAACAACCCTTTGTGCCAATCTCCTCTCCAGTGTCTCCAGGTAAATAATCAGCACTTTGCATCTTTACAGGGATGGATGCTTTATTATAATTTAATTGACTCATTTTAAACACTTCTTGCAGAAAACAAGAGCTGGACAAAGAAAAAAATCAGGTATGTTAATATTAAAGCTTGTTATAAATGTAAACGTGTTGCATTCGTATTTTGATTTTTTACTCTTCTTATGTTGGCTTCTGTGGTTTCTGCTTCTTAAATGCTCGTTGGCATCCATTTTTGTGTCGTCACCCACCTCTCTGCAGTCGTCCTCTGTCAGCAGTGACTTTCAGCATCCCATTCGGCCTGGACAGTGATGTTGACATTGTCATGGGAAACCCAATAGATTCTGTCTTTCGCTCTATCAGCACCGACAACCTCACCGGCACCCCGGCTCTGAGCTCACCGGCAGCCTCAACAGGGATGACTCGTGTCCCGTTCAGCCCTCCAGAGGACCTCAGCCACCTGGTCAGTGCTTCGGCCCCTTCGCAGCACTCCTCCTGGGTCCCATATGCACATACAGCACCGCTCAGAGAGCTGCCCACCATCGAGGAGGCTCGGCAGGTGGTTCTTATACCCGGCGGTAAAGATAGGATGAAGGGAAGAACGTCAGAGAAAAGTGGACGAGAGGTTTTTTCCTGCAGGCCGGAGCCCAGGCTGTGTCCTGATGGAGCTCCTGCAGGTTTCTTTTTGCACTCCCCTGAAGAGGACAGTCCTCAGCTCAGCAGCTCTGCTCCCTGTCGCGCTGGAGTCCAGTATCGACCAGTCAGGGGGGATGCTGGAATTGGTGAAAGGCAAGGTAGGAAGGACAGATCAAAAAAGCAATCTGATATGTCGCGTGATGACGACTCTGTTCTACGAGATGGCAGCATTGACTCTTCAGAAGCATCAGATGAAGCTCCCAGAAATGTCCCTGGGAATATCCGGCCCTCTAACGGTAAAGGGAATCATAACAACGACAGTCCACGCATGACCAGCTTTGCTGAACGCAGAGACAACAGACGAAGACACCCCGCCACCCCTGGAGAGGAATCAACCTCAGCTCCAACCCCAACCACCCCAGGCACACCACACACCCCTTCCACGCCAGCGTCTGGTCAGCAAGGGAGTCCAGGTCCCCGAGGGTCCGAGCCAGGCTCTGAAGCCTGGGAGCTTGGAGCACGACTGGAAGAAAAACGCAAGAATATCGAAGCTCAAAAGAGACGAATCGAAGCCATTTTTGCGAGGCACAGGCAACGGCTTGGGAAAAATGCTTTCCTTCAGCTGAAAAGAGAGCAAGGTGAGGGAGGAGTGGAGGGAGCAGAGGAGGATGGGTTGACCCTTGAGGAGCGTCTGACTCGCATGGAGGAACAACTGAAACAGGAGGAGGAGAAAGAGACAGAGAAAGAGAAGCCGTCTGTTTCCAACCCTCCTCGTTTGGAGAAACAGGTCACCTTCTCTGTGGAGAGCAAGAAAGGAGCAGAGAAAGGAGCAGAGAAAGGAGCAGAGACGGTAGATGGAAAGGGCCCGGAGAAAGGAGGAGAGGCTGTCATCGTGGAATACAATGAAGTGGTGCAGAAGCTGAGTGAAGCCTTGCAGTCTCTCCAAAAGGACATGCAGAAACTAACAGAACAGCAGCAGCAGCTCATGAGCAGCCAAAGACCCCCAAACGTACCTAAGACCTTCCCAAGAAGCAATAGTAGAACCCCCCCTCACACCCCGACAAAGACACCCCCGAGAACTCCTTCCAGGAGCGGTACTAAGGCTTGGGTCATACCTGCTGCTTCTAATTCCACTGAGACTACTTCCCCATCCCGCCGCTCCCACATCCTTCCCTCAGCCACCTCCCCAAAGGTGATCATCTCCAGCTCCTGTCCAGCTCCTCGAAGTAAAATCCACTCCTCATCCTCTCCCCGCAGTCCCAAAAACAGCAGCCGTCCCCACCACCAACCTCACCCACGGCCCTCAGAGCTCAAATTCCCTCCGCTCAACCGTGTCTTGACACCGACCCAGAATGTGGACACCATCCCACACCTGCGACGCGTCTCACCCAGTAAGTGTCAGGTCCAGACCTCCTCCTCCTTCCACATCGGTGGACCTCGAACCCCACAGGAGTCCCCTCGGACTACACAGCAGATGCCTCCTGATGAGAGCACCTCTGACACGGGTTCGAGTGAGACACCCACCCAGTTCAGCCTGGAGCTGGAGCAAGAGGATGCAGAGTCAGTAGGAGCACTGCCCGTCCTGCCTCAGATCAGACAGGAAAGGCCTAGGGCTGCTGGAGGCAGCAGCTCCGGTGCTCCCTCTGAGTGCTCCTTTGAGATTGACACCCTGTCCCTCTCAGCTGCATATAGCGCAGGAGGAGATGGGGAAAGAGGCGACGGTGCTCAGCAGCCCTGCAGCCTGACTGAGGCGTTGCAGTCTTTTGCTGGAGGGCCAGAGGGGGGCAGTGATGAACCAATCGATGAGGGTCAGGAGTTTTCCTCTGATTCCATGAGCGACCACACAGAATCTGCTTCAGAAGCAGGGAGAAGCCCACTTCCTCAGCACCAAGGTCCCGTCAATATAATTGGTCAAGCTACCGCTGACAGAGATGGGCCTGAAGCACAGACCCAACTAGCAGAGCAGCAAAGCAGTTTCACTGAGACAGCAGAGCCAAGCGGAGAGAAGACTGAACCCGGAGCAAGAGGAGGAATCGGATTCTTCTTTAAGGTTAGTGTTTATACTCAACAACAAATCCATCACATTCAAAAAGGACAGCAATAAAAACAGTTTACAAAAAAAGGGTATGACATTGTTCAGTGTTTCCTAGACGCCCTATTTTTTAATCTATGGAATTAAAGGTAGGCTATTTCAATGTCTGAATAATACTGAAATATAATAATACTGAAATTGTTCCTTATTGTTTCACTACAATCCCCAAACTTTAATGTGTATTAGTACATGTAGTGGCTAAAATCCTATATTTTAGGCTACTGGTTGTTATTCCTGAAGGCGTTAGTTTTACGTACGCTCAATTAAGACCATCATGCCAATCTTTCCTTTGACTTATAATAAAGTCATTTATTAACATAACAATGTCCATAGTTTTACCAATTGCCTTATATAAATACATATATTTGACATAATCTAAACAAAACATAGTAGAAAACGGTTGCCTCCTCTCATTAATTACACCTGAACAGAATGGTTGACCTTAAATAACCCCATCACCCATCAAACAATCAGAACTCAAAATGAAATACGCCAACTGGTGGCGATAAACACAGGACAGGACAAATGGCTCCTACAGTAGGTATATCACAGACCAACACGCACTGATGAACTTTAAAATAGAAGGGAAACGGTACTAGATTTTCAAGAAGTGTAATAAATGCCTAAATCTGGGGGAGCTGCTGAGGAGGAAGTCTAATCACGGGGAAATTATTAGTTCTGCACCTTGTTAACACAGGGATCCCAAACATGGATGTTACACCACGAGCTGTGTGGATGCTTTCTTCTGCAGGGGTGTAGAAACTGACCAGAGTTCATGGAAAGATTGCTGAAAAGAAATAAAGCACAGCTCTCGAATAACATCTAATAAAGGCTGCAATGGATTATAGATTGGGGTTAAAGATCATCCTAAATCTAAGCAAGGAGCCACACATACTTCAGATCAAAGTATATTCATGGCAGATGTCCTAACCTTCTGGGAATCTCTGCAAATTCCTAAAATGGATGTTTAACTGCACTCTATCCAATCACACTAAGGTGAAATAGTTTTGCAAAGAAAAAAAAATATATCAAAATATTTAATCTCTAGAAGTGTGAAGCTTGTGAGGATTGGGTGTCTCACAAGTTTTAAATATCAACTCTGCGTGGCTGATTGCAAGTGCAACTTGTTCATTATTCTGTAGAAAAAAAGCAAATTTATTTGGGTTTGTCTCATAAAGTCCTAATGAAATGCGTCAAAGTTTGTGGTAGTAAGATTTAAAAAATGTATGAACAAATCAAAGGGTATAAATACATAACAGTATAATCTAGATGCATTGCTTAAATAAACATATATGATGATAGATGGTCACAGTTTTGTTTTATTGTAAAACACTTTCTAAACCTAGAAGACAGTTTAGTTTTTCCTCTCCGAGTTTAGGCCTCAGCAGCCTCTTTCATTACAGAGCTTACTCTGCATAATTATACTGCATAAAACTGACCAAGAGATCGTACATTTTACTAAATTGATCTTTCTGGTATTTCTGCAAAGGTTGATGTGTTTTTCACCACTTAAAGGCTGCCAGACATTTGCTAGTTAAGTGAATTGTGGTGTGTTTGTAGGAGGATGCACACAGTGAAGGGGAAATAGCTCAGCGCAGAGCTCTGCTTTTAGAGAGACAGCAGAAAAGAACGGAGGAGCTGAAAAAGAGAAGACAATGGCATGAGCAAGAAAGAGAAAACAGGTAAACCCCACATATAAGTATGCTTTCACAAGTTAATGCTTTCCATTGTTCAAATCGTGTCTCCTATTAGAAGCCAGTTTGCTAACTTGAGAATAACCTTTGGGCTTGTGTTTTTTCCCAGACCGGCATCATCTGAAAGAGGGGCTGCATTCCCATCCAATACGCCTCCAGCAGTCACCACCTCACCTTCCCCCACACCTCCTGCAACTCCCGCTCGGCGAGACGATTTCACACGAGGGGAGTACGAGCGAAGACATCAGCTTAGAATCATGGAGGACCTGGACAAAGTCCTGAAGCAGAAAACAACTAATCATCAAGCCCGAAGTTCTGTTAAGAAAACCCGCTCCAGGCCTCGCAGCATGACCCGGGAAGAAACCAAGCTGTCTCTGAGTCCAGCCAAGGGAGCAACTGGTACAATGACAAAATAAGGAGAAAAATTAGTATGTGTTGGTAGCTTCAGTACTAGTCATTTTTATTTTATTTTCTTAGGCTCCAAGATGAAAAAGGTCTACTCTCAATCCTCACTAAACCTTGCAGCCACAGAGGAGTCTGGAAATAATGGCGAGTCCACAAAGAAACCCCAGAGGTACACCTGAATTTGACACTACTTTCCTGGTTTTCTGTCCATTCCTGTTACCTGATGATGAGAGTATAACACATTTAAATAAATAAAAAACAGCGCAGAGACCAGACATGTCAGCTGATCTTCTGCTGTATGTAATTTCTGTTCCATGCTGCTGCTAATGCCCAAAAGTCCAGTTTAAAAATGGCACTTTGCTTAATCCCTGTTCCCACCTGGGTTAGACTTATCTCAATGTTTAAAAATAGCAAGAACAAGTCTTCTCTTTGATTTTAGAAGTCTTCAATTATGCTTGGAGATTGCAGTGGTCTCCCTATTATGTGTGAGAGTTTTGAGAATACACCAAGCTTTCCTGTTAAAGTCTTCTTGGCTGCTTCAAGGAGAAGCCTAAAGGCAGCAGAGCCTCAGCACCTCTGCATGGCTCAGGGAGAAGCAGACATGGCCATGTGTTAAGCTAACCACAGTCATGCCCAACTAGCAGCACTGCATTATACATGCATTACATCCCGACACATAGCCAAGCTGTGCACCAAAACACTGTTAAAATAAAAGCAAAACATGTTACCTACTGTGGCTGGATTTTGACTACATCTTGGACACTCTAGTCTGGGCTAGTATCAGGGAATATTCTAGCCAACACCTCATTTTAATAGTGCAATGTAAAACTTTAAACTGAATAAGGCCATGCCTCAAGCAAAGAGATGTTGTATGTTTATATTTCAAGCTATCTTGCCAAATCTCATTGTGCAGTGCAATGCCTAAATCCTCTACCCACGCAAGCTTAGTACCCTCTGTGATGGTGGGTTAAGGTCCTGTAAAATCCACCATCAGTCTTCTGTCAGTAGTCTCTAAGTAGATAGTAGAATTCCAATAGAACTACATTTATCAATCTGACTTATACCAGGTTAAACCAAAACAGCCAATTCACTGTAAATAAATAAAACGCTATTCTAGCAGGAAGAGTAAACCAAGAGTGATCCCAAACACTTGCCACAAGCAGCTATTAGGTTTAAGGGGCAATTACTTTTTCACATACAAAATGTAATGGTGAGGTGTATGTTTGAGCACCTATTACACAATATTCAGCCCCCTGAATATTGAAAACTATCAACTAACTATCAACAGATGTAGCTAATTTCATTGTCACCATCTGTTGATAGTTTTTTCTCCTCTGTGGTAATGCTGAAACTGATGGTGGAGGTGTAGAAATCTGAGTTTGTCCAATTAATCCCTGATTATAGGGACTATTGGAGCTTCCATATTTGAAGCTTTGCCACTATAGATACCTTTTATATCTGCTATAAATTCAGTGATGTGAGTCATACAGAGGCTGGGATTGGCAAATTAAAAAGTAAATAAAATTGCATGCAGTTAGAAAAGCTTATTTATGGCAACAACAAAAAAAACAACTCGCCTTACTTATAAACAAGGCAACACTGTGGAGAAATTTGTTGTTTTTGCTGCCATGTTTGTCTGATTTTGAGGATGATGTTGAACAATAGAAAATGGTTTTAACCTACATGTCCTACTCCCATCTCATTCATCATAATTAATTAGAAAGTAAAGAGTGTTATGTCATCCAACAGCCGTTTTGATTCCCCTTCACGATGCGTGACACCAAGCAGACCCATAAATCAGAATGGAGACAAAGACTGGGAGTCTGGTTCCAATGGGACCTCGCCTGCCCCAGAATACACAGGTACATCACCACACAGCACAGACCTGCATTCAGTGACTGGATACATACTAGCACCAGATGAATTCAGTGTTAGTATATTGAAACAGTCAGTCGTGTGTAAGTAAATTATTTAACTTAGTGTAGATGTAGACTAGTTTAAGATTTGGAGAAAATCAGCTGTTAATAGAATCAAAATATAAATCTATAATGAGATTAACTAAACTGGCAAATCAAATCAAAGTTCTCTGTCTGGTAAGAATAAAGTCTGTATATTCAAATAGTAATGTTTTGATTGGTTAAACAGGCCTTTGATCAGCTGTGTTACGTTATTTAGAAATAAGCAGGAGAGTCCCTGTGTTCAAACATGGCTCTGTAACGCTAATAACTGTGACTCTCATTCTCAGGTCCAAAACTCTTCAAAGAACCAAGCTTCAAGTCCAATAAATTCATTATTCACAATGCTTTGTCGCGCTGCTGCCTGGCTGGGAAGGTGAACGAGACGCAAAAAAACAAGATCGTTGAGGTTAGGATATATTTTGTTTTCTATGACAGACATTTTTCACATAGTGTCTGAGAATTTAAAATAACCTTTTTATTTTCGTGTTCTCTTTGCTCTGGTTTCAGGAGATGGAAAAGAGCTCTGCCAATCACTTCCTCATTCTCTTCCGCGACTCCAACTGTCAGTTTAGAGGCGTTTACACCATGAACCCTGACACGCAGGAGCTGGTGCGGCTGGCGGGCGTGGGCCCTCGGTCGGTTAGCTCCAGCCAGGTGGAGTCCATCTTCAAATACAGCTCAGACAGGAAGCAATTCAGCACCATCCCATCAAAAACCATGGGGATGAGTGTGGACGCCTTCACCATCCCCAGCCAGCTTTGGCAGGGAGGCGGTGGAGGAGGAGCGGGAGGAGGCAGTAACCGGAGAGCAACTGTCACCAAGAAGGTGGCTATCTCCAAGTGAGGAGGAGTGTAAATTAGAATGTTATTAAATTGGAAAAAAAAAAATATTCGGACACAAATCTATTTATGTGCACACAGATTCTGTGTAATCTCTCCCATTTTTCAGAATTACAAACCTATTTCTATTTCTATTCCCTTTAACATCTATTAAAATGTTCACTGTGTAACAGAGACACACTGTAAAAGAGAAAACGGAGCATTTCTTTCAAAAAAGACAATTTCCTGTTCTTTTTAGTTTGAAGTTCAAACCTCTCTGTGGAGGAAAATCAAACCCTTTTAATTTGCACATTGAGAAAAGCATGTTGATAGGCTGAATAGTGCCTATCAACATAGGAAAATGCCTTCAAGTCACATCAGATGGCTGACTTTGATTTTTTTTTTTCTTCATGTTAACTCTCCCAGTACCTGTTACTATGTGGATAAAAGCACATTTGATAGCCATAAGTATGTGATGCAGAGATGAACTGTGTTCAACTTTTAGAGGACTTTGTTTGGATGTTATTTAATCCCAGCAGTTTTCAGACATTATCACTGCAGCATGAAAGGTTCTTTACTCCACGTTGTGAAATATCACAATGTAAACTTGTGATTTAACGAAACTGATGATGTGAGAGCATTAGATGCTGCTTTAAACCTGTTTTTGTACAATAAACTGTTAGCATAATGCCGAATGACATGCAAGAGGAATCTGGACTGTCATACTCTCAGGTGGAGATAAGTGCTGATAGTCTATAAATAAATACAAACTTGAATTACTTAATTATTCTTTCTTTTTAAGATTATAGTATGCTCCTTCTTAACACCACAGGATTAATTTAGAATCAAGTTCAGGGTGATCTTTGGGTTTAGACAACCTTGCTAACTCCAGATATCTGTAACAGAGGAAAGAATAATGGGCCTAATCCTGAGGTTCTGTATATTGCTGTTTAAGATTTGGAATGTGTTCTGACCTTCTTACTGCAGATTGGACGATTAAAACAGCTGAAGTTTGTTTGAGGCTGGAAGTTAGAGCCTTTGTTCCTGGCATTGATGTTTGTAGCCATAATTGGTACCGTATATTATTATAGGTTATTTCAATATTTACTTGGTCATCGTAAAAATGTAACAGCTTCACTGAATATTCAGAGTTGAGCTCAATCATTGCTTGAATTTACAGTTTTTTATGGATCGTTACAGACATTTCTGGATTTCTAAGGTAAAAACAAATGTAAAGGTACAGTGGAGGATGTTCTTCCTCCTGGTGTATCATCTAAATAAGTGGTCCTCCTAATTGTCAATCTTTCTGGTTATATGTTTACATAATGCCATCGTACATGCTCGTCCCCATTTTCACTTACCGGTGGTGAGTCTGACATATTGGAAAAATTGCTAATCTTATTTTGGAAAGTAAACTTGTATGAGTGATGCAAACAGCAAATTTTAAACAGAGCGTGCACGAGGAGAAACGGGCTTATGCACACGTTTAGTAGGCATTTCCTACAGGTATAGGGTTGTGCATGTGTATTTTTTTTTAAGTGGAGAAGGCTGATCTATTCAAAAATGTATGAAAATCCTCTACTATACCTTTAAAAAGCTTTTCTCAGTCTCACCACAACAAGTTTTTAGATGCAGGGGAACCATCAACATGGATAAAAGTTTGTTTTAACAGGGTGACCTGCAGGACTCTTCTGTGGGTTAACTATCACATCATAGGTGCTCTTTCCCGCAGCTGCCTTTGAAACTGACCCAGGTAATCTGTGTCCATCTACTGAGAAGGAACCATCACTCCCCTCTTCAAGCTGCATCCTGATTCCCAGCTGTGAGTTGAAATAAGGTAAATAGGGTTAAGTCAAAAAGCATTTATAAGAAGCATTCAAGAGTGTACTGTTTTATTGCGTCTTCCTTCACCACATAGCTCTGAGATGCATTACTACAGAATGATTTTTTTAATTAATATAAATACTTTTTATTGCACTGGATGCAGCACAGTTATTTAGGATCTTTGTTGCAGTCTTAACACATGAATGCCAGTTTGTAACCCATCAGTCACTGAAAGCCTTGGACAAATGAGTTTTTTACAAAAGGAAGACTGAAGTTAACCAAGTTTTAACTGTCAAAGTCTAATTAAAGGTCACAAGTTTTGGTGATTTTTAATCATTCATGCTCAGTTTGGATAAAGATTGAAGCATCTTAACAATAATGAAGATTTTAAAGCGAAATACTTCAAGCATTGATCTTTTCTCTGCATTGTTTTTTTTTCTCCTACTCTGGAAAGTTGTTTATATTGTATTTTATGAGCTAAAACCTTTGTGACCAAATTGCATAGCAAAAGATTTATCTTAATGAATTGAGCTGAAGTTATATGTTTAGTCTCATTAATGGTTTTAAGCAATAGCAATGAAGAATATGAAAAGGTTTTATGTATGAAATAATCTAAAATGTGCTGGAATTGTTATCCTTATTGCTTTCTGCAGTTTAAGAGTCAAAAATATCACAAAGGTCAAACTAATTTAGTGTGAGAATTTTGTCACTCTTGGATGCCCCCTGTTGGTCTGGAGGCCCAAGCAGTCGCAGAGGCTATTTGAAATGATTTAAGCCAGTAATGAATGGCTTCACAGACAGTTGGGAAACTTTCACATTTCGTGTGATTATTTTCTCTGCAGCAAAGACCCCATTAAATGCACTCGCTGATTTCACGACTCAATATGTTTCCACACGAACAGCAGAGGAAGAAAGTAGGCAATGAAGCTCAGAGAAAGCTGAAGCTGCACAGAAAAATTCAGTAACGTCAAACTCCACATTAGGACTGTTTCCTCTCTACAGATGTAATATTATGTTGCGGTAAATCCCAGATTCTCATTAAAGTCCTAACAGTTACATTTGATTTAACCTAACATTTATGCTATTTAGATAAGAATGCAGTATCATGATAACTTCAGAGTGACAAAGTGAACAGACATACACTGGGCTGAGGAGGAGGCTGCAGGGGAAACGCTGTGGTACAATAAGAGCAGATTGCATATTGAAAGAAAAGAGTACATCATATCAGAGTATCTAACACCATGTGTGATAGCTTCTGTGTTGCTAATGGACATCATCTGGTTGGACTTTAGTGTCAGGGTCAGCTTGTGTGTCCACGGAGCTGCTGGTTGTGATGTTCCACACACCAGCATCGTGCTCCGGCTCCAGGGAAGGGCTCGCAGAGGTCGGGTCGGACATGTTGGCTGCGGCAGGGTCCTGTGAGATAACGGTGGAAGTTGGAGGGGGACTGAAAGCGGCCTCGGTGTGATGGTCAGAGAGATTGTTTGCCAGCGTTTCAGATGGGAGGACAGCTGAAGGGTCAGAGGACGGCAGAGAGGAGGAGTTAAAGGTTGTGTTTGAGGACAGGTTAGCTGGAGTGAGGTAGGGGGAATCAGACAGCATTTCAGAAGAGGAGTCCAGGAGTAAGTGTGTTGGCGTGGGCCGGGGAGTGTGTGCAGGAGTGGGCTCCTGTGGATCTGTGCAAACCGGTTGGCCTTCAGCCACGTACCACACCTCATTATGCCTGTTTAGCAGCTTTAAGGGACTGCAAGCACAAGAGGAAGAGCAGAAGACAAGTGCATAGAAGTGTTTGGAAAGGAATTTCCAGATAAAATAGAACATGGTTTGACATTACTGGAGCAAACAGGAGTAAAATGTTACCTACCTGTCATAACCCACTCCATAGTGATAACTGTGGTTGTAGGAAGCGTGCACCCTCTGAAGCTCTTTGGTCAGCATGTGGGAGTGAAGCCTGGAGGTGACCGACATCATCCAGCCTCCGTAGCTCCTCACGTACACGTCCATCTCCGGCATCTCAGTAAAATACAGCTGTGGAAAAAAACAAGGAAAACATATCAGGAAGCAGCAAGATCGACATCCCAGATGATACTTCTGATACTTCAGCCACTGGCACTGAGTATTCTAAAAGGGTCTTCTACTCTCTGTGAAGGTCTTTGTCCAGTTTTTCTGAGTTACCAACTATAACCCATCCAGATGCATTAATGTGTCTGAACTAAAGTGATGAACCAGTGCAGGTCTTACCCAGAGCAAACGATGCCTTTCCTTTTGCTGAATCAGGGAAAATAAGATTAATATTATTTTACCCCAATAAGAACAAATATGTGATGATTTTTGGTATAAACCTTTAACCCTAAATACCAATATGTAGCAAAAAAGGCAAATTGCAACAATTTATTTTTATAGAAACACTATTTAGTTTAAACCAAACTAATTAATTATTATTATTATTTTTTTGTAATTACATGTACTCTGGTTTTTGCCATGAAATTTCTTTTAAATAAAAAAAAAAATTTTTCTTTTAAATGTTACAAAATTGAAGGGGCAAGTTTCGTTGGCTCTGTGGTTAGCGCGCACGACGGCGGCCTTAGTCCTTGACGTGAGTCTTACCTGTTGTCTCTCATACCCCCTTTCCTGTCAGCCTACAGTATAAAAAAATGAGCCACTAGTGCCGTTAAAAAAACAAAAAACAAAACCCACAAAAGTGATAAGGTCACACTCTCTCCTCCAAGAACAACTAAGTATTTCATCAAGTTTCCAAAAAAGGGTTAAAATATTAGCAGTTATATAAAAAGGTTATGATAACCTGTAATCTGTGCCACACTCCAACCCTCCAACCAAAGCTTCTGTGTGTTGCGTTTAGATTTTATGTGATAGATCAACGGAAAGGAGGTCATCATTATTTTTACAAATGCAATTCTATTCTGACAGTATTAAAAAATAATAATAATTTAAAGTGATGAACTGACTTCAGACATTTCCCGGTAAGTAGATACAGTCAATCTGACTGCTTTGGTAGAAAACATTAGTTTAACAGCATCATGAAGACTGGGCGACACAGGTTAATAAAATGCAAAACTTGGCTGGAAAAAGGGCAGGAACCTTCCAGTAGGACAATAATCTGAACATGCAGCCAAAGCTACAATGCTATGACTGGTTTGGAAACACACTCCTGGGTTTAGATCTGAGTTAATAACTGAATAGATTTAAAGTCATCAAGTTTCAGGGGATGCATTTATTAATCTGTCTATATGGATTTATAAGAAATATGTTTGGAGCCAAAAGCTTTTATCTTTCTGTTCCTCTGAGTGAAAGCAGGATGAGAGACAGACTCAGTTTTCTGCATCAGTGCCTATTATTGATCGTTAAGATGAAAAAAAAAAAAAACAGAAGAAACAACCCTGATCACATTATGCAGAGCTCCTCAGAGTTCAACCTTCTAACTTTCAAGGACAGCTGCCCAACCCAAACAGAGAAACTGCATCCTTCTGCAGTTATAGGTTCTATCTAGTTCACCTTGTCATTAGTGGGTGCAGGCGGTTTATCCTGATAGGCTGACGGCAGCAGGAAGCTGAGCGTATAAACAGCAGGCTCCCACATCGTGGTTTCTTCTGGGACCTTCACCAGTACAGGAGCTGTCATCTCCATCTTCACACCTAGACAAAAACCCACAGAATTTTAATTAATCAAAAGTTATTGAGTAAGACAGATTCGTCTCCTCTCCCATCCTTACCTTCTTCATTTCCTCCATTGATATACATGAAGAGCCTCCTGAAAGCCATGGCTGCACCCACCCCCATAAAATAGGCCTCTGCATCTGTTGACACCCAGCGAGTGGGGCTGATATGTCGCACCTGAACACACACAACCATGAAAGGTGACAGATATGAATTCTAGAAGCAGCAGGGTTTGTGTTTAAGCCGCTTGTTGGCACTTCAGACTCACTTCATACTCGTCTGTTTTGCAGATCAGCTCATATTCCAGACATTCCCTGGACTCGGTGCAGAAGCTGGTGTTGGTAGCTGGTCTGCAACACAGTGAAAAAATATACAAGGAAACACATTTTAATTAATGTTATCACATCAGTCAAAGCGTCACCTCTTCTAATCTAAAAAGGCATAAACACAGGATTGGTATGAAGGACAGAGGACAGATAGGGACAAAAGTGGATAAAAACTCTGATACTGAGCTTATAGAAGGTCGGATAAGGTAAAAATGACAGATAACCAAAAAGGTCAGCTTGAATTTCATAAAATGTGTCACCTTGATGCATTTTGAGGTCTGTTCATTTTTTTTTTAGATTGTCTCTAAAACAGCTGGTAATGAAAACAAGCCGAGTCAATCAGCCTGGGCTGATGAGGATTTTATTAATTTAGCAGGAGGATGATTAGGATGCAAAGAAAAAAAAAATTAATGAAAGAGGGTATCAATGATTACTAAATATTTCCAATCTTTGTTGATGTAACATTTAATATTTTCCGTTTTTTTCTATTGTTGGCTATTTGTGCACCAGGAATATTCCAGAGGAACAGTCAGTAGAGGTTAACAATTATATATGAGGCCCATATAGGTAAGAACTTTGCTTAATCATTGGTTTCAGATGACGTATTTGACATTTTTAACTATATTAACAAATTATTTATAGGTTTCAACCTGGAAACAGTAAAAATAGGACATTCTAAATCAATAAATTAAAACATTTGACAGATTTTCCTATAAAACAAACATAAGTGACCCAGTTGGGAACCAAGTAAGGTGCCTAACTAGTTTTGCTTAAAGAATTGTATCTGATTCGCCAAACAGGGTCCCAGACCACTCTGTAAAATCAACATGGAGCTCAACACAGTCTGGTTGGGATTAAAGGCATGCTAAGTTATACAGTCTGCACTAACTTTATGACATTTGACACCAGTAAAACAAAAGTGACACTGATGCACCTCACACAAAGTTATAAACTAACAGGTAGGAGCTAATGACAGGGTTGCATCTGTGTATGGTGGCTCATGAGGCTCTAATTCACTGCAAACCAATGAGCCTTACTTCATAATTATCTAAATGGTGTGATTATTCTTGCTGTCTTTTGAACTATTTCTACCCGATGTTTTCCCTCCACTAAACTTTCCATTGATATACTTAGATATAGTTTGAGCCTTTAATGCGGCTTATCCTGATAGAACTGCTGCAATATGCTGTGTTTTTTCTGCTGATTTTAATTGATCGCTAAATAAAACTTAAGTCGTCAAGATGCATCAGGCTACTTTCCCCACATTTCATTCAGATTTGAAATAGAAATGCATGATAGATGCATGCATGACAGATGTGTTCAAACTTGAAGCTGTCAACTTACCCCACACTGCCTTCAATCGAAACCACCAGGGCCAAAACAGCTACACCTGTGATAAACCTCCTGAAAAAGGGACACACAGACATGTGTCTTTGTCTAATAAATATTTTTTTTCATGACACATTGAACAAAATTTTAAAGAAAAAGCTGAAAATGTTGTATATGGAGCTCAGAAAGTGAAGAAGTAAAGAAAACATGTTGGAAAGTTAAACGACCCCGATTAAAGAATAAGATGAAGTTAAAGGACTCCTGGCAGACAGCAGGGGAATGCCAGGCAGTGAATCAGGCTGCTGCAGCATTCAGGAGTGGATTTCATCACTGCAGAGATGAAACAGGACACGTGTTCCTGCTGCTGAGGAGAGAAATCTGCTGCATCATCAGTCTGTTCACCAAAGCAAAGGCGTTTTAAGGTCATGGATGATCAGTTATTACCTCTATCAGAAGATCCTGTGACAGGATACTGTTATTCACAGCTTTAAAAGGACAAATAAATAATGCAGTCTGTAAATATGTGCTCTGTGATCATGCACACTAACCAGCAGCCCATGTAAATACGCACGGTTTTAAAAAAATGCAACAAAAATGAACTTTCTGCATCAAGCCGAGATAATTAAATTTGCAAGTCATTATGCAACAGATAAAGCTTAGGGTTAAAGTAATGATCATAATCGATGCTTTGATATCAGTACTTACATTGTGGCGGGCCTGTGAGGGTTTATTTCCCAGCTGCAAGGAGTGCGCAGGGTGGAGGAGTGATGGAGACTGCAGTGCGCTGCAGCCGGACAGGAGCTGGAGGGTTTACTGCAGAGAGGAGAGGAGAGGAGAGGAGGAGAGGATGGGGCCCGGGGCCCGCCTATAGTGGGAGGAGCTTCCAGACTAGGCACAGGATCCTTTCTGGGTACGGTAGTTTTTTTTTAACCTCTTAATGATTAAAAAATATAATTTCTCATCTTGTGAGTGGAAACAAAAACATTAGGTCTCTACCTGGTGGGGAACTATGTGCTGTTTTGCTTCTATAGCCAATTTAATGCCCCCCAACAACATTGCCTGTAAAGAGATATTTTCTGTGACTCATGAAATGGATAATGTTCCTGGTTTATCCATAAACGTATCTCTGTTCTGTTTAAGAAGACTGTTGCCTCAAGGTCTAACTCCTCTTTATGCTTCAATTTAATTTTTTTTTTCTCTTTTCAGAATTAGATTTTGTCTTATATGGGGTAAAGAGAAAATGATGTCTCTGCAAGTCATCTAGGAATCTTCACTGGAATCAGAAAAATAACTACTTCAACAATAAGTAATCAATTTAATGTAGATATTAGTACATTTAAAGATACATTTTATGCTGAATGATTGTTAATAAAAGTAGGTTAGTAATGATAATAAGATGTTCGCCCCAGAACTAAAAACTGAAAGAATTTCATCCACTACATCTTTAATTTAGACAGCATAGATGTTTAAATATATGCATCTATTTGTTAGCAAAGGCTTTAGGAAAGTATAGTTTGTCTTTATTTAGAAAATATGGATGTTGTTGTTCATTTTCGTTTTGGAACAGAGTAGATTGACACCCCCCCCCCCCTTAATGTGCATTGGTTATTGCCTCGTCACCCTTATTAAAAAATTGTGGCTACGCCTCTGTCCTTTGATCCCACTGTCCTGCATGTTTTAGGTCTCTGCTCCAGCACACCAGCATTAAATAATTGCACTCCCTCGTCAGAAGCTTCTGCAGACTGCCAGGGCCTGATAATCCCCAATTCATTAAACTAGAGGCAGGGAAATACCTAAAGCATGCAGGATAGTGGGTCCTGGGGACTCTGTTTGAAATCAGTTGACTTAATGACACATAAACCTACTAAAAAATGGTAAAACCTTTCTAAATTTTTTGGTTTCCATCACATCCCTCTACATCAAAACCTAAAATCCATCTGATTATAATAATAATATGGTTCAAATGAATACCTGTCCCTTGATGCAAAAAATAAGAACTAACTTTGGTAGGTGGTGTAAAATTCACTTGTCCCTGTGGGGAAAAATGAACTCTATAAAGAAAATGACAGTGTCAAATGTTTTCTAAATCCTCTGTAATATTCCTGTCAGTACTCCTTTTCTAAAAGCTAGATGTCTTAATATTGGATTTTTTTATGGGGTAAATCACATCACTGCATGAGTATCAAATAGATACAAGCAAGCGTTGACAAAGGTGGTTTTTCCCTTAGCTTATTTTAAATGGTATTGTTAGGTTTTATATGCAAAACAATTAGAGCTTGCTTACCTGCTTTTAATCCCTCTGATAAACCTCTCCGGTTTATCATCCCATTATTACAGCAGCCAAATTAATTTGGAATAAATTACATAGAGCGGATCGTTGGGATTTTATTAAGTCATCACTTGCTCATTTATGTAATGCTAAAAAAATGTATACTGGGGGAAAATCAATTAACTGGCCACAGTGGTATAAGATGGGAATTTCCTATGATTTATATTTGTTTGATCCAAAAAAAAAAAAAAAACTATTTCCATCATCTGCTGGGGTAACAGTATTAGAGCAAGACTTAAAAAAGTTCAATAAGCTAATTGAGAAGGTCAGTTCTGTTCTAAGAACTCTTTCTGAACTTCTGGTGACTATTTCACAAAGAAGAATTATTTATTACATTATGTACATCTAGCATCCTTCCTTCAGAAGATTTTTATTCAACCAAAAGAGTGTCATTTTAGTAAGAGGCTTCTCCAGATCTGATGCAAGACAGACCAGCTACAGGAGATCCTTCCTGTCTACAGTTATCAACACCTTTAAAGCAACATTTAATTTCCCTTTGGGATTATTAAAGTATTTTTGAATTGAACATTTAGGCATGATTACCAAGTCCAGTAGAATATACTGTCTAACATTCAACACAAAACTAATGGCACTTATGAGAGAAGAAAAAGTAACCAGTTGCAATAGGATTAAAGAAACATGTCCAAAAACATGCATGGACTTGATTTTAACACTGTAATGAGAATTCACTAGATTTAGGTAGTTTTTCCCCCCTTTTTGTTCATCTGACATTTAAATGGGACAAGAAAAAAACAAAAACAAAACAAAAAGCAGACTGTAGTTCGCCCTAACAGGGTCTTCCTTTAAAATGAGATTTATTTTTTTAATGAATTAATTCAACAGAAAACAGATTTTAAATCATATTATGACCGTTATCCACAACAGAGTGACCCGAGAGCTTTTAAAACCTTCAACTTTATTGTGACAGTTCATACATACATCCAATAACCTTCTGTAACAATAAAAAAACAAAAGATGTCTTCAGCCAACTCACTTGAATTTATACTGTTACCTCTCGACGGGTTCTGTGTGTAAACACTGTGCAGATCTGTCCTCTTGGACAGGAGCGACTGGGGATAAATCTCAGTAGCATTTTTATATCTTTTCTTCCCAGTGGGTCCATTTAAATGAGTAATGAAAGAACAGAAACCCTCACTGAAACTAAGCTGATAACATCCTGAAACACTAGGCAGCCTTCAACACATCCACCTCTTCTTGTATGAACAGTCATATTTACAAATAGCCTTTAATCAATGGTCACCTACCCTGTCTGGCTGCACACGCTGCTGAAGTCACCTGTGATTAATTAAATAAGAGTCACATCAAGAGCAAAAGAATTTAAAACTAAAAGCAGCTAAATTCAAAAATCAGTTCCGGTCCTTCTCTGCTCACAAAGACTCAGCCGTCCTGAAAATACGACCGAAACTTCTCTCTTACGTCGATTAAAGTTCTTCAGGTCAATAAGGGGAATAAGCAGGTTGTTTCCAACCACTAAAGCACTAAATTACAGCAGCACTCCAAAACGACACACTGGGAGGAACGGCTAATGCTCCAACACAGATGATAGAGAAAACGTTTCAATACGCAAAAAACCGCGACATCTTGAAATAAATCTTCCTGTTAAACGTTTTAATGTATAAATCAAAGCCAATGAGGAGAAGGTGTATGGTGCTGTGTGACAGGTTGGAAACAATTGACTGTTATAAATACACCAATGAGCTTTTTTTCTCTTTAACCTGAGCATGGGTTATTTTATCCAAAGGAAGAAAATTTGTGTCATCTCACAGCCATAAATGTCCCCATATCACAAAAAAAAGATACAACCAAGTGGTAGAAGTACCGTTTTAAATAGCTGACATTAACACTCCCAAAAGCAAGTCTTTGTCTAAAATAATAATAATAATAATTATCTTTGGAGAGAAACAGACGAGAAAAATATGGATTCCAGAGCTCTGTTCCACATCTCCAACTGTCCATGAGGGGGAAAAAAAGGCTCCTGAAACCCTTCGGGTTCTGGGTGGAGTGTCCCCAACAAAACAGTGAGCGTCCATCATGTTAGCCGTATTTTATAATCATAACGTTTTTTTTTTGTTTTGTTTTTTTCCTTTCTTTTTGCATAGCCAGACAGTGGCCACAAGCTTTGCAACCACTGATGAGTTTTAAACAGAGAGCAGTCTGTGGAAGTGGGGAGCCTTGGTCCATGTGAGCCTCTTCACACCCAGCTGGCCTGGCCGCGGGCGGCTCGGTTGGTCCCTCTGAAAAACAAGCAGCTCTCCACCTACAGAGCAGGCTCTTTCTGGCGCTCACGTCCGTTAGACGTCTTCTTAACTTTGGAGATGCCTTCCAGTGCTCCTGACTCCGTCACTCTACAGAAGAAAACACAAGTAAAGAAAAGACAGATTAGGATCTTTTAATATATGAGCTAACAAACTAAATTAAGGGGAATCTAACATACTTACACTTCATCCATCTCTACATCCTCTTCATCCTGGGGAAGCTGGAGGTAGGGGTTATTGGATGCTGGTCGAAATTTGTAGCCCGTCAGCACAAAGAAGATCAAAGTTGACACCTCCACCAAAAACTGAGAAAAGAGGAGGGCGTCATTTTTATAGACCTCAGTAAGTTAGAATATCACCCTCAGAGAGCTGTGATAAACAGATCTAAAACAAATATGTCTTAAAGCGAAAGAGCCAGTATCCCCCTTGGTATGGCTAAATAAAATGTGCTTACAGAGAGAGCCATTAGACCAATCAGAAATATTATAATTTTGATGGTAACCGAAACAGCTTCTATTCACCTGTTAATCAGTCTATATTAGGCCTTTTAGGTGTCAGGGATGGCAATAAGGCCTTTTTGTGAGGTTTTGAAAAAGTTAATTTGATATCACCCAGACAGTGACATAAAATAATAGCTCCTAGCTTATGATTCTGCTCCATACGGTGTTTGACCTTTTAAATACAGGAGCTGTGCAACAAAGTCAGGGAAATGTCAATGTGCGCTGCTGACGTCTTACCTCATAGCACCACTGCCACTGGAAGGGCATTGTGATCTTCAGCAGAATTGCTATTATCCTTGTGAAGTAGATATAGCACACAATCTAAGAAAGGCAAACAAAACAAATTAATACCCTAAGATGGAGTCTAAAAATTGGATGAAAGTCTTGTTTTGCAGTGAAGTATCATATTCATATCTTAGAGATAAGGTTTGCTCAGCCCTGCAGCAATGACTCAGCTAAATTTAAAAATCTAAGCAAAGGATGTAGTTTGATGAGTGTGATAAAGCTGAACAAAAACAAAAACATTTTAGACTAAATGTAAACATAGCAACTGCATCAAGTTGACCTAGAAAACACTGCATGATCAGTACTATTGATTAAAAGAAGCCTTTCTCACCATGACGTAGTAATGCCTGAACAGCTTGAGCTTCTCCAGGTTCATGGCAGCTGGAAAAATCCAAGACCACAATCAAAACAGGTAGAACAAACGGCAGCCTTTAAATACATACAAATAAATAAATAAATACACACATATATATACACTATATTGCCAAAAGTATTTGCTCACCTGCCTTGACTCACATATGAGCTTAAGTGACATCCCGTTCCTAATCCATAGGGTTCAATATGACGTCGGTCCACCCTTTGCAGCTAGAACAGCTTCAACTCTTCTGGGAAGGCTGTCCACAAGGTTTAGGAGTGTGTTTATGGGAATTTTTGACCATTCTTCCAGAAGCGCATTTGTGAGGTCGCACACTGATGTTGGACGAGAAGGCCTGGCTCTCAGTCTCCGCTCTAATTCATCCCAAAGGTGTTCTATCGGGTTGAGGTCAGGACTCTGTGCAGGCCAGTCAAGTTCATCCACACCAGACTCTGTCATCCATGTCTTTATGGACCTTGCTTTGTGCACTGGTGCACAGTCATGTTGGAAGAGGAAGGGGCCAGCTCCAAACTGTTCCCACAAAGTTGGGAGCATGGAATTGTCCAAAATGTCTTGGTATGCTGAAGCATTCAGAGTTCCTTTCACTGGAACTAAGGGGCCAAGCCCAGCTCCTGAAAAACAACCTCACACCATAATCCCCCCTCCACCAAACTTTACACTTGGCACAATGCAGTCAGACAAGTACCGTTCTCCTGGCAACCGCCAAACCCAGACCCGTCCATCAGATTGCCAGATGGAGAAGCGCGATTCGTCACTCCAGAGAACGCGTCTCCACTGCTCTAGAGTCCAGTGGCGGCGTGCTTTACACCACCGCATCCGACGCTTTGCATTGCACTTGGTGATGTATGGCTTGGATGCAGCTGCTCGACCATGGAAACCCATTCCATGAAGCTCTCTGCGCACTGTTCTTGAGCTAATCTGAAGGCCACATGAAGTTTGGAGGTCTGTAGTGATTGACTCTGCAGAAAGTTGGCGACCTCTTCGCACTATGCGCTTCAGCATCCGCTGACCCCGCTCCGTCAGTTTACGTGGCCTACCACTTCGTGGCTGAGTTGCTGTCGTTCCCAAACACTTCCATTTTCTTATAATACAGCTGACAGTTGACTGTGGAATATTTAGGAGCGAGGAAATTTCACGACTGGATTTGTTGCACAGGTGGCATCCTATCACAGTTCCACGCTGGAATTCACTGAGCTCCTGAGAGCGACCCATTCTTTCACAAATGTTTGTAAAAACAGTCTGCATGCCTAGGTGCTTGAATTTATACACCTGTGGCCATGGAAGTGATTGGAACACCTGATTCCAATAATTTGGATGGGTGAGCAAATACTTTTGGCAATATAGTGTATATATTTACACACACGCGCTCGTTCTGCCATCGTAGTGACGGCCATGTGTTGACTCCAATTGACTTTCATTGATTTTCAGTCCTTTTCAACCCTTTCTATGCCCTAACATTATAACTAACCATAAAACCTAACCATTATCAATGCATACCTAACCCTAACCAGTTGACACCTTAGCCCTAAACCTTATCATTAGCAAAATAGCATGTGAGGACGGGCAAAATGTCCTCACTTTAAAACAACTGGTCCTCAATTTGATGGTGAAATTGGAAAAATGGTCCTCACTCTGAGGGCTAGACAGTTGTACACACACTCACACTACCAACCTTTCCCATCTGTGCTTGAAGCCTCCTGTAAGTGACGGATTGACCTGTGAAGATAAGGGTGATCAACAGGAAGGTATAAATGGAACATGAAAGAAGAAAGTGACATCTATAAATACTTGGTCTTATCAGACCAATTCAATACTAGTTTAAATAGAAATGGATGATATCCTGGGGTGGAAATTTAATGGAAAATTGACTGAATGGACAAGGAGCTTTACTGGTAAAAATGAAAGTCTTTTACACTAGAGCCAAATTCACCTAATTTTAGCCCAGCACATATTTATAGAAAGATTCACAGATTCGTAGGCAACCAGGAGCACAATGCAGGAGGAAGTTAGAATTGAAACTACATGTTAAACCAAGAAAGTCTAGCTGATAGCCCTGATAACACTTGCTTGTGAAAGGTAGCTAGCATCACAGGGAGTTTATCGATGCTAGCTTTTGCTTTAGAAAGGCTTTGAATCAACTTCACTTTTACTTAGAAAGTCTTTGAATAAACCTCCGGTTCTAGCAGAGCAGGAGACCTCACAGTGCAGCTCTGCATCCTGACAAAATGTTGGCATATGCTGCTCTCAATGTATTGTTTTTAATTTTGGGCGTATGCATAGACTATTCATAACGAGTCTAGAAATTATGTCCAACGACAGCCTAACTTATGCATAATGCACAGCAGTGCAATGCACATGAAATTTCACAAGCCAGTGTCCTGAGGGGAGCAGCAATACGCCCGGAGGCATATAGAAGATTTCTCTAACCTTCACTGTCGCAATATTAATCTAGCTGCTGTTTACCGGCAGCCAAAAAAACGAAACAAAAAGAAAAAAGGTTTGCAGTCGTAGCAGATTCAGCGTCATGTCTAGGAAGTTTGGTGGTCGTGTCAATGGGCGTGAATGCAGGGAGGTTCCATCACACTCACCTTCACGCTCACATTATGAGGGGATGCAGTCAGGAGGAATACAGGCTGTTTCCTTCTGTGAACCCCTTTTTATACCAAAATGCTGCCAATACGCAAACATTTCTTTACATATGTCGACATGTGTCAGTATGCTTCAGCGTGCTCATAATTTAGACAAAACGTACCCATAACTTATCCAACTTAGAGCAGCGTTTTTGCCAACTTCTTCGTTTGTCGACATACAGTGGCGAAATCGTCAAGGTGTGACAGTGCCATTAGGAGCTAGAGAGCATTTCATTCTGCTCAGGACCTTTAGTGATTGGGGGAGTTTACAGAAGCTAACGCTAATCCTCATCTCACTTTAAATATTGTAAGTTAACAATTATTCTACTGACATGTTTTCCTATTGACTAAAGCCATCAGAAACTAAGTGTCTTAATGAAATGAAATTTTTTAACGTGACATGTTTAAACTGCAGCGTGGCTACAATAACCTATTCAGGTGTAGGTCTGGAGCACATCCGAGCTACTTCTCAGTATGAGACGGTCAACTCAGGTAAACACGCCACTCCCAGCAAATTAGCTGTTAAAACCCAACAATATATTTTTTATCAAAAGCAAAGATCAATGGTTTTTGACACCGTCAGTTTTGTGAAGGATTGTTTTGTGATCGTAAGATGCTGAAGATTTCCCCTCACTGTCTTCAGCAGAGACAGAGGAAATTGGCCTGAGAGAGGCTGGGCCTCCAGAGACATCTGATCATAGAACGGGGACTAATTCTGAGTGGTAAGTTGGTGTTAGCATTTTAGATATTAGGTTATATGCAGATCAGGGTAAACTGTTACAACTACAGTTTGCATCTAGACTCACTTCAAATTAGTAAAGAAACATGTAGAAATGGAGCCGTTTTTCATGTGTACGGTTTAACAACAACAAAAAAGTTTATTTTAAGCCGAGTCATGCGGAAATGAACTAAACTAGAACCGTATAATAAACACAGCTTCTACATCTCCACACTGACCAGACAACAGGGAACAGGATGGCTCCACAGCAGATGAGGTCCACCAGAAAGAGGATCTCCTTCCACAGATAGTATTCACTGGTGCCTTCTTCTGTAGACTCTATAATGATGAATGCAACATTAGCCAGGACCTGCAAAGAAAAACAAAAAAAGCTACAAAGTTTAGCAAATATTACATAATCTTTCCATGAAGACTATTTTTCCAAGTCCACACACAGTACCTGCAGAGGGATGACTATCATGAAGATTTTCTTCTCTTTGTCAGACAGGATGTATTTAACAAAAGCCCAGCCTGTTCCAATCAGTGCCAGTGTAATGAACAGGAGAGCTCCTTTCAGTCTGGTATAAATATAGCATGTTAAAATCCATGTATAATTCTAACATAACAGAGAAAAGGGCAGGAGAAATTACTTACAGGTGTGTGATATAATACATGACGGCCCAGCCTTCAATAGGACGCCCCTGCGTGTTTATGAAGTGATAGTTGATCTGTGAAGACACAAGAGTTAAACCTTGTGTTAAAAAAAGAGAAGAGATAAACACAGTTTTTGTGGATAGGAAGATATAACAAATAGGAATGTGATGGAGTCCTTACACTATGGAAAACCAAAGAGGTGGATTTGGTGAATGCCAATGCTGCCATCAGCCAGTGGATCTTAAACACACTGTACCTGCAAAAAAGCAAAGAAAATATACTTAAAAATCTAACTTAAGGGTATAGTGGAGGACTTTATTTTTTCCTGGTGGATCATCTAAATAAGTGGTCCTCCTAACTGTCAATCATTTTGGTGATATGTTTACTTAAGGCCTTCCTATGTGCTCGTCCCGTTAGCTATCTGTTCTTTCAGGCGCATATAATTAGGTGAGCTATAGTTTCAGACAATCATTGAAGCTCACCTTTCTCACCACGGTTCTTTGGCCGAGGGTCGTAAGAGAAAAAGTGTCTAAAAAATGAATAAGAGGAGGAAAAAAAAAAAAGGCCTCAGTAGAGGCCAATATATCTTTTTCTCCTGCTTCCCTCTAACTAGTTATTCCTCTTTAACCATATGAGGCCTCTTATAATTAATATTATTTGTATGTTTTTGGTTAGTTTTGAACAAGTTATCTGCAGCTTATTCCAAAGCATAGCTGCTTGCTAGCTAGCCTTGACTTTTACATATGTGGGGGAAAAAAATACAGCAGCCTTCATATCTTAAAAAAATCTTTGTGTTAACCAAGCCCATCTAGGATGTGTACTTTCTTTAATGCAGTGATCCATGTTTTTTTTTTTTGGGTGTGGGCGTCATGCCATCTGCAGGCAAGAGGGTGCAGCAGACTCCACTCTGCTTAACAAGAACACAGAATAAAGCAGCAAGAGGATGTTTGGATTGTGGGATGTAGTGTAATGTAAATCCCATTAACAAGAAAAATATTCCAGGTATGTATATATATATATATATATATATATATATATATATATATATATATATATATATATATATATATATATATATATATATATATATATTAGTGCTGTCAATCGATTAAATTTTTTAATCGCGATTAATCGCATCAATGACTGAGTTAACTCGCGATTAATCGCATTTTAATCGCACATTTTTTTCCTGATTGAAAATCATTTAAATACTCTCGATGACATACAAAAAAATACATACAGGCTAGGTTTGTGCCAATGTTCTTTTTTTAAATGAAAACAGGTCACAGATACTGATTTATGCCATAGAAACATATGGCAAGAAGATGGGGAGGCATGTAGCAAAAAATAACAAATATGTAGCCAAAAAAAAAGGCCCTGAAAACAGGCTGATGTAAAAGACAGTCTTTACAGTTAATACAGTCTTTTGAACAAAGACAAGCATTTTACCCTACTGCTATAAAATTTAGTAGAGTTAACATTAGATGTTAATTAACCAAGATAATAATGAACAATTTTCAATCAATACATCAAAATCAATAGACCGACATCACTAGATGGAGTCTATGCTCTAGAAAGTTACTTTTCAGCCTCTTAACAAAAATGAGAACACACACACACCCACCCACCCACCCACACACAGACACACACACACACACGATACCGACCTGTTGCGTACACAGACAGCAAGAGTGCCGTAGCAGATTCCATTTCACCTCAGTAATCTTTTTTCTCAGCGTATTTCTGGTTGCTACTAGTTACCAGACACTCAACTTGTTTGTTGGTGGTGGGGCTTAAAGAAAAGGCACTAGCGTCACCCAGTGTATGAGCGTCTTTTTCCCTTGAGGAGGTCCGCTCTCGAAGCCTATACATACACTGGGGGAAAATAGCCCTGCCTTCCCGCAGGCTGCAGCGGGATGTACTTGGAAAATTGTACCATAAAACCACATAGCGTTAATCTCACGTTAAAAAAATTATCGCCGTTAAAATGGCCTCGCGTTAACGCGTTAATAACGCGATAATTTTGACAGCACTAATATATATATATTTATCAAAAATACTTTTGAAGTTTGATTACATCTAACAGTATCCACCTCCAAGGAACAAACCACAGTGGCTATAAAAGATATGACTGAGTAATTGAGCTACCAGTAACTTGGAAAATAAAACTGAATAAGAAAATTCTGTCACAATTTGACTATGATTTATGTTACGTACCTGTGCTTCATGAGAGTGTACACCCAGACCAAGGCTGCAGCAAAGAAGACTCCAGCCATACATATGTAAAGGCGGGACAAGGGGATTTCTGCTGCAGACAGGAAGCTCCCTGGGTTTGTCTCTGTCACGTCCACCTGCAGAGGAAAGCATAATTAAATCAACCCTGACAGATAGCTAAGGGAGCACAGACTGGTAAAAACACTCTGAACTCACTCTCAAAGAGTAAGGAATCCTAATTCCAGGCATCCTGTTCTGACAGTAGTGGAACTTCAGGCTGTAAAGACCTTCTGCCTTTGGGCCAACCACCAACTGGAACTGTAGAGGAATAGACACATATTTAACCTAATAGGACAACAAATCAAACGCTCCCAAATTATATGTAGAGGCAGAGAAAGGGGCACTTACACTGAAGTTATAGAAGCCCTTGATTTTGTCCAGTGCTAAAATCGGCTTGGTTGTTTGGTTCAGCTAAATGAAATTACAGTTAAGACATTGATTTAAAGAGGAAATCTTCAGATTTATTCATGATCAAGAAACCCAATTTACCAGGAATGTGGTTCCCTCCACTTTCTTAGCTTCTTCAAAAGGGGTTGACTGTTCTTTGTTTGTACTTTGTTGGCCACCTTCTTGTGCATTCTTCTGACTTGGTTGGCCACCTTCTTGTGCATTCTTCTGACTTGGTTGGCCACCTTCTTGAGCATTCTTCTGACTTGGTTGGCCACCTTCTTGTCCATTCTCCTGACTGTTCCCACCTGCTGTCTTTGTCTTTTTACCATCTTCTGAGTCATTTTCTTCAGCTGGCTTTACTTTGTTAGAATCTGCTGGTTTCTGCTGATTCCCATCATCTCTAACTTTCCTTTCTTCAAAAGATCACAGATACAGAATAAAACTCAAGTTTAAGTTTAGTCACTATAAAACAGTTGCATCATTCCCACTGGGTTAGTTAATTTGAGAAAGTGCAACATATCAACAACACAAACCTTTTGCCTTATCTGACTTGGCTTTGGCTATCAGGACATTATCTTGATTACCCATGGCATAAACATTGACTCTAGACAGAAAAAAAAAAATACATTTAAACTTCACTTAAACCCATGAAAAAAATAATAACCGCTGATCTTTAAACATACCTCATTTTGATGATGTCAATGAGAAAAAGGATGAGAGGCTCATCATTGGTTTGCTTGGTGGCTGTGAGCGGGCAATCCTCACTCTCCTCTGCCTAAAGAGATCACAACATTATCCAACTGACTGAAACCTGAAGTAACCAGATGGTTAGTTATAAAGGCGGTACTCACTGTGTAAGGTAACACCCCATTAACCCGTGACCTGGACAGGCTAAAACCAACCTAGAGGTAATCAGAATGGTTACAGTGAATCTACATGCTGCACTTGCCACACACAATAGATCAATATGAATCCGCTTTGGCTATAGCTAATCTGTGTTATTGGTTTTCATAAATGATAAAAGAAAAAAACAGGTGAGAACACAGATGGTTAAAGTTTATTTTTTATTTTTTTCGCCCAACAGACTGTTTACAATTTTCTAGGGTTTGTTAAGCAAGACCAATTGCTACATCAGCATTGTGCCCTTACTTGATTAAAAGACTTCCTACCATACATACTAAATGCTGATTCATTTGGGGTGTAACAATAGATCTATTCAGATTAAAAATGCTTAGTATGGGCACTTCCAATCAGCAATCACTGACCAAATAAACAAATACGCTTTGTAAAGATGTGTTAATGTTTATTTTATTAGTAAAATTTCCTTGTGGTTTGGTAAAGACAGTGAAGAAAGAAAAAGCTTTTTATTTTATTTCATCAACAATAAACTATGTAGCTGGTTCTGCTTTACATTAAACCATTCACTTCAGTCTAAACAAAACAGAACTGTTAGGGGAAACCCAGATATGGCCTGGTGGGACAATTGTTAAGCCACTCGTAAAAAATAGAAAACGAAAATAAACTTTAAAAAAATAAATTTTTGGGTCAAAGTAAGGAAAAAACATCAAAGGAACTGGAGTAGTGGCAGCAGAGCAGCATGGACTGCTGTAGTAAACACTTGTTTTTTTATATACAAGCTAGAAAACCTCTTTTGGTGTTCTAGTTTCCTCTTTTCAGAATTGGGTAATTAAGCATTTCAACACTGGGTAAATTACACAAGCTCTATGCAAGAAAATGTATGCATTGAAAACAAACAAGCAAACTGTATCTATTACATCCACAATTATGTTAATTTCTCAACCAGGATATACGATGAAAATACTAGAATTGCAGAGGTAATGAGCCCCAAGAAAAAGTATTTCTTTCCACCCTTTTATAATATTTAAAAAATAGAAATAAAATAAAAAGAAAGAAGAACTCACTGGATAGATGCTGTAGTTTACAAGTTTTTCATTAAGCCCCAAAGAAGTCAGGTTCACATATAGAGTTCCATTTGCAAAGAAACCAAAATTGTTGATGTCAACAGCGAACCGTGTTTCATTCTGAAAATAACAGAAACAAGATTAGATTCAGTCGAATAATACTAAACAAGCCAGACACAAGTCGAACAAGCCAGACAAACAGTTTGGAGGTTTTATTTATAATGTGACTTCTGGGCTGAATAAAGTGAAGACGCAAGTAAACGAGAAAACTGATAATCATTTGTATTTAGTAAAATTAAACTAAATTGCTAAAATAATGAATTGTCAAGAACTTTTTTTCTGTTACCATAAACAAAGCTTTTTAAACACCATAGTGTCTTGTTTTTTTAAACTACAAACAAGACTTTTAGGAGCATGTAAAGCCTAAATAATTCATTTTCATATTAACTTTCATACTTTGTTACTCAGCACAGTTATGGCTTAATATATTTCTTTATCTAATAACTACTATGCAACAAACCCATATGTGCAATAAGTGCCACTTATATTCCTCTTCTGTTTTATGATTCTGCTTACAATATTTAAAACTTTTGTTGATCAAAACATATGTTATCTTGTTAATATTTAGGCATCATTTTGGACAATTCTTTCACATTTAATGCACATATTGACTGTGTTTATGAGAAAGCCCAGCAAAGGCTCTTCCTGCTGTGCCAGCTGAGGGGTTTTAAAGCCAGTGACCATATCCTGTGAGGGTTTATCAGTGTTCCATTGAGAGAGTACTGACATTTAACGTGGTTTGATCATTTAACTGCCAAAAACAAAGCTAAACTTGACAGAGTTGTTGAACAGGCCAGTAAGATTACAGGCCAACAACAAATCAATTAGTCTCAGCATTATAGTGAAGCAGTGCATCAGGTCAGTCATAAGATGACAGATGATCGTTCCATCATGGCAGAGATACAGACTTCCTTATGCCAAGAAAGGGTGTATAGAAGTTATTTAGTGCCCTCTGCCATCAAGGAGCTCAACAAGTAACTTTGTTCTGCTTCCTTTCCCTTTATAAACTGCATCTGCTGCTGCTGTATCTGCAATGAACTCTTTTATAATTTTATTTGAATGTATTTGATTACATTGCAGTGTGAGCAAGCCAAAAGCAAATTTCTGCCGTCATTGTGTATGCTAGACAAAGTTTTTCTATTCTATTACATTCATCTTTGAACCAAATGGCCTTAAATCGAAAAGCTAAACGGGTTCCAGCATGTTCTGAATTATACAATACATAACTTAGACATGACTGAGTTATGTATTGTATAACTTCGTCAGCATGGCTCGATATTAGCTAGTTTCATGCCATTGAATGTAGTCAACCCATCATTGTGAGTGGCGTCATTCTCCGTGGTGTTAGCTTAGGCTAGCTAACGCCGACCTTAAGTTAAAGCAAAACAATGCAACAGACTTACCTTCAGAATGAGCTTATGTATCCTCGCATTAGATCCAGACAGCATACCACACAATAAAATCCATGCCACGAAGCAGTTTATATGCGACACAGCCATCGCAACACCTGCTAAGGTTAACTGTTAGCTACCAATTAGCAAAACAAGCTGGCTAGAAGTCTGTACGGTCTCTAACCTTAAATTACACTGAAATGTGTTTACAAACCCCCGTTCAAGCACGCATATTACCTATTAAGCTATTAAAAAACAACCCTCTTCTTTTATGTTTTTCAATGTATGTTATTTCATCGAGTAAACTAACGAGTAGCTAGTAGTAGACTTTGGCAGCTTCGCCACTTCCTGGTCCCAGACACTTAAGGTGCGGACAAAATCGTCAGCAGCTGTAGAACAACGGGATTGTTTTATTCACATTTGGCGAAACAACTGTACTGTATAACACTGGTGAGGGAGGAAAAAACGCCCACCAACATTTTATAGAGCCTCAGCCAAAATGTTTATAACTGTGTTCAATATTCCGTTCAAATTTACTCATATTTCTGTACCCCGGATTTGTCTACACCTTGAATTGAATGTCCTAGGTTAGATCACGTGACTGACTATAGACGTGGAGCAGAGCGATGCAGGGTTTTTATTTATTTATTTTTTATAACTTTATTTGGAACAGCAACAATGACAAAAGCAGTCAATACAGTATAATAAAGCACAACATAATATGTTGTGCTTTATGATTGACTATATTAGGAGGTATGATTGACTATATTATAGTCAATCATACCTCCTAACACTTTTCTTAATATTTTTTTCTTTTCTTTCAAGTTGCCAGGTAAACAGATGTTAAGTTTATGCAATAAGCTTCACAAAGAGAGAGAGAGAGAAAAAAAAATCGAAAATAAAGGATATCTATAATTACATACTTCGAATATAACAGAATTATAGTTAAAGATAAATGGATAAATAAAAATAACAAAAAACACACACACACACACAAAAAAAAATGCCAAGTAAGCATTATTCTTTAATTTGTATCGAGGGAGGGCTGAAATAAATTAGAGAGGTGATATGACAAAGTTTTTGCTTTTGGTTTCTGAATTTTGTCCAAGGAAACATTTAGTAGATGGATTTCCTTTTTAAATACAGACCATAACGGCTTCGCTTTTCCAAATCTGCATTTATGTATATAAAATTTTAAAGTGACGATAATGCTATTAATAAGATAGTCATCTCTTTTGTTTTCAGATAAAAAACCATATAAGACAGTTTGTGATCAGAGCGATGCAGGGTATATCGGTCCTCAGTGAGAGAATGATTAATTCATTAAATAAACGTCAAGCCATGGGGAAATTAAAGTTCTACTACTTATAAGACGTTTTGGGAATAAAGCGTATAATGTGTTTGTTATTAATTGCTAAATTAAATACTGATAAAGTCTACATGTCTGAAAACATTACAAACTAATCAGGACTATTTGAAGTATGTGCGGTGCGATCAGAGGCGTAGCCAGGATATTTTTATGGGTGGCCAGGTAATAACCAATGCACTCTGAGGGGTGGTCGAAAGTAAATAGGCACCAAAACTTTATGGTCAATCTACACTGTTCCAACAGGAACATTAAGGAGTAAAACATCCATATTTTCTAAATAAAGACAAACTATGCTTTCCCACAGCCTTAGCTAAAAATTAGGCGAATATATGAAAAACACCCATGCTTTCTAGATAAAAGGTAGAGTGGATAAAACTCTTACAGGTTTGAGTTTGGGGCGAGCATCTTTTCCATTGTCATTACTTACCTACCTTTATCAATAATCATTCTGCATAAAATTGATATTAACAAGTACTAATATCTACATAAATTGATTATTTAATATATATTTTTTTGTTTATCTATGATTTCACTGAAGACTCCAATATGACTTGCAGAGACACATAATTTTCTCTTTACCCCATAAAACACAAAATCTATTTCTGCTTTAATTCTGTACTTATCTTTAATGTTACTATATTGATGTGCATAATTAACCACAATGTTTTTTTTGTCGCGTAATTGTTATTATATGAAAAATTTTAATGTTTTGAATATTCTACTTGAGAATATGCTTGCCACCATCTGTATTAGAGGGAAATAAACTGGTGGGGGTAGCCATAGCGGTGGCCAATGATTGGCTAAAGGTGGCCATGGCCTCCCATTTAGCTACGCCCCTGGGTGCAATGGGATTATGTTGATGTGATGATGTTTTCTGTTAATAATAAAAAACAAAGTAAGATATTTTGGCATTTAGTTTTTTGCACAATCACAGCCTTCAATGGGGTATACAATATGTTGGCAGCTATGAATTAACGCTTTTGAAAGAACTTAACAAAAATAACATATATACTTTGGAATCAAAACAAACAGGGGTTACACTATTCCATAAAAAAACCCAGAAGGACTTTATCTTTCCAGTATGTCTTATTCAAATATTTTAATTGGATTTTGAATTTTCCATATAAAATAAAAACCAAACAACAGTCCCAGCATTAACACGGAATTGCAATAACATAGGGAAAATAGTGTAAAATGAAAACAAAAAACAAAAAAACAAAACAAAAAGGATAACATATAAAAATTAGAAATTTGTGAGAAGAGAAAAATTCTAAAATAATAATCATAGAAATGTATACATAAATTAATATCGACATGTTGCAGTAGGGTTACATTACTCAATTATGTTCCAGTGTTTCCAGCAGGGAATTGTAATTGAAAATATTTTAGAAACGGCTGCCAGACCTTATAGAACCTCTGGGTTGATCCCTTGATCTCGTGCTTCATTTTCTTAAGTTTGAAATGTGCCATTACATCCTCAACCCAGCGCCTGTGTGTGGGGGGTCTTTCCAGTATTTCTGAGTGAAAAAATGGCCACCATGCAGGTAAAATGATGCAGTAGTCCCACATATTCAAGACATGCCTGTAATCTATGTAATGGGTTAGTTTAATCTGGATTTATAAACAGATATAGCTGAGTATCACCAGCATAACAATGGAAATAATCCTATGCTGTCTAATAATTTTACCAATTTGGGAGCATATATATAGTAAAGAGAATTGCCCCTAGCTTGTCCCTATGCTTCTCCACAGGTAGCGCTGGAGCATGAAGATTTATCATTAATATGAACAAACTGAAATCTGTCAGATGAATAAGATTTAAACCCACCTAGTGCTGTTCCCTTAATTGCTGCAAAATGTTCAAGACTTTCTAAAAGAATATTATGATCAACCGTATCAAATGCAGCACTAAAAGTCATGAAATCTGGATCATGACCAAAAGAATGTGATCCTGGGTACAAGTGGCATAAATATGCTTTCTCTGTAGGATGGCAGGGCTATCCTGCAAATAGCCCTGCCATCACCAGAGATATGGTAAGGAGCTCGACCATCTTTTATTCATATTCTTAGAGTTCCTTTAGTATCTAAAATGAAAAGCAGGTTGTATCTCTTTGTTTTTTAAGTATAAAACTATGAGTAGTTACTGGCATACAGCCTTTACAGATAAAAATGCATTTGGAGAGTGATAACATCAGAATGTTGTCTTCATATTTAAGAGAATAAATTCACATTTTCATATAAAAAATGCATCTCAAAAAGAGCCAACAATCCAGTGTTATCCTCTTATATTTAGGACTTTATGCTAAGCAATTTTCATTAAATAAAAATCAAGCATGGCCAATATGAAAGGGGCCCTAAAAAAAACAAAACAAAAGTTGAAATTTATTTGTATAGCACATTTTAATAAGAAGGCAATCCAAAGTGATTTACATCATAAAAAACGACAAAAAGTAAAGTAGAATAATTTATTAAATGAATCAAGTAAATAAAAAAATCCTTAAAACACGAGAATCATCACATAAACTCATCCACAAGATAATCATAGGAAGATTATAATGTCAGTTGAACATCTCAGTATAAAGTAAGAGATAAACTAGGAGGAACTGTTATCAAAATAGCTCCTAAGGAATCACATATGTAGTTCAGTTATTTTCAGAGTGGCTTCACCACCTTGCAGAGCGTGTTTAAGTATGTTTTGCTCACAAAATCAGTTTTTAAATAGTTTAAATGTTCCTTGATAATAACTTACTAATAACATCCCTTTGTTGCATCTGTGTCATAAACATTGTTAGTAAAAATGCGTGATGCAGCACCTCAGGAAGAAGCCTTTCTAGGAAATCTTTGAGGAATGACATACATGTAAAATCAATACAAACCTATAAGAAAGCCAGAGAAATGAATGTTCTTGAATCGTTTAAGTGCCTCAGGTATTAATTCCTACACAATGTGAAACATGAGAATAATAGGTAGGTTCTGCTTGTTGGATATTTTTTAGGTTTATAGAATGAAAGGTAAAATTTAGGAGACCAGCAAAATCCAAATAATTTTTTTTTGTTATGGTTCTGGGTTGCTGAGTGTTTTAACTACAGCAGCTGCAGATCAACCAGTTAAATAACTGCATTTTAGGATGATTTTACAATGTTAAAAAAGAGGAAAATAATTAATTCAATTCAATTTATTTATATAGCACCAATTCACAACACATGTCATCTCAAGGCACTTTATTGTTTGCCAGAATATACAGTCAAATTAATTCAAAGTTTTCTATCTAAGGAAAACCAATTGATTGCATCGACTCATTGACTCGAAGGAAGGACTCCAAGGAAAACCAGCTGATTGCCATGACTCAGCAATCCCTCACACTAAGAATGATTGCAGCGACAGTGGAGAGAAAAAACTCCCTTTTAACAGGGAGAAACCTCCAGCAGAACCAGGCTCAGTGTGAGCGGCCATCTGCCGAGGCCGACTGGGGTTAGAGGAAAAAGAAGCAGAGATACAAAAAGCAACTGTAAAAGGCGTCCAGGAAACACACAGGCAGACGAGCTACAAGCCAACTCCCATGTCAGAGGATTACACTAACTTCTTATACTGATTAAACTTTTGGCACTCAAAATTATATCCAATTTACAATTAAAAAATATAGCCTGTTCCAATACATTCTATTCTATAAAATTAGTTTTTGTCAAGAGTTATGTTCCATTTTCCATAGTCACTGATATTGCTGATCGTACGTCTGTCTTGAGCTACGATTGATGGACCAGCGGCAAGCGGCACAGCAGGGGTGGCAGAGGTGGAGGATGAAGTGCTTTGCCTTTCTGCATAAACAACAAACATATTCAGCTTATTAGGAAACATACATGGAAGAGGATGAAGGCTCAATGTAAAGGGAATCAAAGAATCTCATCGCACCTGGCAGTTTTTTAGAAAGTTTCTCAACAAGATCTTTCCTGTATACCTTTTCCAGGATGGTTACCGTGGCCTTCAAAGCACCTTCTTCCATGTAGTTCTGTATCATCCTGTTCACTGTATCTGTTCGCTTTTTCTTGTCAAGGTGAGCCTTGGGAATTGGTTTTAAATCATGCAGGACTGGATGCATTAGAAAAAAATTAAACCTTTCAAACTCGTCGTCAGTCAACTCGTCCAGACACGCCAGAAGCTGCTCAATGACAGCCATGTCTCCTCACTGCACAGAAAACAGAGGGAATTAGTTTGCAGTTTCTTTACAGGCTTAATTTTCTACATTTCTCATTATTATCATTAGTGAATTTATTTCTAAGTTGGAAACTATTTTTTTCAGCAGACCTTGATTATATTATTCTATTACTAAGGTTCATGTTTTTGTACTATTAAAAGAGTATAAAACAATGAGTACTAAAGCACAGAGTCTTACAAAAATCACATTGAATCCTTTCACATTTTGTCATTTTTCTGTCTCACACAAAATTAGCCTTTATTCTGAATTCTATGTCATAGACCAATGCAACATAGTCCATGATAATAATAAGGGTTAGGGGCTGCTTGTTTTTCCTACACCCTACAAGATGTGCATTGGGTTTTGGTTATAGTTAGGTTTAGAATAATCACTTACAAATGAATGGAAGGCAACAGAAGTCAAGTCCTCACTGGAATACTGCAACCAGACATGTGTGTGTGTGTTTGTTATCATTTTGTTCAGTTCACCCATAAAAATAAACAAACAAAACAAAATGTATATGATAAAATTGATCAAATATTTTATCAGTACATAAACTGCTGTGGCTAAATAGCCACGTTTGCATCAAGTAGTTTCCTTCAGGAAGTGAAAGTACGCAGGAAATGACAGCAGGTGGGCGCAAAGAGAGGCACGAGCTGAACTAATGATTAATGGGGCCAATTCATTAGAAAAGGTCCCTGATTAAAACATGTTAGATGAGCCACATCTGGATCTAGATAGTTAGCAGTTTCGATTAGTGACTTCAATCGATTTTAAATGTAGTTTTTAACCCAACCCGACCGTGTGTAATGAACGTTTTAAAGCTGCAGCTATAAATCATTTAATTAGCAGTCTATAAACCTTTGAAAATAGCCATCTATGTATGGGACCGAGAACAGATAGAGAAATGAAGTGGGCGATCTGACCTGGTTTGGAGAGCTGGGAGTGTTTGCTTACCTGCGCAGCTCTGCGCTCTGTAGAAACAATACGAAAAAAAACAACTGAAGAAGCTTAACCCCAGGCCACACCGACTCCGGTCTTACCGTTGCGGTGCGGTGGGTGCGGCGCCGCAGTGATTCCAAGTCATTAAAAAGACGTAAACCTCTCTCACCGGCTGCTGAGCTGTCCGGCTGCGGTTGCCGAGACACTCCGGCGCTGCAGAAAATTCCGCAAGAAAGCTATCCTTGCGGCGTGCCGGAGCCCTCCGCAACAATTCAGACTTTCAGTTTGTTATTTGTTTGTTATTTCCCATGTTATTTAATCCCATGCTGTAAATGTTATGTATTAATAAAATAAATAACACACGTATGCATAATATATTATATTTCTGTAGGCAAATAGCTGTACCCTTTTTTTTTAAGTTGAAAGGTACAGACTAATTTTGCAGTGCAAACGCTAGAGGGAGGTATATATATACACTGCAAAATTTGTCTGTCCCATTCTGTGAAGTGCTTTTCTGTTATTTAGATCAGTATGTACTGAAATAAGTGCAGCAAACGTGGAAAATGTTCATCCTAACTGGTTTCAGCTTTGAGGTTAAGGTTCCATAATTAGGGTTATAGTTTAGTGTTAGGACCTGGTAACGTTTATCTTGTTACCCGCTGGTGAACATTATTCTTCAATCATCTCCATAAGTGTGTAGTGTTTGAAATGTGTTTGTTCTATTTAACAGTAACCCACCTGCAAAAAAAGAACAAGTTTCGTTCCCCATATGCCATCTGAACCAATCCACTGATTTTAAAGGCTCTAAAGGGTGAAGAGGAGTGTTGAAACACAGCATCCCTTCCTTGTGCCTCTTTCCAAGTGAATTAGTCTCATATTAGTTAATCATGTTCCTGATGCATGGTTTAATTTATAATTCTGCTATTAACTCAATTATGGTTTGATGAAGTACAGGCCATTTACCATTTTTTATATGAGAAAAAAATGCACGTTAATAAGGACTTATATAAGAAGTTACCCTCTTACATTTCTTTTTTCACTTTTTTTTTTCTAGTAAGTGACCACAAAAGACTAAAAATTGTCAACAATAGCCTAAACTATTTACAACTTACTTATAGAACATTGTGTAAATTCATTATTTCCATCATATCTTTAGCCAAACAAAGGCTTAATTGTTCAAAATACCACTTTTTGCTAAGAAATGTTAACTATTAAAGATTAGCCATGGCTCACAGGGGTCCCTAAAATAGTCTGTTTAGGACCTCATATAACATGCCTGTGTTGGTGCCTCTGTCAGTTTAGAAAGTTTTACACATTCTGAACTCAGCTGTTAAATATTGAAATACATGTAAATAAATGGAGTAAGTAAGAAATTTATTCATAGAGAACATTTCAGCGGAAAGGCAATTCAAAGCGCTTTATATCATAAAAACATTCAAAAAGTAAAATCATCAAAAAACTTCACAGAAAATCATCAAAATATCAGAAACAACATAGGAAATGATACAAATCCTCCACCAGATACACATGAAAATCATAGGTGAACATCTTATTATAAAGGTATGAGATGAGCTAGGAAGAACTTTGATTAAAATGGGTCTAAAGCAAACACATATGTATCACTGTTATTTTGGTTTCACCACTTTGCAGACCAAACATTGTTTTATGCAGCAGACTAGTGGCCATAGAAGTGAGTTAAAGTGTGTCTTGCTGAAAAAGTCTAGTTAAAGAGTTTAAATGTTCTATGATAATAACTGTGCATCACTTTGTTGCACCTGTGTTTGTCTTGCTTCTTAAACATTGTTAGTCAAAATCAGTAATGCATCAGACCAGGAGGAAACATTGGCAGGTGAGTGAAGTATGCGATGACTTAGAGGAACGCCACACACATAAAATCAATTGACAACTAAAAAAAGAAATCCAAGATACTCCACATGGGTTTATAGAAAAAAAGGTAAAATAATTTGTCATGTTTCTGTGTTGCTGAATGTTCCAACTACTGCAGGTGTAGATTTATAAGATAGATAACTGCATTTAAGGATGATGTCACAATGTTAAAAAAGAGGAAAATAATTGATTACACTAACTCCTGATGCTGATGATGCTTTGGAGATTCAGGAGTAAAGCTGATTTGAAAATATAACCTGAGTTAAAATAAGTACAATTCTATGGTATGAATTTAATCATCTTTTCTAATATTTATATTCCATGTTCCATGGCCACTGTTATTGAGGTTTGGGGCAATGATCACGCTTCCTTCGTGAGCTACAACTGATGGACCAGCAGCAGGCGTCGCAGAAGAGGTGGCAGAGGTTGAGGATGCAGCGCTTTGCATTCCTGCAGAAACAACAAACAGATGCAGCTTATTAAGACACATACATGGAAGAGGAAGAACGTTCAATACAAAGGGAATCAAATAATCTCATCTCACCCGCTTTTTCTTTTGAAAGTTTCTCTGCAAGATCATTCCTGCGTAGCTTCCTTAGGATGGTTACCGTGACCTTCAAAGCACCTTCTTCCCTGTAGTTCTGCATCATCTTGTTCACTGTGTCTATTTCGCTTTGCACCTTCTAGGTGAGCCTTGGGAATTGGTTTAAAATTATCCAGCCCCGGATTTGTTAGATACCACTTAAACCTGTCAAACTCGTCTTTGGTCAACTCGTCCAGATAGTTTAGAAGCAGCTCACTGACAGCCATGTCTGCTCACTGCAGAGAAAACAGAGAAAATTAGTTAGTAGTTTCTGTGCTGGCTCATCTTTTATACATTTCCATTATTATTGTTATCATTAGTGTTTTGTGCTTTTTTTATTTAAAAAAAACTTTTTTTCCAGACCTTGATTTTATCATTCTATTACAAAGGCACACAACTTGGTACTCTTAAAACAGTATAAACCATGAGTGATTTACAAAGCAAAGAACACATAAAGCTCCTTTTGCATTATTATGATCATTAGTATATGTTTTTTTTTTCAATATTTTTGAAAAAAAATTAATCAAAACACTAAAAATGTATTTATATTTACACCCTGGAGGAAAATAATAATACCTTTGCCTTTTGTGGGTGGTTCCTTTATCTGAAGCTTGGGTCCTCTACCAGAAGCCTGGGACCTTAAGGGTTCTTCTAAGTATCTTAAATTCAAGAACTGCACATTTCTGAACTGAGATCCATGATGTTTCTGCAGGTATCTGTTGAAGCCACTATTCCAGTGGACCAATTACTGTCCAGAGGGCTCAAATAAACACAATCACTACCATTGCCTTTACGTTCAAGGCTCTCTCTTGTCCTTCATTGAGACCTTCGTATTTTGACCTAAGAATTTATTGGTTATTGGTATTTTCTTGTGTTCTTCTTTCCTGAGTTTTCCATCTTTTTGATTGGCCACATTGATCACTATGTCCCTCTTCTTCTGCTAATCAATGATAACAATGTCTGGTTGGTTGGCCACAAGTATTTTGTCTGTTTGTGTGTGGAAGTCCCACAGGATCTTCTCCACCACCTGTGCACATCTGTGCAAAATGCAAACTGGAGACCCCGGTCAGAAAAAAACAGTTTAAATATATTTATGTCATTTTTTTTACCGCTCTATAACAAGCAATAACAGCTCTGTGGCATGTTGTAGTTTTTTCTTTCTAAATTAAGAGCAGTAGTATGATTAAGAGGAGGTGTTTTAACTGTGCCGTGAGTTTCATGGTACTTCAACAAGTAAATAGAGCAGTTATTTCTTGTTGTAGATCAATTTTAAGGGGAAAAAATGCAAAAATCAGTTTTTGTTATTATTTAAAACATTTTTTTTCTAAATCAAGAGCAGTGGTATGATAATGATGTGGTGTTTTAACTGTGTTGTGAATTTCATGGTAGTATGATTACAATGGGTTATTTTAACTGCAGAGTTTTGTGGTTCTACAATCCGCTGTGGTAAGTTTATTGTTTTTTTTTTTTTTTGGTTTTTTTTCATTAGTATAAAAAATGTTAGTGTAGGAATTATCTATTTAAATGATGACGCTTTTCCAAAGTGAAATTCCTTTATTTAAAGCTGTTTTATTTAGAAATCTGTTTTCAAATTGTTTTCTATCCCATACAGAACTAAAATGACTTTAATGAGTATTTTGCTATATAGGTCACAGGCTTTGGGGTATTCCTCAATTTTGAGCAACAGGAATTTTATAGGATAAACTTGAGATAGCATACACATGATTTTAATGACAGTAAACTACTGTCTGGTGACGCTATTAAAGGTTTTTCTTTTATACTTTCTTCCGGTGCTGCAATTTGCAGACATTTTCTTCCCACATGAGGAGGAGTATAAATACAATAGTCTCCCAGCGCGATCAGAGGGTATATTTGGGGGAAAAAAGCGATTATAGCTGACTGTCTAAATGCTGTGGTTGCAGAAAGGTGTCATTTTTGTAGAAGAAAAGATAACGATATATGTAGATGAATCACATCTGGATCTAGATAGTCTATATTTTAGATGTGTGACTTAATCAAGTTTTTAAACTGAACCTGTCTAATGAACGTTTTAAAACTAGAACTATAAATCATTTACGCACAATTAATAGTCTACAAAGCTTTGCATGTGAACATCAAGCTCCTTATAAATAGCTATCTATACATGGGACCGAGAACAGACAGAGAAGTAATGAGAAGTTGGTGATCTTACCTCCTGGTTGTGAATAAAAAGTGAGTTTTTGCACACCTGGCACAGCTGGAATCTGTCAAAGAAGAAGGTGCAGCAGCTTCACAAAGCAAATCCTTCAAGTCTCCCTCTAAAGTTTTTTAAAAAGGCTTTTTATTCCCGAGGGCAGCTGTGTAGCATGAGGCTACATGTACATTAGACGGTAAAGGAAATTACGCAATAATATATTCTTACTTTCACTTTTGAGAACAGGAAGTTTAGAGAGCATCTAGTTTCCCAATTCCTCCATATTGTAAGCATTCTGTATTACTCTATTCTATTTTATTCTGAGAGACGATTCTATTCTTTTCTTTTCTTAGGAAAAATTCTATTCCATTCTGAGGGACATTTCTATTCTATTCTATTCTATTCTAATCTTTTCTATTCTGAGGGACAATTCTATACTATTCTATTCTTAGGGAATATTCTATTCCATTCTGGGGGACATTTCTATTCTATTCTATTCTATTCTATTCTATTCTATTCTATTCTATTCTATTCTATTCTATTCTATTCTTTTCCAGTCTGGGGGACATTTCTATTCTATTTTATCCAGAGGGACAATGCTTTTCTGTTCTATTTTATTATGAGGGACATTCTGTACTACTCTATTCTATTTCATTCTGAGAGACGATTCTATTCAATTCCTTTCTTAGGAAAAATTCTATTCCATTCTAAGGGACATTTCTATTCTATTCTATTAAAACCACTAGGCCTATGCACATTACCTTTTTGTCACCTGAAATTTAATGTGTTATCCCTTTAAATAGAACGTGTGAAAGAATACAAGTTTTTTTATACGAAGTTTTTCAAAAGACGGTTTTACTACAGTATAGCATGTTTTTCCTAATAGCCCACTAAGAACATTTTGGTATGTGTTTTTATGTATCTTGCAGTTTAGGGTCCTCAGAGCCCAACCCTTTTGGGCATTCTTCGTTAAGTATCTAAAGCGGAATTAGATGGGGTGTTTAGGGTTATATATAATAAAATAAACAAGCATTTATCTCAGAGGGTTACATTTATGACTGCATTTAAATGGACTTTATAACTGGCTTTGACTTTCATCCAAAACTTTGCTTTTCTTGTTATTCCCACATAAAGACAAGATTTGAGAGTGTAATACTTGTAGTTTTCACATTAACAGTTGATCCTTGATGAACTCTGGGTCTACAGCTCAGCTGTGAACATGTTGTAAGACGCTGTTAAACAATAGGTCCATCCACATGAAATAAAAGTTTTCTACCAATTTAAGATCAATCCATTCCTTGATCAGTGAGGCTTCAGTTATCTGGACTGAATGGTTATTCTGCTGGATTTAATGAGACAGCATCTGAATCTTGCTCAAAATCTACCACACCTAGATTGCAAGAATTTTAACTGTATTGTTTTACTTTGCAGATTTTAGGTAGGACTCCTGTAACAACGCATTAAAAATGAGCCTTTTACACAAATCAAATAAAAGCCTGAGATGTCTGCAGTAATGGTTGTGTTTCTGCTTTCCCTTCCTCCTCTCTGCAGGGCGTGTATAAAAAGTTTGTGCCCCCCTTTAGCCCCACATTACCCGTGATGCACCAGTTTATTTTGTGGATACTAACACGTAAGTTAGCAAATGCTTGGATGTAGCCCAGTTGGGGGAATTGTTGTGATGTTTACCCACCTAATGCCACTGCAAGTATGTCATGCCATTGGCTTCTTGTCTGAATCTTTCTCAGCTGTCATTGAGTTATTCTGGTTATTTTCAGGTCCTGAGTCAAGTTCCATTGCTTGCAAAGATTCTCTTACATTAACTCTCTGCTGTAATCCTTCCTTCTTATGGATCTTTCCAACTCAGACTGTTAATCTGCACCTGCCTGTCAACCCTACTCATCTTTGCATCCTCAATTTTGTCTCACATAATCTCTCCTGCCAGCCTCATCTCAGTGGGATACTCAGCTCCTCCTGGATTAAACTCCTTCTCCTTAACCGTAAATCCAGAAATCTTTTTCACTCATCTGTTGTAATCCATCAGCTCAAATCCTCAGCTCACTTACCCTCTGTCTTTAGGTGTCCATCTCTGTGCTCGTCCCAGTCAAGATTCCTCCAACCTGTCCCTAAAAACACTTTTTAAACTGAATTCCTTAGTCTACATTTGTCTTCTAAATTCAGAAATGCTGACCCGCAAATATGAAAAAAATAACCATGTTTTATCTAAATGATTGTAGAATGATCCTGTTTAGTCCTTTTTGCACTTTCTCTGGAGTGAGAACCTACTGTATGGATTCAGGTAAAGCATGCCATAACCCCATTGCAAAGATGGCTCCAAATGGAGGAGACTATCTTTGATTGTTTTTAGGAAGAAGTCTTTTTCTTCTTAGTGTATTTTTCAAAAGCACACACATTTTGGTGGAGATATGATCAGGGTATTTGGTTGTTCTGCAAGTGCTCCAAGTTAAATTTCCGGGGTTTCCAATACAACTTTTTCATTTCCAATACTCTACCGACATTGACCATTACAATACTAGCTTTTATTACTTATTTTAGAATGTTAGAAAAGGTTTGATCAAGGGAACAAATAAAAGGTATCAAAACAGCTGACCCAAGTAAATTAACCAGTCAATTACAGAAACTTTTTAGAGAAGCAGAGTGATTCTATTAGCATGAAAGTATCTGAGGTTTTAGCTGTCGGACGATAAAATCCAATATTATTTTTTTGGCTAATATTGGACCGACTCCTTAGGCCCCATAGGCGATATTAATATTGGATCGGGACATTCCTGCTTTGTACTGGAGGATATAAATACATTTGAGACCAATTTTAGATAAGATTGGAGGCTGAATCAGGTGATCTCATTCAACATCACCATCAGATCTAAGATGTTCTCTAACATGCGGAAGAATGTTTGAATATTTCTATGAAAACATTTCAGCTGCAGCTGAAATTGCTGGCTTTAATCTAAAAACTGGATGTTTTTGAAATTTATCTGTGCGTAGAGTCCATTAATCAATACTTCATATGTGTATAAATGCAGACAAAAAGTATTCGGCCCCCTTGAACTTTTGAAACTTTTGCCACATTTTAGGCATCAAACACAAAAAATAATGTTATTTTTATTTTTTTTAAGAATCAACAATAAGTCGGACACAATCATGAAGTGGAACAAAATGTATTGGACATTTTAAACTTTTTTAACAGCAAGAGCAGGGCGTACAAAATGAATTGGCCCATTTATTTTCAGTGCAGCAAACTCTCCAGAAGATCAGTGAGGACCTCTGAATGATCCATTGTTGACCTAAATGACTGATGGTGATAAAAAGAATCCACCTGTGTGTAATCAAGACTCCGTATACAGTGGTCTGTTGAAAGCGCAGAGAGCATAATGAAGAACAACAACCACATCAGGCAGGTATGAGGTACTGTTGTGGAGAAGTTTAAAGCTTGATTTGGATACAAAAAGATTTCCAAGCTTTTAACATCCAAAGAAGCACTGTCTAAGTGATAATATTGAAATGGAGTATCAGACCACTGAAAATTTTAAAAGAGCCGGCCATCCCTCTAAATTTTCAGCTCAAACAAGGAGAAGACTGATCAGAGATGCAGCCAAGAGGCCCATGCTCACTGGATGACCTGCAGAGATCTACAGCTAAGGTGGGAGACTCTGTCAATAGGAAAACAAGCCGTATAGTACTGCACAAATCTTGCCTTTATGGTAGAAAGACATTTCTTAAAGATACTCATAGAAAGTATGATTTAAAGTTTACCACAACCCACCGGGGAGACACAGCAAGCAGGTGGAAGAAGGTGCTCTTGTAAGATGAAACCCAAATCGAACTTTCTGGCAACAATGCAAAACGTTATGTTTGGTAAAAGAGAAAGAAAGTTAATCACCCTGAACACACCATCCTCACTGTCAAACATGGTGGTGGCAGCATCATAATTTGGGCCTGCTTTTCCTCAGTAGGAGTAGCAAAGATGATTAAAATTGATGGGAAGGTGGATGGAGCCAAATACAGGACCATTCTGGAAGAAAATCTGTTGGAGTCTGCAAAAGACCTGAGAATGGGATGGAGATCTATCCTCCAACAAGAGTTGAAACATAAAGCAAAATCTAGAATGAAATGGTTCACAAATAAACATATCCAGGTGTTAGAATGGCCTAGTCAAAGTCCAGACCTGAATCTAATCGAAAATTTCAGTCTCTTGATGTGCAAAACTGATAGAGACTGACCCCAAGTGACTTGCAGCTGTAGTCGCAGCAAAAGGTGGCACTACTAGGTAGCTATTAACTCAAGGGGGCTGAATAATTTTGCACAAACATTTTTTTTAGTTTTTTTTTTTAGTTGAGTTTTCCCACTTGTTAATTTGTAATAAAAAATTACAATTTCATATCTTCATGTTTGAACCCTCAAATGTGGCAAAAGGTCAAAAAGTTCAAGGGGGATGAATATTTTCGCAAGGCCCTGTACATATCAAGCACTGAGAGCCCCTGTTTCAAAGGAACACAAGTGAGCTATAAGATTTTTGACGCTAATGACTGGTTTAAGATAGAGAAATACTTTGTGCTGAATTAAGCTTCTCCATTCTGGAATTTTTTTTTTTACCGTTTTAAACAGGGTCATGTTATTTTGAAAATCCAACTTCTTTGCAGAATGAGAGTACTTACATCCACATATTTTTTGGTATTATGAGCTGATCAGCAGTCCATTCAAGTTAATCAAACACAAACACACTCACAAACTTGATTCCTCCTCTTGACGCTGCAGCATTACACTGGATTATTCTTGACCCTCCCTTCCTTCCTCTTCTGATATACCAACAGAGAACGCCCAGGGTGGCTTTCAGGGCCCAGAGCAAAGGAACTGCTTGATCATCAGTGCAGAACAAGTACACACAAACACACACCCACATTTTCATAAAAGCTTGAAGTACCCCTTTTGTTTTCTCAGAGCTCCCAGTCTGTGGCCAGGCAAGCATTAAGAATCAGACTCTAAGAATCAAAGTGTCTATATTTTATCCTTTGAACAGAGGGTGAGGAAAACCAGGGGAGGATGTGTGCAGCTGGATGGACGCTAATGCTTCTGCTGATTCACCTCATTGGTTCAGGTGAGTTAAATGACCTAGGGAAGAGTGTTATGATAAGTATTTACATCCTTACAGGAAAGAGGTCAGGGTATAGAAATTTTATTTTAGTTTGTTGGATGAAAAAGATTAAGTAAGGTGCACACCTTCATAACAGGTGATTGCAAATAAACTGATAAGCTGCATAGACTTTATATGGGTTTTGAGCAGACTGAAGAACTACAGCTCACAACTAGTAGCACATTGGTAGTACATAAATCCCTTTATTGTCCCACAATGGGGAAATTCGTTCTCTGCATTTTGACAATTCCCCTTGGGGAGCAGTGGGCTGCTATTGTGCGGCGCCCAGGGAGCAATCAGGGGTTAACCCAGAGTGGAGGATCGTACCAGATACTTGCAAATTTCTCATAGCACAAGCGCACTGCTCTAACTCACGAGGCCAGGGGGCACCAAGGGGCAGAGATGTGAAGTAACGAAGTACAAATACTTCGTTACTGTACTCAAGTAGATTTTTCTGATATTTTTACTTTACTTTACTACTTATTTTTATGGCGTCTTTTTACTTCTACTCCTTACATTTTTACACAAATATCTGTACTTTCTACTCCTTACATTTTAAAAAATTGGCTCGTTACTTTAGTTTTGAATCATTTCAATGGAGTTACGGAATTATTTTTCACGTCATCAATACCAAATTCAATCTAATTGGATGGGAATCTATGTTGCATTTGATGCACCACTACAAAATGAATCAACAAATTCGGTGGTATTCACTCGTAGCAAATCATTGCAGCTTGGTGGCGGTGGCGTTAGCATAGTAGTATGGACGACGAGATGATTGAAAATGAACACAACGGAGATCTAGTCCTATTGGCAGACATCCATTTAAAATGTAGGCAACGGCATGAAAAAAGTACTTTACTTTTATACTTTAAGTAAATTTACAAGCCTGTACTTTGTTACTTTTACTTGAGTAAAGAAGTTTAATCAGTACTTCCACTTTTACCAGAGTATTTTTTAACACAAGTATCTGTACTTTTACTCAAGTACGGAAAGTGAGTACTTTTGCCATCTCTGCCAAGGGGCCCTCAAGGACTACGAAGGGTGCCCTTAGAGTCTTCTGAAAATAGAACGACTCAACAGTGAGCTACGTTTGCAATTTCATTGCATTCTGTTGCTCTTCTTTTTTAATCAGTTATAGAACATTTCATCATTTAATCATATATGGCATTTAAGCATTTATAGAGATTTGAAAATGTCTAAATTTAAAGAAATGATAAAGATATGTTTATAATGTATGAAGTTTAGGTGAACGTTGACCCTTGGAATTTATAGGTCAGTATTGGTAGCCCTTCCTGTGACTCAGTATCCCTGAATTAGCCCTCAACTGTAAAAAGGTTGGTAACCGCTGCACTAGGCCAACACTCCTAACAGCTATCTCCCCAATATCTGCAACTGTGCTGATATACATGGATGTATAACTGCATTCTAACTAAATTTGAACATATCTAAACTTTAACACTTGATTTTTGGGGAAAGATTAATAGAACAAAGGAATTAAAGGTTATATTGGATCATTTATTTGAATTAATCATTAGACAAATTTCTAAACAAATTTAGATTTTCTATTTAGAATATTAATATCGAAACATTTTTAGTTGCTTTAGAATTGCAAAACAGTATAAATGGATCTAAAATAATAGCGTAAGAAAAAGGTTTTAAAAACTACTCACCTTACAACACTTGCTGTAATGAAAAATTTATACTTAATTAGTTAATTAATATAGTTAATTTAGAAAGAAACCCAATCACTATAGCATCACTAATTATTTAAATTTACGTTTAAAAGTCTAATTCCTTTTTTTAAGTGGTAGTTTGAAATTTCAGCTGTCTAGGGGAGACCTTCTGCCCGTAGGCTGGCAAAGAGGGAACCACAACAATACGTTTGACAGCCAGCAGGTCTCCTGTGGCTGAGATCATCAGATAGGAGACCAGCCTCGGGGTTCACTGAAACAATGGTCAATTCAAAAAGAGGAGTAGGTTCTTTTGACTTGGGCAGGGTGTCCTTCCTTCCTCGGAGGAACATGCTGGGTGTATTCAGTGTGTGAAGAAACAATGGTTTACAACAGATTAACAGAATGGGTTATATTTCACTACGTGGCAACATTTGTTTGACCCTGGCCTGCATTACGCAAAGGCAAGAGATTTCTGAGGTCATGCCTCATAATGCCAAGATAAATAGACTGAGGAGTGGATTGTTGTATTCAGGGAATGAACATGTGTTCATGCTTAATATACACTATATTGCCAAAAGTATTTGCTCACCCATCCAAATTATTGGAATCAGGTGTTCCAATCACTTCCATGGCCACAGGTGTATAAATTCAAGCACCTAGGCATGCAGACTGTTTTTACAAACATTTGTGAAAGAATGGGTCGCTCTCAGGAGCTCAGTGAATTCCAGCGTGGAACTGTGATAGGATGCCACCTGTGCAACAAATCCAGTCGTGAAATTTCCTCGCTCCTAAATATTCCACAGTCAACTGTCAGCTGTATTATAAGAAAATGGAAGTGTTTGGGAACGACAGCAACTCAGCCACGAAGTGGTAGGCCACGTAAACTGACGGAGCGGGGTCAGCGGATGCTGACGCGCATAGTGCGAAGAGGTCGCCAACTTTCTGCAGAGTCAATCACTACAGACCTCCAAACTTCATGTGGCCTTCAGATTAGCTCAAGAACAGTGCGCAGAGAGCTTCACGGAATGGGTTTCCATGGTCGAGCAGCTGCATCCAAGCCATACATCACCAAGTGCAATGCAAAGCGTCGGATGCGGTGGTGTAAAGCACGCCGCCACTGGACTCTAGAGCAGTGGAGACGCGTTCTCTGGAGTGACGAATCGCGCTTCTCCATCTGGCAATCTGATGGACGGGTCTGGGTTTGGCGGTTGCCAGGAGAACGGTACTTGTCTGACTGCATTGTGCCAAGTGTAAAGTTTGGTGGAGGGGGGATTATGGTGTGGGGTTGTTTTTCAGGAGCTGGGCTTGGCCCCTTAGTTCCAGTGAAAGGAACTCTGAATGCTTCAGCATCCCAAGACATTTTGGACAATTCCATGCTCCCAACTTTGTGGGAACAGTTTGGAGCTGGCCCCTTCCTCTTCCAACATGACTGTGCACCAGTGCACAAAGCAAGGTCCATAAAGACATGGATGACAGAGTCTGGTGTGGATGAACTTGACTGGCCTGCACAGAGTCCTGACCTCAACCCGATAGAACACCTTTGGGATGAATTAGAGCGGAGACTGAGAGCCAGGCCTTCTCGTCCAACATCAGTGTGCAACCTCACAAATGCGCTTCTGGAAGAATGGTCAAAAATTCCCATAAACACACTCCTAAACCTTGTGGACAGCCTTCCCAGAAGAGTTGAAGCTGTTCTAGCTGCAAAGGGTGGACCGACGTCATATTGAACCCTATGGATTAGGAACGGGATGTCACTTAAGCTCATATGTGAGTCAAGGCAGGTGAGCAAATACTTTTGGCAATATAGTGTATTACAAAGACTTCCATAATGGAAAATCTGACAGTCATGTATACTTTTGGTTGATAACTTTTCCCAGTGTGTTGGACTTTAAACTAGATTATTATTGAGAACCAGATTTGTCTTTAATCTGTAAGACTTCTGAGAAACATTTAGACTTCTTTTCATTTGCTTTATTCTTGGCCCATTCCTTCTGGAAGAAGGGGTTTGTCCCCTCACCCCTCATTCACCTTAGTTCTGTCCTTAAATTTGCACTGGGACTGAAATCAGAGCTCTGTGTTATTTACTGTTTTGACCTTAAACCTTTTGTTGTTTGGCATTGTTTATTTCAGTCTAGTTTCTTCCCAACCCCTTTTGCTGATCTATCGAGATGATTTTTCTAATGATTCCACACGATTGAATAATACAGTGAGATTCCAATTTAAGCTTGTTTTGTGACTTTGATTGCACAATCCTGCCCCCCTTGTACTTCAGCTGACGTTAGTTTTACTTCTCCAAATGTAACGTTATCACGGCCAAATGTGTTGTTTTTTTTGTTCAGTGAAACTACAGCCCATGTCTCCCTAATGTGAAGTATTTATCCCAGTCATTTGCAAACTAATGTAGCATTGTGTTGCTTCTTGACTAATTGCTTCTTCCTCACTGAGTGGCCTTTCAGCCCACATTGATACAGGACAGGTTTCACTGTAGAGACTCTCTTCAGAATTATATAAAGGTCTTCACAAGGTGTTTTGCTTTTATGTGGTTGACTCAAACATTTCACACCAGAAAACTTTCATCTCTGGGACACAGAACCAGTTTCCTATATGAAGAAAGTCCATCCTAATGGTTGGACTTCACCATTCTGCTCATACCAGAACACTTATTCTTTTAACAGATTAACCTTTAGGTTAGAATGTTGAATTAATTTATAAACTGTGTATAATGTTTTTTTTAGGCTGCAGAGTGGTGCAGTGGGTAGCACTGCTGCCTTCTAGCAAGGAGGTTCCGGCTTTCATTCCCGGCCCAGGGTTTTTTTCTGCATGGAGTTTGCATGTTCACCCTGAATAAGTGGGGGTTCTCTCCGGGTACTCCGGCTTCCTTCCACAGTCCAAAAACATGACTGTTAGGTGAATTAGCTTCTCTAAATTCTCCTTAGGTAAGAGTGTGTGCGTGAATGGTTGTTTGTCCTGTTTGTCTCTGTGTTGCCCTGCGATGGACTGGCGACCTGTTCAGGGTGTACCCCGCCTCTCGCCCATAACAGCTGGAGATAGGCACCAGCACCCCTCCCAAACCCAGCAAGGATAAGCGTGTCAGAAAATGGATGGATGTATGATGTTTTGTTCACTTTGGGGTTTGAAAAATGTGACAAAACAATCAAAAATTTTAGATAATTTCTCTCTTTGATTTCTGTACTGTATGAGTGTGACTTATCTCATATTTTCTCTTGCTCTGTTTTATTTCAGCTACCTCGTCTCCTTTCATTACTCCTGATTCAGTTCTTCCACACCTCCTTCCCCCATCTGTCCGCTTGCCGCCTCCCACCTCCGCAGTCAGCTTTGCTGAGTCGAGGGCCCAAGTGGACTGCAATCTGACGATTTCACCTTCAGCTCTTGTCGTCAGGTATGACTGGAAAGGGCACAGTTCTTCTGCAGCTCTTAAAGGAAACTATTATTTCCAACCATTTCAAGAAACTCTAATGTTTTAGGTTTGGAGATCCTGCAGAAGCAACCTGCTCCAACCCAAGCAAAGACCACTTTTTACTGGGCTGGGTATCTAATCCGGTAAGAAAAAAAAAAAAAAAGGGGTAAAATATCATGCTGTATAGACAATACACAATTGCTATCATAAATTTAGGTTGGACCTAATTTCAGAACAACCTCAGAATACATCATTTTAAAAGTGAAAATCTGATGAGCAAACATATATAGCTGTAGTTGATTTGTTTTTATAGAGGTTTAGGTTTAAGGCAGACTCAAGGATTAGCATCTATACTGCTGTTTACAGATAAAACTAGCTTTTTGATTTTTGCAATTAAAACAAAAGCACCATGAGTCTAATCACAGACAGCACTCATATCTTCAAACTTTTAGAGATAAATAATTCAACAATCTATAAATCTATTTCTCCAGACACCATAGTTCTAATAATAATAACATAATTGAATACAAATATGCCAAAAGAACTTGGTACTCCAAAAGCAAATAAAACCCAAATCAGAAAGGAGGTCTCAACCGAGGCCTTACTTGCCTCAGTTAAGGTCAGTGATCATAATTAAAAATATAATGAAAGCTATTCATTGGAGGGTTCCAATTAAAAACAGACCTCAAAAGTCATATTTGCCAAATAATTTGATGTACAAAACTTAAAAACATCCTATGGAGTTTTGTGTAAATGGCATGTGGCCCTTTTTCAAGTCAGAGGACGTGACCAAAGCGCTTTACACTACATACATTCAGTCATTCCGCAACAAGGTCGGAACAAGGACTTAGGCTCTGTTCGAAAACCTAGGACGCATCCTTAGAAGACCGGATTTGAAGATCGATTACGTCATAGCGCGGCGCCGAGGTCTGGTCGGATTCCAAGAGTCCTCGTTATGCGGCCTTAAAATGCGTCCTCCTTTTTGCCCGATTTGAAGGACGGGTCTGATGTATCCTCGGTATTCTTGGATATCCCAGGAGTCATTGCGAGACCAAGCAAGCTGTGATCAGAGTAAAGGTTACTTGGCGCCGAACAGTGGTGAAAATTGGAAGTTCAGTTTAATATAATACAAGTAATTTAATAGTTCCGTCTGAGATTAATGAAAATAGTTGTTTTAATGGTTACTGAGTCAGATATGTGGCGGTAATTTTTGATTTATCTAAAGGTTTTTATTTGTTACTGTGTAAATGGGTTTGGCTGTAATTTAAGGACAGATTCTAATATATTTGCAGGGTGGGGACTATAAATCTGATAGGATTTTTATCTTTTTATTGCTGTTTTGCACAATATGCTTAACTTCGTATTTTTTGTTGTTGAATATTAGAGATTTTGCAGATATATTTTTTTATAAATATATTGTTTAGATTTACTTATATCTTTCTACCCCTTTTATAGAATAGAATAGAAAATCCCTTTATTTTCCCACAATGGAAAAATTTACAGCAGCAGAAAGATTATTGAAAATGGTCACACAAATGAGGACCTTAGAAAAATGTCTAAGAATAACATAATAGGGAAGAGTTAAAATATAAACAATAAAATCCTGTAAAGTGTTTTAACAATATAAAACTGGGGAATAAATAACCAATATGCAGCTATGGACATTTTTACAGTAATGGATATTAGAAAATAGCAGCAGCATCAGAGATGTGCAAAATGACAGCAGCATTTTATTTAACTGACTAAGGTTTCTATCATTACATTTGATTTTATTTGTTCCTGCTCCCGGTGGTTGAAACCTTTATTCCACTCTGGATTCTTGTGAGTGTAGTCTTTGTTCACTTCACAATAAAAAAAGAAATAAACAGTTTTGAAAACTTCTGTATTCATTCTTTTCCTGCTTTGTGTGTCAACGTTCACGGTTGCTAAGCAACAGAGCATACAGCGGTAAAACCCGCCGAAGGGTAGACCTGGTCGAATTTACAGCCAAAACTCTTCCGGTCTCCTTATTTTCAAGGACTTCGAAGGATCCAGTCTAGGTAGACCGCGTCCTTGGAGGACCCGTCCTAGGTTTTCGAACAGAGCCTTAATCTGACAACCCTCCGGTTGCAGGGCCAACTCCTTCCTGTTTCATCTGATACGGTGGTTAACATTAGACCCCCTGAACTGCTCCTACAGGATCATCATGGCATGCTTTGATTTACTCTCTACCAGAAAAAAAATGAAAGTTAATGTACCCATGCTAGGGTTGATGTACAACCATAATAATCTAAAACACATCAACAAGTTAATCTCAATGTCTAAACAAGCCTAAATGTTTTAGCATGTTCTATTTAAAGCGCAGATTTAAGTAGACATAACAGGACCTTCAAGTGACCAGTTATGCTGAAATAACCTTACAGTGGGCTGAGTTTAAACAATGCTACTAAATTCCTGCAGTCCACAGTGATTTAGAATCCTCATTACCAGTGAGACTATTTTTAAAACAAGGGTGGTGCAACCAGTAGTTACAGTAGTTTCAGGGGAAATGTCTTTGTCAAGACAAAGAGAGAACTTTGGCTCTTAATGAATGCATCATATGGAGATTTTGTATTTACTCTGGTTATCTTTGTAATCTCCTGAAATATTGAAATGAAGCCATGGCATTTTTACAGAACTGTACTTTAAAAAGGTATCTGATGTGTGGAATTTGCTTTGACATTTTTATTTTCCAGTAAGGTAAGGATTTAGCTTGCATGTCTAAATGAGGTTAGAATTTGCAGAGAGAAAGGAAACATCTGGATGAAAGATAACACAGAACTGCAGCAGTGACAGATACTGTGTTCCACCTCTCTCTCTAAAAAAAGCTCCTTAGTTTTTTATATTTGTAACTTTATGCCAACACAGGGATTAACAGAGCCCACTACTGATAGTTTTTTGGTGTGGAGTGTGGAGAGTGTGACTCAGTGGAGCATCGACCTTGTATGTTATGCAGCCTCTGACCTGAGAGGGTCGTGCAACATTTCTCTTCCTTCCATAGTCTACAGTAAGTTACCATTTAATTTTAACCTGTGAGAACATCACTTCACTTTAAGGTAAATGACCTGTCCCTGCCATTATAGACCCACCAAAAAGAGTCTCCATCCAGTTTCTGAATCACACCGGCCCTATGGTGGAGCAGCATCAGTACACTCTGCAGTGCACAGTTCAGGATGTTGCACCAGTGGCAAAGCTCATGGTGACCTTCTACAGGGGACATACCCCATTGGGTCAGCTCCAGTCTGACAGCAAAGCAGAGAAGATGCCAGTAAATGAAAGCTTCACTCTGAACATCATTCCCTCCAGAGGAGACAATGGAAGTCAGTACTGGTGTGAGGCCAAGTTAGATCTGCGACCTGCAGGACCCCAGCAACCTCCAGTGGAGACATCTCAAAACCTCACTGCAGTGGTCATCTGTGAGTAAAGCTGATCTTTTAAAACAATCTCATTGAAGAGAGCCTCACAAGCAGAACTGGAATGTTTAGTATTTTATTACAAATACACCGTTTGAATAACAAGAGACAAGGTAAATTGATTTTATAAATTAAAGTCTGAAATGTGTAGCATTCAGTTATTCTAACCAGATTAGCTAATAATGCCGCTATATGCAAACAATGCGAGGTTTTGAGCTAAAAAAAAAATTATATATATATATATATATATTCCAGCATTTTAATACTTACTATATAATAATACTTGCAGGTAACAATTTGACATAAACGGAATGAACCTTGAATTTTACCAGTATTGTGTGGTCTGTTCAAACATTAAATTATGTACAGTAGCCCAGGTTTTTCCCTTTAGGAAAAATGGTAATGTCCAATTTAAGAATAATTTGCTATTCCAAATTTTAAGCATTAATCATAAGCCCTGATATTTGAATTATTAATTGAATACATATAAAAATATTAGTTAAACCTTTTATAATTCAGAAAAAGAAATTCTTTGCAACCCATGTTGGAGATTTTCCACCGGATAGACTGTAATTTTATTCTTGTCTCATTGCATTTAAAATGAACACAAATTAAAATCATGGCAAGTATTAGGTGAGTAGACGATTTTTCCTAGTTTGTGGTTATAGAGAGTTTACAGCAAACAAAGTCCATAACCCTAAAAGCTTTGGGTTATAGATTTTATATCCATAATGTCTAAAAGCCTTTTTTCTCCTCTATAGGGAATCAAGAACCTACTTATCAAACAGAGCGACCTATGAAAGATCATGAGGCAAAAACAAACCATCAACCATTAGAAGGAAGTGGTAGGTTTACAATAAGAATTTTATTGAATGTTTTATTCTTGAAATTACATTTTTTTCCTGCTAAGAATTTCAGGTTTGTAAAAATAGGTCTTTTACTTTAATTATGCTCTTTCTTATAGGAACTACAAACAGCTACAGAGGATGTTTCTTACTGATTGTCCCTCTTGTTTACTGGATAAATGGACTCTGAAAGCTGAAGGAACACAGTCTGATTCATGACTGTTTGGTTTGGACTGATCCCGATTTGGGAAATACATTCCAGAAGATCCACCATCTTTGTTTTCCATGTCCAACTATTGGAATGGAAGCCCACCTGGTCATAAAATTAGAATATCATGAAAAAGTTGTTTTTTTTTTAGTAATCCCACTCAATAGTTTAAACTTGTATATCATATTTATTGATTATAACCATACTGCGCTAATACTGATATATTTCAAGTGTTTCTTTTAATTTGGTGATTATAACTGACAGCTAAGGAAAACAGCAAATTAAGTCTAAGAAAATTAGACAAAAAAAAAAAAAAGATTTCATGAAATGTTGGCCAACTAAATATGTAGGAGTATGAACATGTACGGCACTCAACACTTAGTTGAGGCTCCTTTTGCTTTTATTCCTGCAGTAATGCGATGTGGCATGGGGTTGATTAGTCTGTGGTAGAGATGTCCCGATCCAGGTTTTTGCACTTCCGATCCGATACTGATATTGTTTTTGGACTTCCGATCCGATACCGATACTGGCCGATACCAGCCTATCCGAGCATGTATTTAAGTTTAAGTTAAAGTATTTAGCCTTAGTTGTAAGGCTCATGTTGAAAAGGGTTTTAGTACTCTTGATAACATCTAGCCAGCTAAATTAGGTGAGATTGAATAAAACACAATGCTTGGTAACAACAAACTTACCTGTTTATTAAGAGATAAACACAAACTGGACAAAATTATGAATAGCAATCTGAAATTGCACAGTGAGCAGTAAAACCGTAAACAGTTAAAGGTGCAAGTATTACTGTAAGTTTTAATAAAAATGCAAAACAGGGGAACACTGGCGCAAAATAGTGGAATGGATCATTTCAATTTGCGAAACTGGAAAATATGGACCAGATTTTTTTTTTTTTTTAACTGGATCGGCAGTCTGGATCGGCATTTTACATGCTTTGCCGATACGTATTTTTTTGCCAATATCGGCGTCCCGACCAGCCTAGTCTGTGGTACTGCTTAGACATTATGATGATGCCCTGGTTGCTCTGATAGTGGCCTTCAGCTATTCTGCATTGTTAGGTCTGGTGTATCACATCTTCCTCTTCACAATACCATGGAGAGCAGGGGCCTCCAAACATAGGCCTTAAGATCTACCGTCCAGCAGGCTTTAGATAAATCCCTGCTCAATCTCTGCTAAATGACTGGCTCATTGATAGGCCTCTGCCAAAGTTGATGGCATGCTGAAGTGGTAATACAGTCATTTAATTTGATTGATTGGAGCAGAGATGCATCTTAAATCTGCAGGACGGTAGATCTTATTGGAGATCCCTGCTATTGATTGTCTATGGGGTAAGGTCAGGTTAGTTTGCTAACCAATTAAAAACAGGGATACCATGGTCCATGGTAATGTTGTGTAATGGTGCCAAGTCCTGTTGGAAAATGAAATCTGCATGTCCATAAAGTTGGTCAGCAGCAAGGGGCATGGAGTGCTCTAAAACTTCCAAGGAAGACCGCTGCATTGATATAAGAGCACAGATAAAACAGTGGACCAACACTAGAGGCCCGTACCACAACATGAGCTCATTCTTTCAGGTTACTCCAAGCTTATCCAGTTTAAGGTATCCACAAAAATGGTAATCAGGCCAAGCAGTACCCCAAAGCTGGTTATCAACTCACTAACTAGACCCAACTAATCATGAATCTGTGAACACACCCCTATAAAGGGGCGGGTTCAAGTTGGACCAATCACAGGAGCACAGAATGGAGAATGTCGTATGTGTCCTCTGAGGAACAAAAACTAATCTTGCAGAAATACAAAGAGGAAAAAACAAGTCTCACGGTGATGGGTTAGAAAAGACACCAAGGGTCCGTTTCATGAAGCAGGTTTACTGAAAACTCTAAGTCTTCTAAACCTGAAAACCGGGAAACTCTGACTTTTCCATTTCACAAAGAGAGTTTAGTCAAACTCTGTTTCAGTGACTGTAGCAACATTCTCCTCAGAGCTAACCTGGTCGATAGCAGGTTTTCTTTAGTGAACTCAGTTTCCTCTGTCTCCACTCTCCCTACAACAAAGCATGTTGTTTTATTTCCTGATTTAGTCAGTTTTTTTGTCATAAGTTTGTTTAATATGAGCGAGAAGCAGATTGTTTTATTTTTATTTAGTTATATTAACAGTAAATGAAGAACTACTGAAATTATTTTAGGATCAAACATAAATAATTTCCATTGGCGAAAAGGAATTACTTTAGAGTTAGGATTAGGATTCACTCCATAACAAGCTAATGTGCCTACTTGCACAATCTGAAGCCCTCCTATGGGACTGATAGCCGCCAATCACAACCATTTATTGGGATGATAACATCTGAAGCGCAGCTGCAAACAGCCACCTTACTGTGTAAAAGAAGACTGAATCAAAATGAGGAGGGACAAATGAGATGATGCACAGATTTTACATATTAGAACAATGTTTTAAGACTTCATTTTCACCTGCTGACAGATTTCACTTAAATACCTTTTTATAATTGCATTGTATTTTATGATTGTAAAGCACTTGTCTTGGTCTTGTCAGTGTATAAAGTGCTTCATAAATTCAGTTGGTATGGTATTGATCTATTCAAGAAATAATCCCATCATATCATCAGTCACAATATCCTGTGGCAAGGCATTAAAAAAAAGAAATGTTTTTGTCTCAATTACCATTTCAAACAAAATGTCACTCTCCATATCTAGAATAAACATTAGCATGTCTAGAAATTAATTTCAGATCTCCATATTCCTAATATTACTGGTCAGCATCTGTATTATTTTAACTATGAAAAAAATCTTCACATATAAATGCATTTACAGTCAAGCTGATAAATTTCAGAATGGCCACTTAAAATGACTCAACATTTCTAGATATATAAAACTTAATTCGTAATAGTATAATTTTGTGATTTATAAAATATATTATAGTCCAGTCTAAGGAGCGTGTTTTTGATCAGAAAGAATTAATTTTAGTGATCTACAAATGGAACGACAGAGTGCTTTTAACAAATGTAAAAACGGGCCACTTCAAATGTATGAATGAACTCGAGCAACAATCTTCTCCTTTGTAGCTGAAATGCTGTTTCTACGTCTTTTAAACACATTGTCCCTTTTTTTTCTTGTTTTGCATTAAAATCTCTAGTTCCAGTGGGGTGAAATAGGCACTTCCTGTTGCCTGTTGTCATGGTGACTCATTGAATTGGTGCTCTATTGATAATGGCTTTTCATACCTGTTGCACATGCACTTTGAGTGGATCTAGTTAAAAATTGATTCAGCTAATTGATAGCAGCCGTTGTGAAACCAAACACTCAGAGTTCCTAACTTTAGGCTAGATCAATTTAGATTTGAATCTGAATTTGTTAAACCTACTTCTTGAAACGGGCCCCAAAACACCAAAACAAGTTTCACACGGGTGTCATTTAACACATCCATACCTCCCAATCACTGTACTGCATATTAGTCGCATCACAAATCTCATCACCCAGATGCAACTTCTCTGGTAAAGAGATGACTTGGGAGTAGATAATACAAAACTTTTACCCATTAGATTGTTTTATTCAATAATGTATGAGCTACAATAAACCTGGAGGTTTATGCATCAACTGCATCATATTAAGTGATTTTTGAGCCGTGTCAAAACTCAGTGGACACAAATGGTAAAGATCTACTCTCATTTAAAAAAAGTGAAAGCCCTCAAACACCATGCAGCTCTTCCCCTTCTCATTTATACAGAAATATACACTCACCTGCCACTTTATTAGGTACACCTGTCCAACTGCTCGTTAACACTTAATTTCTAAGCAGCCAATCACATGGCGGCAACTCAGTGCATTTAGGCATGTAGATATGGGCTCTGTTCGAAAACCTAGGACGGGTCCTCCAAGGACGCGGTCTACCTAGACTGGATCCTTCGAAGTCCTTGAAAATAAGGAGACCGGAAGAGTTTTGGCTGTAAATTCGACCAGGTCTACCCTTTGGCGGGTTTTACCGCCGTATGCTCTGTTGCTTAGCAACCGTGAACGTTGACACACAAAGCAGGAAAAGAATGAATACAGAAGTTTTCAAAACTGTTTATTTCTTTTTTATTGTGAAGTGAACAAAGACTACACTCACAAGAATCCAGAGTGGAATAAATGTTCCAACAGCCGGGAGCAGGAACAAATAAAATCAAATGTAATGACAGAAACCTTAGTCAGTTAAACAACCTGCTGCTGTCATTTTGCACATCTCTGATGTTGCTGCTATTTTCAAATATCCATTACTGTAAAAATGTCCATAGCTGCATATTGGTTATTTATTCTTCAGTTTTATATTGTTAAAGCACTTTACAGAATTATATTGTTTATATTTTAACTCTTCCCTATTATGTTAATCTTATACATTTTTCTAAGGACCTCATTTGTGTGACCACTTTCAATAATCTTTCTGCTGCTGTAAATTTTTCCATTGTGGGAAAATAAAGGGATTTTCTATTCTATTCTATAAAAGGGGTAGAAAGATATAAGTAAATCTAAACAATATATTTATAAAAAATATATCTGCAAAATCTCTAATATTCAACAACAAAAAATACAAAGTTAAGCATATTGTGCAAAATGGCAATAAAAAGATAAAAATCCTATCAGATTTATAGTCCCCACCCTGCAAATATATTAGTATCTGTCCTTAAATTCCAGCCAAACCCATTTACACAGTAACAGATTAAAACCTTTAGATAAACCAAACATTACCGCCACATATCTGACTCAGTAACCATTAAAACAACTATTTTCATTCATTTCAGACGGAACTATTCACAGAGTTGTATTATATTAAACTGAACTTCCAATTTTCACCACTGTTCGGCGCCAAGTAATCTTTCCTCTGATCACGGCTTGCTTGGTCTCGCAATGAGTCCTGGGATATCCAAGAATACCGAGGATACATCAGACCCGTCCTTCAAATCGGGCAAAAAGAAGGACGCATTTTAAGGCCGCATAACGAGGACTCTTGGAATCCGACCAGACCTCGGCGCCGCGCTATGACGTAATCGGCCTTCGAATTCGGTCTTCTAAGGATGCGTCCTAGGTTTCCGAACAGAGCCATGGTCAAGACAATCTCCTGCAGTTCAAACCGAGCATCAGTATGGGGAAGAAAGGTGATTTGAGTCATGAACGTGACATGATTGTTGGTGCCAGAAGGGCTGGTCTGAGTATTTCAGAAACTGCTGATCTACTGGGATTTTCACGCACAACCATCTCTAGGGTTTACAGAGAATGGTCCGAAAAAGAAAAAAACATCCAGTGAGCGGCAGTTCTGTCGGCGGAAATGCCTTGTTGATGCCAGAGGTCAGAGGAGAATGGCCAGACTGGTTCGAGCTGATAGAAGGGCGACAGTGACTCAAATAACCACCCGTTACAACCAAGGTGGGCAGATTAGCATCTCTGAACGCACAGTACGTCGAACTTTGAGGCAGATGGGCTACAGCAGCAGAAGACCACACCGGGTGCCACTCCTTTCAGCTAAGAACAGGAAACTGAGGCTACAATTTGCACAAGCTCATCGAAATTGGACAATAGAAGATTGGAAAAACGTTGCCTGGTCTGATGAGTCTCGATTTCTGCTGCGACATTCGGATGGTAGGGTCAGAATTTGGCGTCTACAACATGAAAGCATGGATATATCCTGCCTTGTATCAACGGTTCAGGCTGGTGGTGGTGGTGTCATGGTGTGGGGAATATTTTCTTGGCACTCTTTGGGCCCCTTGGTACCAATTGAGCATCGTTGCAACGCCACAGCCTATCTGAGTATTGTTGCTGACCATCTCCATCCCTTTATGACCACAATGTACCCAACTTCTGAAGGCTACTTTCAGCAGGATAATGCGCCATGTCATAAAGCTGGAATCATCTCAGACTGGTTTATTGAACATGACAATGAGTTCACTGTACTCAAATGGCCTCCACAGTCACCAGATCTCAATCCAATAGAGCATCTTTGGGATGTGGTGGAACGGGAGATTCGCATCATGGATGTGCAGCCGACAAATCTGCGGCAACTGTGGGATGCCATCATGTCAATATGGACCAAACTCCCTGAGGAATGCTTCCAGCACCTTGTTGAATCTATGCCACGAAGAATTGAGGCAGTTCTGAAGGCAAAAGGGGGTTCAACCCGTTACTAGCATGGGGTACCTAATAAAGTGGCCGGTGAGTGTATATATGGTGCCCAGCAAGTGGCTAAGGCAGTTGAATTCATCACCGCACTGGACACTTGGACAGGTCGACAAAACTATTTCTCCAAAGCCACTCAGCCTCCCCGACGGGGTACATAAAGTTGCCGGTTGTGCAATATCACATGGCCGTACATGTAGTCTATCACACAGTGAGTGATGAACTCCTGTGGGCCCCACAGCCAACACGCCTATCCAGGATGTGACATATGACAGTGTGGCCCGTGAAAACCAGTCACTCTTATAAAATATTGTCATTCTTTCCTTTTTGCACTGAATTAAATTGGTTGTTTATTGAAAGGGCACATCATGGTTTCCCCGAACAGCTGATTGGATGCTGTGTGGAGCATTTTACTTAGAAAAGTTTTAAGACTTAGACTAGAAAATTCTGAAGTTTTCAGACCAATGTGAAAAGGTGTGGGGTTAATTACCAGATTACATTGTGACACCATCTTTTATATGCTAATTTTCTGAGATACCGAGTTTGGATTGTTTTTATTAGTTGCCAGTTATAATTATCAAAACACTTTAAAAATAATCTGTTATGATTTTTTTTTAAAGGATTACTTTAATACAGCAACTTTTTCATGTTTATGATAAACACCTGTATCCAAGTTGTATCCTAAAAGAGAAAAATAATTTGCTTTCAAAAGAGCCATTTGGTGAGGTACATTGACTATATGACTGTTTTGCTAAAAAAAATAAACGTTTAAATGCTCATTCTGCTTTTGGATGTTGAAGGTATAATGGAGGGTTTTTCCAATTTTTTTAGAAGACCTGCCCTCTCCAATTTAAAAATAAAATCCACAGCCCTGTACCCGCTCCCGAAAGTGAGAAGCCTGTTAAATGCATTCAAGAGCATGCAAGCCCATTTCTCCTTGTGCATGCGGTTTAAAAGTTGCTGTTTGCATCATTCATACAAGCTTACTTTCCAAAAGAATATTTGCAATTTTTCCACTATGTCAGACTCAGCACCAGTAAGTGAAAATGGGGACAAGCACATAGGTCAGCCTTACATAAACATATCACAGAATCATTAACAATTAGGAGCACCATTACTTAATGATCCACCCCAAAAAAGAATATCCTCCACTATACCTTTAATGTTTTCATAAATGTCTGGAGTACATTACATAACTCTACCTTACCCAAGCCAAGCCAATCTGTTTCGTTACATTTGACCTACTTAGTTTGATTAAAAATGACCTTAAATTGTTTCAGTTTAAAGGGAAAAAAACCAAACTAACCTGCCTTTGCTGTGGTTTTTGGTAACACTAGGTTAAATTTACCAACGGTTTCATACCTCCAGATTGGTAGAATAAAGTCTTTTGAATGAAACCCTCCTGACAAATGGGTAAAAGATTTCATAAAAAACAGCTGCAAACCCTTTTTTCATTTCAACAGATCAACAGCAGCTAGGTTAATACCACAATCTAAAAAAATCTTTTTATGGAGGCCAGGTGCATTGCTGACCCCCCTCAGGACATTGGCTTGTAACATTTCATGGGCATTAGGCTGCTTGTGCTATGCATAAGTTAGGCTGTTGTTGGACATAAGTTCTGGATTTGTTATGAATACTCCATATATACGCCCACAATTGAAAAAAATACCTAGAAAGTTGAGCATATGCCAGAGTTTTAGATTTGGGACCTCTGCATACGCTGGCTAAATTGTCAAGGTATGACAGGGGCTTCAGAGCAAAAACTGTTGATGAGCACCAGGATTTTACATACAATGATCTAGAAACAGATACTTAAACTTTGCGTGGAGTGAGAAAAATGAAGATTACCCCGTGGCCCCCCAGGATGGCACAACCAGCTCATGTAGTGCATGTTAGTTTGCATCTTTCAGGCCTTGGATAAAATGTCGCATTTACATATGGAGCTTTATTTATCTTTAATAAGGGTAAATACAAGCTTTGCAAGAGCACTAGAAGAAACATTTTTCATCTGTACCTTAGAACTGTAAACCAACAAAAGTATCCTCCATCCTTAACAACTCGATCGAGCCTGAACAATGCTTCAGGAATCATGTTGGATCAGCAGGCCATACGATTATATTCAAATGAAATCTGTCCGTTTCAGAGTTGGGAGGCTCCTTAAGATCTCCCGTCTCCAACCAGCGATAGCTCCGGCAAGGTTACCCGACTTTCAGGAAAATCGATTGGGCTGGGGTGAGGTGGTGGAGGGGGGAGAGTGGGATTTATATCACCCAAACCAAAGCCCAAGGGTTTGAAAACGGCAGATGCCAAATAGTCCCTTGAAAGAGTAAGCGGCTGTTCACGAGCCAGCGCCTGGTCAGCAAGGATATCAAGCAGGGAATGGCCAGAGGAGGATGTGGCATTCTCTGGAGCTTTGTCTGCCTTTGAAGGTAATGAGACAGATAAGCCAGATTTCACCTTCAGTTCTTCGTCTCCCTGAAGACTCCTGCACCCATCAGTAGATTTTGAAGCTCCACCAACACAAGACTGACGCTTTTGAGTTTGAAAACTCTTGGCCTTGTTCACCCTTTGCACACAAACAGTTTAATTATTACAAAATATCAACTACAATCCAAACCACATTTTGCTAGATGATAAAACTTACTGGGAAGAAGAGAAAAGGCCTGACAACTTCTTGCTCTCCCTCACCAGTACCCTGAAATAAGAGGTAAACTTTATTTTCTTTAGTTACATCAAGGATTTAAATGGCAGCATACCTTGACTGCATCCATCCTTTAGGCCAGAGGGGTTTTACTTCATCATCAAGCATAGTTTTAAGGTACTCTTCAAGCTCATGCCCATCTTTCCCCTCCTTTTGGCATTTAGCAATTTTCTCTCTCAATAACTGATCCAAGCAATCCCTGCATGTTATGGAAACAAGTGTTACAATAAGGGAAAAAAAATAAAAATTTCCATTAGGTAAGTATTGAAACTTTCAGTAAAGATATTCTGTGTTACGCCCCACCTGATCTCCTGATTCCATTTGAACAACTTTTTTGGACCACTTTTTCTCCCACTTTTCTCCTCAACATTTTCTTCCTCAATTTCCCTAAAGCAGAAATGGAAATACAAGTAAATGTGCTAGGCCTCCAGTAACACATTTATACAGAAGTTTCTGTCCATTTTAATTTTTAACCATTTATAAACAGACTGGTTCAGTCCGTTTAAAAAGCTACGACAGGCTGTTAGGATTTAGCAACTAAATATTTGAACAGCTACCCTAAATGAACAGAAAAGGAGTGAAGTAAGCATGAGAGGTAGTACACATACACTCACCAGCCCCTTTATTAGGTACCCCATGCTAGTAACGGGTTGGACCCCTTTTGCATTCAGAACTGCCTCAATTCTTCGTGGCATAGATTCAACAAGGTGCTGGAAGCATTCCTCAGGGAGTTTGGTCCATATTGACATGATGGCATCACACAGTTGCCGCAGATTTGTCGGCTGCACATCCATGACGCGAATCTCCCGTTTCACCACATCCCAAAGATGCTCAATTGGATTGAGATCTGGTGACTGGAGGCCATTTGAGTATAGTGAACTCATTGTCATGTTCAAGAAACCAGTCTGAGATGATTCCAGCTTTATGACATGGCGCATTATCCTGCTGAAAGTAGCCATCAGAAGTTGGGTACATTGTGGTCATAAAGGGATGGAGATGGTCAGCAACAATACTCAGGTAGGCTGTGGCGTTGCAACAATGCTCAATTGGTACCAAGGGGCCCAAAGAGTGCCAAGAAAATATTCCCCAGACCATGACACCACCACCACCAGCCTGAACCATTGATAAAAGGCAGGATGGATCCATGCTTTCATGTTGTAGACGCCAAATTCTGACCCTACCATCCGAAGGTCGCAGCAGAAATCGAGACTCAGACCAGGCAACGTTTTTCCAATCTTCTATTGTCCAATTTCGATGAGCTTGTGCAAATTGTAGCCTCAGTTTCCTGTTCTTAGCTGAAAGGAGTGGCACCCGGTGTGGTCTTCTGCTGCTGTAGCCCATCTGCCTCAAAGTTCGAAGTACTGTGCGTTCAGAGATGCTCTTCTGCCCACCTTGGTTGTAACGGGTGGTTATTTGAGTCACTGTTGCCCTTCTATCAGCTCGAACCAGTCTGGCCATTCTCCTCTGACCTCTGGCATCAACAAGGCATTTCCGCCCACAGAACTGCCGCTCACTGGATGTTTTTTCTTTTTCGGACCATTCTCTGTAAACCCTAGAGATGGTTGTGCGTGAAAATCCCAGTAGATCAGCAGTTTCTGAAATACTCAGACCAGCCCTTCTGGCACCAACAATCATGCCACGTTCAAAGTCACTCAAATCACCTTTCTTCCCCATACTGATGCTCGGTTTGAACTGCAGGAGATTGTATTGACCATGTCTACATGCCTAAATGCACCGAGTTGCCGCCATGTGATTGGCTGCTTAGAAATTAAGTGTTAACGAGCAGTTGGACAGGTGTACCTAATAAAGTGGCCAGTGAGTGTAAATTGATAGCTTAAAAATGCACTTTGAAGATTTGATTCTGGCAACCATCTCATTAGAAATGCCAAAGAACTTACTTTAAAGTCTTTGCCTGCTCATATGCTTTACAGCTTTCCTGAAAGTCAGCCATCTGCTCTGGCATTGATCTTTCAATAGCCTCCTTTAGTTTCTGCAGTTTATCCTCCTTAAAAAATAAATAGTCAAAAAAACCCACACCACTCAAACAAATCAGATTAAAAAAATAAAATAAAGGAGACTCACTTCATGTCTGATCATCAGTTTTTTTACTCGTTTCAGCAGAGTGTCTTTGCTGCAGGGCATGAAAGAGGACAGATGCTTGTAGACCTTTGAGCGAAGCTGGGTGCTGCTCTGCTCCTGACACTGCAGCTCAATACTAGGGTGAGACAATCAGAAGCTTAGCACTTCTTAACTTTAATCACAGATCAATTCACTTTAGTCTGACAAATTTAAAGTTTGACTACTTTAGCAGTTTATTGTAAATGTGTTTAGTGTGAGGGATTGTATTTGATTCAATGAGTCGATGCAATCAACTGGTTTTCCTTAGATAGAAAACTTTGTATCAATTTGACTGTATGATCTGGTTGAACTGTAAAGTGCCTTGAGATGACATGTGTTGTGAATTTGGCGCTATATAAATAAACTGAATTGAATTAATAACTAGAAATTTTATGTCATAAAAGGAAAATGGGATCAGCTGTATGAAAACGCTTAGTTAAATGGATAACTTCAGTCAATGCAATTTTTGAGGTTCGCTTATTTATCATGAAGTCATATTTTAATAACTGCCTTAAGGAATAGATCAGGGTTTTGGGAAGTTTTATGTAATGTTCTGTGATAAAAAATAAAATGGCGATAAGTACAAAATAGCCTTGATGTTTATATACAACTACAGCGCACCTGCTTGGGCTCCTTACAGCTCCTCATCTCAGCTGTAGTAAACAAGTAGACAAGCTCAATTAAATAAAAGGAATAAATAATATTGACATAGAATGAAATGAACAATGCCTTGAAATTTGCCTGGCCAGCAAAAGCAATTCATACAGCCAGCGGAAGGATACACTACGAACAGAAGTGAGACAAGACATCTGCTCAGACTGAGCTCCCCTACGCCATCTTCTTCCCCCTGTTGAGACAGTGTTCTGCACCTATGTGGCAGACTGATAGTGGGCCAATAAATAAAAGGAATGCCAATTGATACAGTGGGTAAAATAAGTATTGAACCCACCATTTTTCCTCAGTAAATATATTTCTAGAGGTTCTACCATTCCACTTTATTAAACATAACTTCATTTCTGGACATCTATGGCTCGATTTCTTTGTATGTTTGGATTGCATGGATTGTTACCAACGTCTGGTGAAAATGTCACATGAACAGCACCTCTAGAAATATATTTACTGTGAATTGTGCCTTGTTTTACCCACTGTATCAAAGTCCGACATGCTCTGGGATGTTTTCAAATCATTGAAATAGTCAATGATGCCTGAATATTTTTTTCTTGCTAAAAAGAAATCCTTGATTACTTGTACCACTGTACTACTTACTACTTTTCTCTGGTACGTTACCAGCCATTTCTCAAAGCAGCAGGCTTTGAGAAAAGAAAATGACATTTATCTCATCTACCGAGAGTGATACTTCCCAACTTCATGTCCAAAAACCTGAACTATCCCTTTAAATATAAAGGTAGATGAGAAAATGGAACTTATGTAGCAACATTTACACAGGCTACATGCTGCGCCAGTTGTTGGCACCTACAGCATGAAAATCTTATTTTAAGAACGGGTTCCTTCTAAATGGAGGAAGCCCCCCCCCCCCCCCCCATGCCTTTGTCTTTTCGGCATTTGAAGTATTACCAAAATTAACTGGAATCCATTTATAGAAGTTTCTGATCATAAAATAATAAATCACTATTAAATTCAATTGTGTTATTCTACTCTACATAACCAGATTACAGATGTTAGTAAATTTAAAATTTCTCTTAAATTTTAAAGAGGCCAGCAGTTAAGCAATTACTATTTACATCGTCTACAAGCATCTTAACAAAACCTTTAGAGGAAGGGTCACCATCTTTTTTAAGGCTGAGAGCAACTTTTGTGATTATGATGAAAATCTCTATGAATGATTACAAAAAAAGTGCAACGGAATAAAGTAAAATTTCAATCTTGGCTCGCTGGTGAGTTCTGTTTTCAGAACACTGAGGGCACTTCATGTGGACCTTGAGGGTCCCTTGGTGCCCATAGGCACCACATTGGTGTAGCCTGCTTTAGAGCATTTATTAGCTCGGGTAGAGGGTAACAGACTTTAAATTTTTATGGCTGTTTATGCTTCTTTTGTAAGATTAATTTTGGTGAAATAATATACAATATCACATTTGTTGTAGATTAACTTACTCAAGCAGAATTGAGTTGATATCTGGAGTGAAGAACTTGAGTTTTGATTCCCCCTCTGATGTCTTAGCAGCCTGGGAAAAAGAAAAAAAAATGCTTTAAAGTATTTTGTGTCACACTTCTTTCTATTGAATACTAACTACATTAGAAGCCATCTAAATATTATAAACCTTAAAACTCTGAACGAGGACAAAAAAACAACAGTATTGCAGTAATGAAAAGAGACAAAGTTAAAGTAAAAAACGCATCAAAGATTAAGATAAAAAAAAAAAACACAATAATGAGGGAGGAAAAAAATAAAGCAAACCTTACCATAACAAGGTTCCTAATGCTGTGCTCCAGCCGTTGGGGAAGTCCCTCAGGCAGCAGGGTACACTGAGACTGTACCACAGGAGCAGGTTCAGCCTGGAGTTGAAGTTGCTCTGCTTCAGGCTGCGGCTGCAGGTTGACCCTTTCAGTTGAACATTTGGATTCAGCTTCAGAATTAATATTTTGCTGGACGTTGAGCTCAGATCTGGCTTTTATGAACTGCGTTTCAGCAGCGGTTTGAGGAAGAGGTTTTGGTGACAAATTCTCTTCACTGACCTCCAACAAAGAGTCCAAATCTATATCAAAATCCACTGTGCTGGCTGCTTGGATTAATGCATGATCATTAGTGGAGCCGATCAAACTGAGCAGAGGGTCTGTCAGACCAGAACCCCCTCCTCCTGCTGCATCTGCTGGGAACATGGAGGATGTTGGATCTGTAACAGCAGCCATCATTCGATTAGCCTTCTCAGTGTTCTGCCGCTCCCTTTCCTTCTCACGCTGAAACTTTTTCAACATGCTGGTGACGCTCAGTGTTTTTGCAGCCTTTTTCTTCTTTTTGATCTTTACATCATCCACACTTACTTTGGACACAGTGCTACAGAGTGGACAGTCTTATGAGATTCAAGTCAATTGTTTAACCCCAATAAAACAAACTTCTAAACAAGAGTAGTGTTATTCTGGGCCAGCTTACCTCAATTTTAAGTTGGTTTCCATTTCTCCGAGTGCTTTACGCCGTTTCTCTGATTCAACTTGCTCACAGTCAAGTTTACGTTTCTGATAAGGTTCAGAAAAGTTCTGTATTAACATTCAATTATAGAGGTCAAATCCTTCTGCAGAGAATATGTGGAGGGTAAGACTTTTCCAAAGGATAATTAGGCCTCTCTTTTCAAGGGAAGTTCCTACTGAGAGGAGATTAAAAGGTAGCCCTAGTAAGCAGATACTCGAGTAGCTCTACCCCCATCTTCCTTACAGAGTGTTGGGTTTAGGACAGGAGATATCAATGTAATAACTAAACTTGGCATCCAATCAGCTTAGTGCAAATTTAAGCATGTAGGAGGAACTAATTAAAATGCAGATAATGCAATTCACCATGGCAACGGCTCAATTGTTCACATCCCATTAGTATAGGGAATGAAGAGGAAAGGTGGTCTGACTCTCCTCAAGCATGCCTCCTTTTCTCACCAGTAGTTGTATGCCCTGTGGTTGTGTCCAAATACTGGGCCATTGGAGGGGCACGGTTAGTTGGCTATATGCCCAACTCCGATACTCTGAACTTCCGCCAGCATCTTTGTTTCCCATCTTTCATTACTAAACAGACTGATAAAACCAGAGCTGTATCCAAAGGTCTGCCCAAACTCCATCACTATACAGATGAAGGACGATAGTGGAATTTATAGTGAACTCAGCTAATTGACATTTGGACAGATCACTACTTTTCACTCACCGTTGGTCACGTGACTCGTACGGTTCCTAAGCCCTCTTTGTTCTCTCGCTCTACCCCCTGCCCGCAAAAATAAAAATAAAAATCACATTGTGCTTAACAAGGAGAGCTCTTGCAAGCATCCTGGCATATATCTGCTCCTCTTGTGACCACAGCTGATTGCCACTTTTCCCAGGTGCAGTGTGGGAAACTGAGTCCACCACTTTTCCATCCACTAAGACAATCTCATAAAATGGCCTACACCTTCTGACACAGCCCAGGTGTGTCTGGCCAATATCATCATGGCTACCAAGGTGAGACAGACCTGGATTTATCAGTCTGTCCAGTAATGAAAGAGGAAACAGATGCTGGATGAAGTTCAGGAAGCAATTGAGATGGGCCCATTGACATATCTTCCAAACATTTGAAATTAAATGCTCTTTAATTTTAACGCATTTAGTTTTTGCCACCAAATGAGACAAAAATTCCTAAATTAGAATTATTTTTTTTTAAACATTCTGCACACTTTTCCATATGCGTCCAGGTGCAACACAAATAGGAGTAATAGATTACAGGTGCTGGTCATAAAATTAGAATATCATGAAAAAGTAGATTGATTTCAGTAATTCCATTTAAAAAGTGAAACTTGTATATTATATTCATACATTACATACAAACTCATATATTTCAGATGTTTATTTTGTTTAATTTTGATGATTACAAATGACAACAAATGAAAATCTCAAATTCATCATATCAGAAAATTAGAATATTGTGAAAAGGTTCAAAATTGATGGCCCCTGGTGCCACACTCTAATCAGCTAATTAACTCAAACCACCTGCAAAAGCCTTTAAATGGTCTTTCAGTCTAGTTCTATAGGCTACACAATCATGGGGAAGACTGCTGACTTGACAGTTGTCCAAAAGACGACCATCGACACCTTGCACAAGGAGGGCAAGACACAAAAGGTCATCGCTAAAGAGGCTGGCTGTTCACAGAGCTCAGTGTCCAAGCACATTAATAGAGAGGCGAAGGGAAGGAAAAGATGTGGTCGAAAAAAGTGTACAAGCAAGAGAGATAACCGCACCCTGGAGAGGATTGTGAAACAAAACCCATTCAAAAATGTGGGGGAGATTCACAAAGAGTGGACTGCAGCTGGAGTGAGTGCTTCAAGAACCACCACACACAGACGTATGAAAGACATGGGTTTCTGCTGTCGCATTCCTTGTGTCAAGCCACTCTTGAACCACAGACAGCGTCAGAAGCGTCTTGCCTGGGCTAAAGAGAAACAGGACTGGACTGCTGGTGAGTGGTCCAAAGTCATGTTCTCTGATGAAAGTAAATTTTGCATTTCCTTTGGAAATCAAGGTCCCAGAGTCTGGAGGAAAAGAAGAGAGGCACTTCATCCACGTTGCCTGAAGTCCAGTGTAAAGTTTCCACAGTCAGTGATGGTTTGGGGTGCCATGTCATCTGCTGGTGTTGGTCCATTGTGTTTTCTGAGGTCCAGGGTCAACGCAGCCACATACCAGGAAGTTTTAGAGCACTTCATGCTTCCTGCAGCTGACCAACTTTTTGGAGATGCAGATTTCATTTTCCAACAGGACTTGGCACCTGCACACAGTGCCAAAGCTACCAGTACCTGGTTGAAGGACCATGGTATCCCTGTTCTTAATTGGCCAGCAAACTCTCCTGACCTTAACCCCATAGAAAATCTATGGGGTATTGTGAAGAAGAAGATGCAATACACCAGACCCAACAATTCAGAAGAGCTAAAAGCCACTATTAGAGCAACCTGGGCTATCATAACACCTGAGCAGTGCCACAGACTGATCGACTCCATGCCACGCCGCATTGCTGCAGTAATACAGGCCAAAGGAGGCCCAACTAAATACTGAGTGCTGTACATGCTCATACTTTTCATGTTCATACTTTTCAGTTGGCCAACATTTCTATAAATCCTTTGTTTTTATTGGTCTTCAGTAATATTCTAATTTTCTGATATGATGAATTTCAGATTTTCATTTGTTGTCATTTGTAATCATCAAAATTAAAAAAAATAAACATCTGAAATATATGAGTTTGTATGTAATGTATGAATATAATATACAAGTTTCACTTTTTAAATGGAATTACTGAAATCAATCTACTTTTTCATGATATTCTAATTTTATGACAAGCACCTGTATGTAAATCCTTCAAAATAAGTGTGTGGCAGGCCATCTTTGAACAGCTAATGTTTTATACAATAACATGAAAAAGCCCCCAAATGAATCTCTAGTGCTTTCTGAAAATAGATTGTCTTTATTAAAGCTAATTTTTAAAAGTGATATTCCTTTTTGAAAATATGACAACCAATTGTGCTCTAATCAAGTCGCTCTGACATATCTTTAGAGCAATTGCAATCCAATCTCAGATTCTTCTAGGAAAGGAAACTTAATTTCCAATACCTTACTCAGGGTTACTCTAAACACTGCTGCTAATAAACAGGGCTGTCAGAGTAATTAGTCTGCTTCTCCAGTCTAAAATTTGGAGGCTTCATTTATAAAATCTTGTTTCACACACAGACTACTTTAGCCGCAAATATGATTACTTGTCACAATTCTAGACCCCACCCCAAAATAATAAAATAGCAACCAGGGGTCTTTTTCATGAAGCAGGTTTATTGAAAACTAAGTTTTCTAAAGCTGAAATATGAGAAACTGAGTTTTCCGGTTCACAAAGGTTTCCTCAACCTCCGTTTCAGCCACCGTAGCAACATTCTCCTCAGAGCTAAGCAGGTTTTGTTCTGTAAACTCAGAGCGTGCTCTGTCTCTACTCCCCTTACAGACAATCACGTTTTATTTCCTGATTTGGTCACATTTTTGTGCAAGAAAAAAAATAAATCCTTCACTAGGTCCATTTTTTCACAGAATTAACTATTTATAGGGAGAGGATTCTACAAATTAGTTAACAGGACATGAAATGGCTGGAAACATCCACTTGGGACTTACTGTGTAAAAGACATAATCAACTTTAACCCCATGAAACGACAAGCGCATTCTATCTATTAGAAAAACGCTTTTAGACTTAATCTTCACCTGCTGCCAGATGATTCACCCTAAATAGATACATTGGTCCACTGCCATTCCAGAAACAATCCTGTAACAACAGGCTATGGCAAATGACAATTGTCTAAATGACAATTTCAAACTAAATGTCACTCTCCACATCTAGAATGAAAATTCTGGATGTCTAGGAATTAATTTCAGATCTCCATATTTCTAATATTACTCATCAGCATTTTTATTTTGACTTTGAAGACATGCATTTCAGAATGACCAGAAATTTCTAGATATACAAAACTTAATTCTTACTATCAGTGTTGGGAAAGTTCTCTTTCTACGTGAACTAGTTCAAAGTTCAGTTCACACATTTTAAAACGAACTAGTTCAGATCATAGTTCATAATTCAAAACCAAAAAATGAACTAGTTCATAGTTCTTTTTTTTTTTTTCCATATATTGCTCATTTACACCATAGCCTACTGTAGAACCACAGACAGCAATTATTTTATCAGTTGTAACTCTGAAACTGTGCGTCAGATTTCATCTTCATATCCAGTTTTGAATCCTTATCCAACCAGGGTTTACATTAGCATTGAGGGGACAGATTTCCCCATTGTTGCTTTAACGCTTTGTTGCTGTCCATTCACTTCACACTAGTAGCAGCTGCAGCTTTCACCCCTACAGTATATTCTCAAAAACATCAGGAAAAATGTGCTGCTTGAATTGTCTTTTTTATGACTAATTATTAAAAGAAAAATAGGAAAGTAGTCTTTAAGGTGCAAATGTTTTTTTTTTTTTTTTTATAATTTTTTCCATTTGAAATTCCATTTCAATACATACTAAAAAGGAATACTGGAATCCTGGAAAATTATACCAGGCAGGTTTAACAAACAAGTTACATGGATAGTAAAACCCTCAAGAACAGGGGTCTTCTATGTTTTCCAGACCAAGAACCCCCAAACTGATGGCGAGATGGAGCGGGGACCCCTTAACTATATATATTGTATGAAATTGTGTCCTATAGTCACTCTATTACAGATGGAGTTATGTAAAGAAATTAATTTCTCCCTGGGATTATTAAAGTTTTTCTGATTCTGATTCCTGGTTGTTGTGAAGGAAACGGTGCCCAGCTTGAAAGAGCTCCTGTGTGTCGCTGAATGTGTGCATTGATGACTGAAAGACATCTTTTGTCTCCATTTATCTGTTTACTACAGTGTGTTGATTTCATGTTAATGAGTATTTAAAGACATTTCAATTAGTGGGGGGAAAAATTGCAGGGGGGAATATAAAAATATCAACTAACCATGCAGACCCTCATGCAGTACCTCCGTAGACCCCCTAGGGGTCGCGGATCCCCTGTTGAAGACCTCCGCTCAAGAAGATTTTACTAACACAAACTGAGGGACCAGGCTGAGGTAGGAATTTAAGGTTACTGAAAGCCGGCGGGCAAACTTGTTGCCATCATCCTCACCGACCACCTGGTCATAAAACTGTTTTAAGTGATCATACTGCTGCTTTGTCGCCTCTACGCTGCTGTGGCTTCCACACGGCATTTTGTTTTGATGACGCACGCGGCTGTAGGCTACGACACTGGTAGCTGGTGTTGCCAGATTGGGTGTTTTTCCCGCTACATATTAAGGCTTGTTTACGGTTTGATTTAGCCGGGGTTTCGCCTGGAGGACTCTATAGAAATCTGGCAACCAATTGAACGGAGCTGAACTGAGAGAGCGTGCCGTTCACAGACACCAGAATGAACGAGTTCACAATAACGTTCATCAGGCAAGAATGCAGTACGTTCAGTTCACGTTCGCCCAAAATATGAACGAGTTCATGAACTTTCGTTCAATGAACGCGTTCAGGCACAACACTGCTTACTATGATTTTTTTTTTTTTTTTTACTTTCTAAAATTCAGTTTCTGCTACAAAAATTTAATCTTAGGAAATATAGTTGTTCTAGGAGTGGGATTTTGATCAGAAAGAATCTTATTTTAGATCTACAAATGGAACAACAGAGAGGAGAGTACTTTTAATAAATGTAAAAACAGCCTGCCATAGTCAACGTCATGCAACTTAACTCAAGCAAAATCCTTCCTCTTTGCAGCTGTAGCACAGTTTGTCTTTTGAACAAATTCTCCGTTTTTATTTTCATTTCTGCATTAAAATCTCTAGTTCCTGTGGTCTGTTGTCATGGTCAGGCGGGGGGTGTAACATTAGGCAACACTAGGCAATTACCTAGGGCCCCAAGTTCCTGGGGGCCCCATAAAACTCTGTTTATATGTATAGGCTAGATCAATCTAGAGTTGAGGATTTTAATCCGAGTTTGTTAAAACTGCTTCGCAAAATGGAACCCAGGATCATCCTCCACCTACTTTTGTTGGCTCTGATGCTCCCTCTTCTGTGGAGAGGTCATCAGTGTCATGGTCAAAGGTCTGACGAAAGTGCAGTACACCTGAATTCACGTAGAATCCACCAAATTCAGTTGTAAGGGAGGAAGGAACCAACTCGTCATACTAGATTAAACCAGAAATTGTGCAGTTATACACAAGGCAGATGAATTGAACCAATGAAACTAATAAATTACTGATTTCTTTAGAGAATATTTCCTTCCATTTGTTTTATGGTTTATTTATTGTTAAAATGTCTAAATTATAGTAGTTAAGAAGCCTAAACTTAAACAAGTTCTTGTTTTGACAAAGAAAATAAAATATCTGTAGCATCTTTATTTAAATGTTCATTTAAAACCAACTCACCGCCTCAGAGTTGTCAATAAAAGAATCATCTTCATCATATCCATACCCAATGTCCACCAGGTCCTGGACGCTGTCCTTTCTGTATTTGCCACCCTGGAATTGATTGAATCATAACTAACAAAATTTTGAAATCATCAAGGTTTAGATTGACATAATCATTGCTGCTCACATATTTTTCCTCCAACTTCCTTGCAATGGCAGCAGCTTCGTCATGTTCTCCCTTTTCTTCCAGTTCAGGTAGACTCAGTGTGACATCACCTTCTGTTTGCTTTGACCGACAAGTGCATTGTTAACAATACCATCCAAAAAAGGCAAAGCCTTCTTTTAGTTCCATTGATCAAACAACTGTTATAGATGTATTGGGATACTTGGAAAAACGTGTGGGTAAATTAAGTGGAAAAGGTCAAGATATACAGATAAGGTACAAGCTGAAGGCGTGCTCAAGTTGGAGAGGGGAAGTAAACTGCATCCATGTGATTCTTAGGGTTTTCAACATATCAGCTTTAAATTAACCTAAGGTTATGTTCTTCCCAATAAAGGAGAGTTAAATTGTTTCAATTGCATAAACACACCTAATTCAAATACAGATATATGCGAGATTAGGGCTTGGCAATTAATTGCATTTGCAATATAATTTGAAATTAAAATGCAATTTTCAAAAATCACAGAGGCACTCAATATTGGTCATGTTACATTAAAAAAGCCAAAAGCAAACGCGCGTTAATCAGCCATTAATGGAAATCAGCTGCACTGATACGGAGAAACCTCTAAAACAGGCACTCCCAAAGTTCAGTCCTCAAGGCCCCCTGTCCTGCAGGTTTTAGAGGTTTCCTTGCTCCAGCACAGCTGATTTTAATTGAAAGCTGATTAACAGCAATCATTATAACCAGCTGTGCTGAAGCAGAGAAACCTCTAAAACCTAAAATATTATGACTGATATTACCATAAAAATAGCTCTACTCTTAATTTTTCAGCTTTAAACCAAGCAGTTAATGCATGTTCATATGCATTAGTACTTACATCATCTTCCACCAAGGGAAAGGCACTCCAGAGGAATTCACAGTAGTCCTCAGACCACATCTTTCCTGGACATATCTGGAAAAATCCCTAAAGGTAGCCTCTCCAGGCCACCAATCACATAACTGGATTACTGAAATTGCAACAGGTATTCCAGGCTATATTATGGTAGAGAATTTTGATAAAGTGGTCTCTGTAGAACCTTGGCTATATGCAGTGATACAAAATACTTTTCCTCCTTAATTTTATTATAATTATTTTTTTAATCAAATCTCCTTATGGCACTTTAAAGTTTTACTTTTTTTGGGCATCCTTTAATAAAAAAAGAAAATGTCTATATTGTGTGTGTGTATATAGCCTATATATATTAAACACTCTCCCGAAAAACAACTTCCTCCATCTATTTAATTTTACTGAACCTTTGCGGTCATTACAAAACGTTTCTCTTTGAAAAATTACGTTTTTCATTCCAACCCATAAAATTATTTTCTCACCTTTGACCTCCAACAATTAGGATGAAGAAAAAATGAGCCGCAAATAAACCCAGATGTCAGAGACACAGACTATAAAACTCCGCACCTGAATTAGATTAAAATAACGGTTTAGTGTGGTTCAGACTGAAATGGCAATAAAGTTAACTCAGTTCTGCATATAGAATAAAAACTATATAGGTTATATAGGGTGTAATTTTCTGACCGTTGGTCCCAATAACAGAACAAATGTTTATCAGTTTGCTTTCAATCCAGTGAATATTTAGAAACGGCGTCATTAGTTAAAAAAAAAGTCTTAATTAAAGCAGGATGTAAACCCACCTTGTTCTCAACCAGATCCCGATAGTTAAACTCTGGAAAGTTCCTTTTATCAGGCTCAAACAAAGTGAAAACCAGCCGCACAGTCTCGTTAGCAGACAGTCGCTCTGACCCTGCTCCGTCCTTCTGCAGAGCCTCCAAAGAAGGTTGTCGGTTAGAATCCGGTATGACGGAGCTAAATGCGGCACCACAGCTCAGAGTAGTGAGCTGGACTCTACGAGAATCAGCCATTCTCCCTGACTCACCAACAGCAGAGTCTGCTTTGATTTACTGCAGGGTTCAATTAAGAACAAGTGGGTACAGGTGCGTCCCTCTGCTCTGGGCACGCGCTCAGCCCCGCTGCCAGTGAGGTCACAGCACAGGTGGAACTAACGTTCATTTATTTTAAATTTGTATATAATCACAAATACAAGCCTATTCCAAGTAAATGTATCTGTTTTCTCTCACTCAAAAAAACAACTATGCAACCGTTTTTGGCATTTACTTTCGTTACTAACACAATAGTTTCATATTAGCTGGGTAGGACATAAAACAATTGAGTTTAAGTAACTAAATATGATTAATTTAATGCCAAAAGAGGTTGCCTTTTTCTCCCCCAGTTGTGTGTGTTATGTAGTTGCAGCTCATCTGCATTGTAAAAATTAAAGGTCCTTATTTTCATTTTATAATCAAATCTCACACTGGCTCAAAATGCACATGCAATGGAATAAGGCCAAAGGTTACATAAACTTCAGCTTGTGATCAGTTTGATGGTTCTCTGGTTAAGTTAAGGGGCTTTAAAGGAATAGTACACCCAAAACATGATTAGCCTTCATTTTCTACTCACCCCCATGCTGAACAACACTCTGGAGTACTTTTTTGATATCTCAAATGCATCTGGAGATCTGGGAGGCTTCTTGCTGTCTGCTGACATTCAAATAATGGAGGTCTATGGTGCCCGAGACAGAAAGGTCCATAAAAGTCCACAAAAAACGTGTCAATATTCCTCCATACTGCTCGTCCAATGTATTCCAAGTGTCTTGAGTGGGTAGCGTCCATAATTTACTCGAAACGAAGTCATTTAGAATGTTTTTAGAGCATAAACAGTAGTGTATAGGATTTCCTAAAAGCGCGTTCACGACGCTACGGAAACCGCGGCAGACCAAACCAGATGAAAGTGTGCATTCAGCGTCTGCTCTGCCGATAATGAAAGCGTAGAAGAAGAAATGTGCTGTTTACCTGTGCAAAGAAAGAAACAACGAAAGAAAAATGTCTGAGGACTTCAATGTTGAGGAAGAGCATGAGTTCTTTGCGGAGTTGAATGCACACTTTCGTCTGGTTTGGTCTGCCGCGGTTTCCGTAGACTTGTGAACGCGCTTTTAGGAAATCCTATACACTACTGTTTATGCTCTAAAAACATTCTAAATGACTTCGTTTCGAGTAAATTATGGACGCTACCCACTCAGGACACTTGGAATACATTGGACGAGCAGTATGGAGGAATATTGACACGTTTTTTGTGGACTTTTATGGACCTTTCTGCCTCGGGCACCATAGACCTCCATTATTTGAATGTCAGCAGACAGCAAGAAGCCTCCCAGATCTCCAGATGCATTTGAGATATCAAAAAAGTACTCCAGAGTGTTGTTCAGCATGGGGGTGAGTAGAAAATGAAGGCTAATCATGTTTTGGGTGTACTATTCCTTTAATATACCTTCAGAACTTTGGAAACGAAACTGTTCCTTAGCTTACTTGTTTTTAATGCAACATTCCTGAGAAGTTTTATGAAGTGGGCCTAACAATGCATTGCTCTTGTGGGTGGGATCTGTAGCAATGCACCTGGCCCTTTTCTTAATTCATGCACCATAAACCGAGTCCTTGGCTCTAGGATCTGTTATCTTCTTATTGTCAACACATGTTGTGTGAAAAAAATTTATAACTAGTCCAGTTAAATAAACAGATCGATGGATTTACTCAGTCGGCGCTTTATTTATTTTGCAAAGTAAATTGAGAACATGACACCAACAACATCACACATGTATGTTCTAATCTACACAGAGTTTGTTCCCCATTTTTAAAAGAACTCTCAATCAAAACACATTCCAGACATTTCGGTTAAACAGTAACATGTCATGAATAAACCTTGAGATAGAATTATGACAATAAGTGTTTATTCTATCCAAACACTCCTCATTCAGACATTTTGTGGCCTCTCAGGGGAAACAGACTGAGTAAAAACATTTCTCAGTGAGTAAATAGCATAAATCAATATATGAAATAAGGAACAAATTGAAATCTCAATTTTCTGACCACACACACTCCATTTGTTCTCTGAGGTTTAGATCTGGAGATTTTACTAATCAAGCACAGCGAGGTGCATATCTCTACACCAAGTTTAACCACACAAAAGTCAGATAGCGTACAAGCTGAAGGCGTGCTTATGCTCAAACAATGCAGCAATGATTTGTGTTTGTGTGTGAATATAAAAAAAAATTACCACGAAGGTTATTTGTTATATTTATTTCTATTATTCATATATGTTTTTGTTAAACTCTAATAAGCCCTGCCTGTTATGCTGCTTGGATTTATCTAATTAGGAGAGTTCTTCTCTCTGGATAAAAAAGTAATCATCTTCATTTTCTAATTTACAAAGATTTGGGAATGAAGTGGGTGCATTTTCTGTGATCTAAGAACACTGAGCATTATTTTGACAGGAGCCAGTGAAGTCTGGTCTGAGTAGGATTACAATTTCTGTCAAAATCTTTTGTCAAGCCTCATGGTCATTTAATACATATACATAATATAAAGTGTTAATTAAAATATTTGTTCCGAGTGATCTCTTCTCAGGAAAGAATCGTGGAGAGAAAGCTTAGAGATGTAAACACAGTGCTTTCCTTTACAAAAACGGAATCCTGTTCCTGAAGGACATCTCTATTTTCTTAAAAGCAGACATTAACATTTAACTGTACAATGATAGAGAATAAAGAATATTTGTTACATATAAATGCATTTATTAAATTAAATTAAACCAAAAAAAATCAGATAAGTTGAATTTATCTGATGCTGGATGATGAAAATGTCTCTGTTTCACAGTACAGAGTGTATAGAAGCTATCTGAGGTGGCCAAAACTGCTGCAGTTCACATTAAAGACCCCAAGGTGGCACTAAATATCTTTCTGAACAAGTTGAGAAGGGATTCCACAGATTTTCTTTTTGCTTTATTTATCTTTTCATCCACATATAAACAGCCAGAGCCACTTAGATCATTTACCCTATACATACTCATGATCTTTTTTTTTAATCTATTAGATATTTTCTTGACCAAGTTTGTGTACACAAACAAGGAATTTGGAGATGTAGTCAAATTCTTTGTTTCAGCACATTTGATCAAAAATGTTGATATTCATTCTGATTTTCTTTTTTTTAAAGATCCTGCTAAACAGAATCTTATTTGTTTGTACTGCATGGATTTTAATAAAGAAAAAACTATCAATAGAAGCTGGCTGCGAAGAGAATCAGAATAGACAGAAAAAGACACAGAACTATATGAGCAGTATACAGTAGTTCATAAAGTTCAGTGAGGCTGACATTATCAGAGGCATGTTTGTGCTGCATGTCAGTAAAAATAGGGTGTATCTTTTATGCTACTATGTATAAATGTTATAACTTCAATGTAGCTCTAACATTCCAGTCTTTGTGAAATGCATTTCAACTTTTCTCTAGTTACTTTGGTGTTGATCCTGCTTATGTCCTTCTACAGTGCCTTCATTCAGCTTCTTCCATCAGTGCGAAGTTTGGTTCCATGACAAAACGGAACAAATCCCATCTATTAGCCCGAATCATGATCCAAGATTTTTACATGTCTAGGACAAAAAAAGGTCAGCTTTTAACCCCACATATTCTTTACTCAAACTGTAGACTTTTACTCTTAGATTGGCACTACAGAGAAAACAAACCACCATAGAAACAGTTCCATTACAAAATCACTCCACTGTCACTCTTATGGTATTTAACCACACTGCTGTGTAATAAAATGAGTATTTTCACTTTATAACACAATGTTTTCCTTTCTTTACTTAAAGGAAACAAGAAAATATACAATTAAGGTATACAAATCATGACCCCATGCTGGTAGCACTCTAAACAAAGATGCATTCCTTCATTTTGCTCAATTGCATCTGAATAAATCAGATTATGATTTCATGGAGCTCAAAACAGAAAAAAAGAATAAGCATTTTTTCTTTCTTAAGTAAACTTTTTAAGGATGTTTTATTTGGTAAACTCTTGCAGTGGATATCCATTCCTCTTTGCTGAGCTTACACACAAATAAACACCTCTAGCTGGTATCTTTACTGCCAATCGCTGTAATAATTATTGCTAATATGTTCACTGAGTGCAAAATAAAAAAATGAACTCTGCACATTTCTTGTTCTATGTCAACCTTTCATACTGGTTTGTTCAAACCACGACAGTATATTTTATGGAAGAATTTCAAAACCATAAAAAGGATCAGACCTCTTTACTTTTTTTTTAGCCTGTAGTTGAATTGATTTTGACAATTACAGTGATGGGATAATTGCAATCTGTCACCATGCATTCGGTGTTAGCATATCACAAAATAACCCGTCCAAACCCAATTCCCTTCTCACACCCTGACACTCACACACACGTGTCCCTGATCTGCATAACGCACACGGGTTCTCATTTTGTAATTATAAATGAATTTCACGCTGTGAAGCTTTTAATGCAAATAATATGGATCTCTTTTTTTCAAGCCTCTCGCCAACAGGACCGACTTTGTTGCTCTGAGTTTAAGTGTGTGTATGTGTGTATTGGGGAGGACGGGGGGCGTCAGATTGTATGACTGGCTTTCCCTCTCAAACGAGTTAATTGGATGGAAGCTATTTGCCTCCATAAGCTTGAAGATGCGAGGCTGAACAGAAGTGTTGAATTAAAAAGAAGGAGAAGGCGTCAATAAATTTGCACGACACAATGAACTAAACACACCAGGGCAGGACAAAGACAGACAGATGGAGACGGCAGGGGTATCATGGGTCTGCGTTAGTGTGTGTGTGGGTGTGTGTGGAGGTCTGGTTGGTGACAGGGACCCCATCAGTGGAGGATCAGAGCAGGGAAATTGGAGGACAATGTTGGACGAGTGGTGTGGGGGATAATTTATACCGATTGGGGAGGTGGTGTCCCAGAGGTGCATAATTTACTCATTCATTAACTAGACCAAACAAGAGCCAGTA